AATATAATATAAAATATAGAATATTTCTTTCTCGTTTCTAAAGAAATGGGCGTGTCATTATGTTATAATTGACGTTCAATACATGACTCAGACCGTTTCATCCAAATGGAGAATTTTACCACTTCAACGAGCCGTTGAAAAGTTATGTCTAATGTTATTTTTTTTTCAAAAGGAAGTCACAGTCAACTTGTTAAAAAATTATGGAGCAAAGGGAAGGTCATGTCACAAGAAATATCCATGAAATATATGAAAGCCTTAGCACCAACCATTCAAAATTTTTTCAAAAGTAACTCCTAGGTCAAAACTGTTGATACCCGAGAAATGATTTTGTCATAACTAAATAATAAACTAGTAAAATATGAAAATTACTTTCAAAATTGGTCAAGATCAATGTTGGTACGGTAATGGTACCCAAAGAAATGTCTCGTTAAAAGAATCGTGTGAGGTATGAAGGCCCTTCATTTATTGTTCAAAAGTTTTGGCCAATTAAAATTAATATTTGGTAAAATTTTTGCAACAGTGGGTGAAATTCCAAGGTCTAGAGATCAAATATATTGGTATGTAAATAAAGTTCTTGACACAATTAAGGAATACAACTTGACGTATGAAATTTGAAAATCAACCCAATCATACTAGGTTAGACTAGGTTTTAAAAAGCTCTCAAGTTTTCGTAACGTGCGTCTCTGAAAGAACTTGAGATATTTTGGCCAACAAAAATTACCCCAAAAAATTTGTACGAAACAACAAAAACAACAGACATGAGGACCTTACTAAAAAATACAGATGGGGATGGATAGGCTATGTCTTGAGAAAGCCAAGAAATGACATCACAAGAGTGGCATTAAGATGGACTCCAGAAGGGAAAAGGAGGAAAGCCCGACCAAAAACAACGTGGAGTCGAACAGTGGAAAAGGAACTAATTTAAAGGACATAAATCTTACCTGGGGAGAGGTGGAGAAGATAACTAAGAACAGAGAAGAATAGAAATCTCTAGTCCTTGTCCTATGTGCCCCCGGTTGCAAAGACTAGGTAGGTAGTCTAGATTTAGTTTTTTTTGCGGACAAACAGAAAGATGGACGTGGCAAAAACTATATGCCTCGAATTTTCTATAACGGGGGCATATCAATAGAGAAGAGATCAGACATGGTGTGTGCAACTGAAGGCAGATACTAGGGTGAAAAATTGGGCATTTAAAAATGTGGCATACACGTAGACCTTTGTTTTGTATGTTGTTTAATGTCCCTCTCGCGAATTTTTCACTCATATAGAGACGCCACCACTTGCAGATACGTGGAGAGCTGCAAATGATGTCCTTTATTCGACACTTCCGTCCATTGAGCAGTGAGGGATGTTCTTTCAAGCTAGCACCTACTGCGACACAGTACCTCGTTTATACGGTATCATCCGAAGGACCGGTCTTCCACGTCCCAGAGTGGGATTCGATCCCGCGACGTAAGGATCAACTCCTTACTTCGCGACTTTTGAGCAGACGCTCTAACCACTGCGCCACTCGGGCGACTTAACCTAAAGAAATTAGTGTCTTTTGCTGACCTGAGATTGCATGCAGTAAAAGTGGAATCTTTCCTTGGTCAGGCGGATACCTAAAAAATATAAGTGACTTGAAAATGTTTAAGGATAAAAAGTGTTTATTTTTTATTGGAAAAGAAAGAATATATCAGGGTTATTCTTTGAATTCTACGGAAGCCCGTTGGTGCCACGTACGAAAAATATTTTATCTGGCGGCCGCCACTTAAATATCTGGCGGTCGCCACTTAATATATGGCGGCCGCCACATAATTTATCTGGCGGCCGCTACATAATATCTGGCGGCCGCCACATATTTATCCGGCAGCCGCCACTTATATATCTGGTGGCCGCTACATAATATTTGGCGGCCGCCACATAATTTATATGGCGTCCGCCAGATAACACCTGGCTTCCTGATGCGCGCACATGCATATGTTTTAACGTGTGATTTCAGAGGTGGATACAGTGTAAAAATTATAATAGCGACATAAATCAACCAAACTTGTAAGAGATTTATTATGATCCAACACTCCAATCCACACTTCTACTAGATATGTTTTTGCATAGAACAGATTAATTTGAATTATGCAAGTATTTGTAGAGTGTTTCGGTTATTAAGAAGCCTCATCAGGGGTCACGGACATAAATCATGGTGTTAGTTTTAGGTGAGACCGGGTTATCTCGTCACCTATATTCTTGTGTTTGCTGTAAGCTTTGTTTGGTTGAGAATTATATAAAGTTTTGCATTTTGGATTTCTAACAATGGTGTTCCAATATTTCAAAATTCGTTTTTTATCATTAACTTTTTTATCAAGAAGCAGCGGCTGTGTCAACATCCATCTTCTTAACCCAATAACACTCACCTTTTGCAAAATAATTTATGTGGCGGCCGCCAGATATATAAGTGGCGGCCGCCAGATAAAATATTTTTCGCTCTTGGCACCAACGGGCTTCCGTAGAATTCCTTTCAATAGCATTAAAATTTTGTTTTTGTAGAAGGAACCGTAATATTTCTGGGGCTACAAATACTAGTATTATTCTTCACTACTTAGAAACCTTTAAAGTAGGGTCAAAAATTAGAAAAGGGATACAAATGTCAATTTTTTGGCCCTGTAATTGAAAATGCTTTTCAAACCACACTTAAGATTGGAAAGCGACAAGAGCTGGGGAGATACTAGCAGAAGCCATCAATGCTGATACAGAGACAGATGTTAAATTCTTGCACAACCTTTTCAAGAAGATCTGGGAGGAAGAAAAAAATTGGAGGAATATAAATAAGACATCCTTATTAAGCTGCCAAAGAATGGAGATCTGGGGGACTGCAGTAATTAACTGGAAATAATGCTGCTGTCGGTGCTTGGCAAGGTCCTCAACAGGATCCTTCTTGAAAGAATAAAAGAAACGGTAGACCAAAATCTCCGTGATCAGCTGTTAAAAGTGCTCGGACGCAATAGATCATAAGCTGACCAGATAGTCAGTCAGCGCATTATCATTGAACGATCACTGCATTGTAAATCCAGCCTCTTATCAACTACGAGAAAGCATTCGACAGCGTGAACGGAGAGACATTATGGAAGATGCATAATTTATATGCACTGAGACACTATGGGATATACCCGAGAAACTCGTCTCTCTGATTCGTAACATGTACCTACCAATTGCAAGGCATGACATGCAGGGTTTCCAATGCTGACCAGATGTCTTGGAATTTTGAAGTGAAGACAGGAGTTCAACAAAGATGTTTGCCGTCACCAGACTGTTATAGATAAGTTTAACTTGATAAAGTCTAAACTTTTAATGTAACACAAACCACAATGCAACAATATCAACTGCAACTGGACTCATGATGAACTTGAAGAAAACAGAACAGATGGAGATCGACACCACCGTCCATTTACCAGTCAAAATCAATGGTGGTGAGCCCATCAGAGAAACCATAAACCAGTTTATACATATTCTTTACTTTAAAGCAATATGAGCTGTAACTTTGATGTCGGAATTTTTTGTTGCAAAATTGTAAATAACTATCTTGAATGACAGAAAAAATAACGTTAATAAAGTTCCTTTGTTCATATTTGCGATGGAAAAACTTTTCATAAGCTTTGATTGAATCAAAATTACATTATTGTTGCCCTGTACAATAATGATTTCTTATATAAAACTGTATATTGGATTGTATATAGAAGTCTTTTTTCTGCTTTATTTTAGTCTAATTGATCGTAAAGGTTTAAGTTACATAGAAATTTATTATAATGGCACATTTTAACAGCAAAATAATTTTTTCAAAAATGCAGCTCATATTGCTTTAAATATATGGAGATAACAATTAAAGTATTCAAGCCCAAAAGTTCTTTAAACAATACAAATTTGGAACAGGCTGTCAAAACATAAGTGGTGGGACCAGATGCCATTGAATAAAATAAAATAATATATTTTTGTAATTTAAAGTACATGTATATTAAGTGAAAATAAATGCATTTTTTCTATTTTGCATAGGCCCTGAAACTGGGGGGGGGGGGGTTAGATACTTAATCCCCCCCTTTTTTTTTTTTTTGGCAAAGATAGACATTATATAGGAATTGAACATTTAAGCCACCTGACTCCACTGTTAACAGACATAGTGTAGTGTAATCAAAGAGGGGTAAGTGGTAGCGTTTGAAAAAAAAATGATACTGACCCCCGCCCACGAAACAGGATTTTGGGGCCTGGAAGATTTTCAACTTGTTTTTTTTTTTTTTGGCCTGTCAGTTTTTTTTTCAGGTTTGAAATTTTTTGTCTTTCAGTTAGCCCCCACCCCCCTTACACCTTTAATTTGCTTCCGAAGCCAATGCTTTGAACCCATAAAATTTTGATTGATTGATTGTATATATTGTTTAAACGTCCCTCTCGAGAAATTTTCTCTAATATGAAGACGCCACCACTTGCCGCTGAAGAGCCTCAAATTTTTCCGTATACTCGGCAATTAGGGTCATTGAGCAGTGAGGGATCTTTTTCGTGCCAGCACCTACTGCGACACGGGATCTCGGTTTATAGGGTCTCATCCAAAGGACCGGTCTCCACATCCCACAGTGTTATTCGAACCCGCTATAGAATTTTGAAGATGGAAATGAATGTACCCGTTTTTAAAAAAAGAAATATAACGTTATAACGTTATGTGACTTGGTGCTTTTTGCTGCTGAAAGTATAATCATTTATCTGCCAAATAGTTCAAAAATTTGTTTGCTGAAGTATTTAATATGCGCCATCTAAAATTTTAAATCATCTACGACTACGTTTTCTAAACATTACCTTTATTTTTGCACTGAATGCCCGATAACAGCCAAATAGCCGATAACGCGTTGAGCAGAGTGCAAATGCATTGGCGATGACGTAAACTGTTTAAGCTACAGTATTACTTTTGGAATTTTACTTGATCATAAGTTTTTAGTTTAGGAAATTAACGTAGAAAATTCAAAAGTCTACAACTGCTGAAAATGATTCATAAAAATTTTTAATTTATGTTATTTACGACAACCGTAATACGGCTAATTGAAAACGAAAGGAAGTCTTGAGCAAAATTCTGGAGAAACGGTAGGTAATGTTGTAGTTTTTATGCATTTGAATTAGAGATGAATACTTCACTAACATTAGCATTATGTAGGCGCTTGATTTCAGGATGGTGGCAACGTACAAATTTTTGTATTCTTTGCATTTGTGTGTAAAAACGCTTCATCGCTTGGTTAAATAAAAAAAAAACTTCTGAAATAGGCTTTTTAAAATTTACATTTATATAGAGTATATCAAAAGACAATGTTGACAGTTGCCATTTTTGATTCAATGGTGTGCCTTGGTCCTCACTTCACACTTTATTTTATTCAGTGATAAACAACACTTTTCCTACCAGTGTCACTTGAGATCTAGCTTAAAAAATGATTGAGTAGAACTATTTTCCATCGTCTGTGGATTGCACTTGCCATATAAAACTTGGAGTAAACCAAAATGTCCTTAATGTGTCAGGACTGTCAATCTCTCTGATTTGAATATGATAAATGGAACCTAGCTTTCCAATTTGGAAAACCTCCCAAAATTCCCAATTTAATCTATGATTTCATAGTTTTTTAAACTCAATGTATGAAAGTTAGATTTCCCTGAGTTTGACCCAAAATGTCAATAATTTTATTTATCTAGTGGGACCTGGCCCTGTACCAAAACAACATAGCTGTGTATTTTACATGTTATATCCACCTCCCAACTCTTTATCGTAATCTCTATAGGGGATAAACTAGGCTGGTTTTGAATTGTCTGTTGGATTTCACAAAGTTCAAATAAACTAGCTGCATTTGAATTGTCTGTTGGATTTTAGAAAATTGGAATCAAGTGAGTTAATTTCTTGTAGATAAGACTATGAAGGGCTGGGAGGTGGATGAAATATACAGATTGGTTAAAGAATGTTTCTAAAATTAGGGAATGAAAGGTAGTTGATTGACTGATGCTGTAAAGTAGAAAAATTCTCCGCAACAGTGCGCAAAAATTTTGCACTGTAAAATTGCACCTTTTTTGCATTACGGGATCTGTGGCGTTATGGTCAAAGACTAATACAAAAACCATAATGCTACAGTTCTGCAACACGAAAATGACAGGTATATAGCCTTGTCTGTATATAGTAATGAAACTGTAAGCAACAGACGTGACAGTTACTAACTATGTAAAGTGTAGAGGCATCCTGGAAGTACACTTTCTGGTACTGTTAAAACACTTAAACCTCTGTAAAGTCCAGTTGTTCTTATTTTGAAAATTTTTAATGCTGAAAAAACCTGTATTACACATGCACTTACAAAATGTAACATTTAAATTTTCTCTTTATTGATAGAAATATCCCCAAACTATAATACAGTAAAACTCGTTTAGTACGAACACGGATATAGCGAATTCACGAATATAGCGAAGTTTTTCTGGGTCCCCGGCAAAATTCTTAACAAATCTTTGTAAAATTTTACGGTTATAACGAACACTGATATAACGAATTTACGGATATAGCGAACTGATTTTGAGTCCCGTTGAGGCTAAATATAATGAAATTTACATCTTTTATAACGAACTTTCAAAGATTATTAAAAAATTGATTATTTGAACTTACCTTATTTCCTTTTAGCATTTGCATATAAAATTCAATTCATAAGAAAACCTTGGTTATCGAAGATATGATTTGTAATATTTGCTTCACTAACATAGTTGGTTGTAATACTTGAAGGAAAACATGCATAGTGTGAATTCACTATAATGGTTATATGAATTTGTTATACGGATATAACGAATTACTATATAAACTAAATTCAACCTTCAGTTGATAACCGAGTTTTACTGTAATAACAAGGTTCACTGTCTTGAAATTTTCAGATCAACTACATTGCCTTGATTTTTTGTCCTCAACATGATTAAAATCAACAGACACAGTCATTTCTGTCAAGTGCTTTCTTAAAGTTTAACTGTGTCTCAACTTTTAGATAATTCAACTGAAATCATGTAACATCCATTATATTTATTCAATCGAATATCACTCTTAACTCAGTCTACTGCTCTTAATTCAATAATCTTAGAAAAGGGAGGCTTGAAGTTGATGCTATTAAATAAATAACCTTCAATTGAAAGTTGTTCTGAGCAGCTTCATTTCCAGGCAACTATACTGCCTACCAGGACCAAAAATGTATGTACCCCTACAAGAATCTCGGTCATCAGTACCTCGTTATAATTATGCTGTTTCAAGTCAAAAGTACCTCAATGTGAACTTGAAGCAGCTAAGCAGTAGCATGTATTTATAAATGCATCAAGAGCCTTGCGTTGAATGCTAGATCTGATATGCATATTCTAGAAAAGTGACCAGATTAATGTTGAAGAACAAGTCAATTCCCAAGTAAGTGCAAGCTCTACCTTGACCAAAATGTCATCTAGAGATGCACAATACATGTACTAGGTTATTAGTTTAGTCTGGGACTTTTGCCTTTCATTTACCTAATGTTTTAAACTATAGATTGAATTTCCTATCCATTAATAGATAATCTGTTGTGCTGTTTCTGGCTAAAGGAAATGTCAGATTGAAATAAATGAGCAGAGTTATAAAATATAGAAGGTTAGGAGGCTGAATTAAAATAATTAAAATACAGAACATTTGTTTAAATTATTTTCATGTATCAAAAAGAAGGAGTTAAATTATGTGAACAACTTCTTTTTAAAAGTCCAAAATTTCATGACTGAATCCATATGCTTGCAAGGTTAAAAAAATAATTAATAAATGAAACCTAAATCTCTGCATCTGACAGGTTTATTTCAAACATGAATGCAAACTTGAATTACTTGATTCAAATGTTTTAAGAATTACATTTTAAATTAGACACGTATGTCCACGGGAAATTATAGACAACGAGGCACGTTGCATTTTGAATAAAAGGTTAATATGCATCATAACGTGGTTGATAAATTTTAAGTTATATTAATAGTAACCATATGTCAAAAGTGAGTTGTATCTCAAAGGATTACCTACTGTTTGTTTATCAACACAGGGTGGACGATTTGCAGGATAATAAATAATTATAATTTGATAACTTTATAACGAATTTTATTTAAATGGTGTAATTTACAGCATAATTATATACCACCACATAGCGTATATTACTTTAAATTTTTACCATATTACATGGCAGGATATACTTTGTTACAGCACAGGACGATTTGTATTTAAAACTTGTCAGTAATTTAATGACCACATGAGCTCTAATATCAACTCTGTCCCCATCAAATGCAATTGTATGTTTAATAACTTTTGTTTTATCTTATATACTATTCAAAGTTGATATGATATTGCATGTTTGAAATTCAGCCTATGAGTTTTTAATGCATTTGACCCAAAATAAGTGCTTGTAATATATTAAGGCTTCTAGAGTTGATGTATAATTAGATGCATATTTCTAAGGTAATAAAACTATTGAATGTCAAGGTTAAATTTCGTGCATGGATGCCCCCCCCCCCCCCTCAAACAACAAAGAGATAATTACTAGCAGTACTAATCTGTTATAAGAAGTAGGCAAAATTATATTGACCATAGAATTCCATCGCCTTTTGCAAGAAGTCATTGATTGATGAAGTGTTTTATTACTGACTTTATTTTCTGCTCATTGACTGCTTCATTGAATCGGAACACTCAGGTAAAGACATTGAAGGAAGGCTAACGTAGGCAGGGCATAAAAAACGTACTCTAGGCCTTGGGACATCAATAAGATGACAGAGAAGATTGAACTACAAACACTTCTGTAGGGCGGTATCATTACGCTGTAGTAAATTCCAAGAGAAATAGTGTGTGAAATTTTTGGGAAAACGTTTTTTCTGCACACTTTTATTCATTGCAAGGTAAGGGCAGCTGGTATAAATTTCCATTCCTTTGTTTTCTTGCTGTGTGATGAAATTGAATTCTGATAACATTATGAATATCCATCACCTGATATGCCTGTGTTTTCTGTTTTGCTAGTTAGGAGATTGATGTATGCTGCAGTGTTCAAAGGACTCTCAGAATATCCAATTATTGTGTCATACTTTTAATAGGGATATTGTTTTACATTATGGAACTTATCTCTTAATGAGTTTAAAAATCTTTGAAAATGAAATATTTTGCCATACCAATCAATAAATGGATATATAGACTGTATACAGACATTGAATTGACATTCAGAGTCATTGCCTCTGAAGAAAATTTAGATTAATTGGTTTTATATGTAGCTGGCTTTACATAGATTGTAGTGTGTAGGTGGATATAAAACAGGCTTAGGTGGCATACATCAAGAGCATAATTTACATGCATTAAAAGTAAAAGTATTGGTAAACCTTTTATGTTTCAAAAATTAATAAACATACATACAGCGTAATGGTCTTTAAGATATGATTCAGTCAACTATTTAAAAAAAGAAAATTAAAATAGCTTTTCATGTATAACTTAAACAAGTGGGTTGATCGACTCACAGATGTTATAAAACATGACTGTTTATAATTACTAAGTATTTCATTCTGTGAAAAATGCATTGAAAACCCACTGCATATCATTTATACAAGAGTAATAGGAATAAGATGAATAGCTAACCAGATTTCTATTAACAAGATCTGTGTTCCTTTTGACAACATTTTGCCTTTATCATCACCTCCTGGTCCTGATTATATTACATAGCCATTGATTTTCTGGGAAATCTACCACACTTAGAATAGAACTGGTAGAATTGTGGACACCAGACAAATATAAAAAAATGTCTGTTTATCAGGGTCTCAAGAGAAATTTGAGAACCAATTATATAATTGTGCATATCTTTTATGCATTATGTGATACGAGAGGGCTCATATGAGATTCCCCTCTAAGTTTTTTAAATACAGTACTGTACATGTATCATTAGCACATGCTAATTCTGAAAGGTGTACACTGCATTTTGATGGAGAATGATTAATGCCAACTGGGAAGCTTGAATTTATTCTTTTTTCAAGACTTAGTGATTTCTTGAGTAAATCAAGAAACAAATGAGTCAAAGTAATTGTATGTACATGTATTGTAAACAACTTTGTCACCAAGGTTTCTGAGAACTAGAGAAAATTAGCATAATACTATTACTATGCAAAGCTTGGGTATTATCTATCTTCCTTACTCCTTGTATTTTTCTCCCTGGTAGCCTACAATGGTTTTCCTGCTGATTGCTTTCATTGCACTTCAATATGAAATACGATTACGTTAAATGACCTCTTAATGACTCTGTGCAGTTGGTTCGGAGACAATTATAATGAGTGATTGTTTGAGGATAATGTTCAAAAACCAGAAAATCAATTCGCCACGGAAATTCAAAGTCAGCAGTCTCCCGTAAAAACAAGTAAAAACAAGTACATCCTCCGTTCTGTACTTGTTATTTTAATGCATTATTAACAAGGAACTAGAACGTAAGATGGGGGAAAATTAATGAAGCAGCTTTGAATTTGTTAGCTGTGAATGCTGCCCTTTGGGCATCTCTCTGTCACTTCTCATTTTTGTTATATTATGAATTAATCCAAAGATAATGAACTTGAAATTAAGATTCTGATTTGGATTTTGATGCAGAACTGCACATGGTACCTTGGATGTAAAAGCTCATTAAGATTTCGTTCAGGTGTACTTTTTTCTCAGTGCATGATCATATTTTGTGCATTGTGATAGAGTCAGTGTGTGCACTAAAAACTTGATTGATGTGGAATTCGATCTGTTTAAATATTTGAAACACAGGTTAGTTAAAGAATAAGAAATTTATAATATTCAGGTAATAACTATCCAGAATCTGAATGGTCATGACTGTTACTTGAACTAGGTCAAGTGTGGAATTCTTGCTTTGACACCAGAATGTGACATTGTTTTTGTTTCTCGTTGTAGGGAAATAGAACATGTGTGGCTGTTGTTGTGGCAAGGTAAGTCAAATTAATACATTTAATTGTGATAAAAGATCATAGACTGTAAAATTTTAATGGAGCTTAAAGGAAAATTTCCCTTTTCAATCTAAAATTTTTCAGAATCTTGAAGTGAAGTAGCTATACTTCCATTAGTCTCTGTTGAGATTCTGCTGGGCTAGATATTTGGACTGACGCCCGCAGTCTGCATCAGTCCAAATATCTAGCCCAGCAGAATCTCAACAGAGATTATACTTCCATGAATGTTCCCACTGGCAAAAAAAATAAAAATAATGTGCTTATCCTATGTATCCAAATGGACCCATGAATTTAGCATGTTTAATGTACAGTTATCTCGAAGACCATAGATGTGTCAAAGGGATTAAGAGGTCTAAACCCTATAAAATTTTCCTTAAATTTCTTGAATACTTGGATATCTTGAAGTTTTTTTTCTCAGTCTCAATGAATTTGAGATAACAAAATTTGACTGTATAAATTTTTTGAGATAGACCTTAATTGTAATGAAATTGGTTTTTAATATGTCAGTGCCACATTAAATACATGTATGTTTGCTATTTTTATTTCAAGATAGAAATGAAATTAACATCTCTAAATAAAATCCATATTTTCAGCGAAATATTGAATATGAAGGAAAGTTATCACAACAATTATCAAAATTGCCATTATTTAATATTGTAAAACTACAAAAGAGAATATTTCTTCCTGTTCTTGGGTGTAGATTTTGGAAACCTGTAAATTTAAGTAATAGGAAGCAATATTGAGGGTGTGTTAAAGTAGCTGTCTCATCATTTGTTTCCCTGTACTGAATTAGTTACAGTCAAATCTGTACATTAATATTATCATTTCCGTCTTTTAATGCCCCCAACAGGGTTGTTGAAAAATATGCAATTTCATTTTCATGTTGATTGAAATGAAAAATTTTTAAAGATGCACTGGAGGAACTTTTATTGTTCAAATGTTTATGTCATATCTTGTAACAGGAAATGATTGAAAATTATTTATAATTTAAAACCTGCTTAATGTTTCCATGATAAGCTGGAAACTATTGATCAAGATTGGAGAAGCTCCGTTTCTGTTCAACTTGTTCAAAAAAAGCTGTGTTGGTTGGGGGCTACATCTTCTGTGTTAATCGGGAGTTATTTGATCATTACTCCCGATGGACTTGTGACATGAACACTCTGTCTCATCAATATTTTATATTTACACGACCTAAAAGCATCAAACATCCATAAAAAGCCAAACTAGAATATAACTTCCCATAATACTCTTGATCTCCATTCCAGGGACCTCAAGCAAAATGTTAGATAATTTGTATATATACTGGTACACTGAGTAAAAGCAATCTCGAGTTTCCTTGGAAACAGGGACTGTAAAATAATCCAAGATTACAAAATCTATTAACATTTGAGTTTTTAAAGCTAGTGCTAAAATATTTTATGACCCTAATGACAATACACCAGAAGTTGGAGCCCCACTGCTGTTAATGCTTTTACTAAATGAAACACATGGACTTTTTTTGACAGGATTCTGCGGAAGATAAAGCAGATCTAACGAATCCAATCAAAAATCGAGGATGCACCGACATCATCGTCCTGATTTTGTTTGTTCTCTTCTGGGCTGGCATGGTTTGTATTCACTGAAGAATTGCTTTTGACACTCTATAATGCAAGGATATTGAATATGACAGATTTTATTTAAAATTCCCATTAACCATGTAGAAAACCAGTAATTGTGGTAGAAGTTGTTATAAAAATGTAATATTAATAATTCAGAAGATTTTGGTTTTGAGAAGAACTTTGCTGTAAAAATTCTTTTGTGTATTCTAAAGCACTGTACAGAATATAATTAAACAGTTATAGAATTATCCCTAATATTCAATTACTTAATGTTCTTCTCAAGAGCTTTTGCAGTGAGAAGTGTTTCTCAACAATCTGTCTGGGTTTTATTTAAAAACAGTAAATCAAAGGGTAAATCTGATAACAAAAGGATTTCAGTATTGGATATATGCCGAATACAGTTCTGTATTAAAAAATATCAGACAGTTTGAGGCCCCGTTAAAATTGTTTTAAGTTTCATTATTATTGTTATTGAATTTGATGAATGGTTTTGGTTGTTTATTATTTTACTGAAAAGTAGGGGAAAAAAATATGCAAAATCATTATCTGATGGGTATATTTTATGTTTGTGTTTTTATTAAAACCTGACACAAATATACACATCAAGTTTACATCTAAGGAACATATTTCAGATATTTAATATACATACAGGTATTTTAAGAATCTGGTTGTTTAAAATACTGTTCTGATTCCTATTTATTTATTGTCAGATTTACATAGCTGCCTTCTCCATCACACACGGAGATGCCTGGAGACTAGTCTATGGCTATGACAGCTTTGGTAACACATGCGATGAGGACAATACCGGAAAGAAAATTGAAAATGTGTCCTTCTCAGGCATGAACATGGAAGGCAAAGGGTAGGTCAGAGGTCACTGCTATGGCTACAAATAGTTTTGTTTCTTTACAGACAATTACATGATGTTCTCTAGAGAACCATAAGTATTGTTTAACTAACTTCTCATTCCAAAAACTAGCGAATTATTCTATTATTTTTTGTCTTCTTTTCATGTGCAAATTCTTACAAATAATTCCAACTACATGACATCATTTCATATTTTTTTTATTCCAACAAATAATTCCCCTTTTCAGTCTAACTTCGAAATATACAATCACCTACTCACATAATGACCAAAACATGACAGGGTTATTGTGTATACTTAATGCAATGAAACTTCACTCATAGGTATGTGTTCATGTTGGACATCTTTGACCCCTTGAACTCCATGAAGCTATGTGTGAACAAGTGCCCAGGTCAAGACTTGAACACCACAGATGACCTTACAAGATTTGCCATAACTGGAGGGTCGTACCTCTGTAGATATGATGTCAACGAAAATGATTATGATGAAGCCGTAAAGAAAGGTCTTTGTCCTGGAAAGGTGTTTGCCAGGTACGTTTGAATGCTTTATTATAGTGGTAAAGGAGAAATCCATGTTTATTTGTGTTTGAAGGTATTCATTATTATGTTTTCTCTTTCTTACTGATTTTGTCATGTTTGATGAAGAATTTATTCTTTATAGTTCCATACTATAAAATCTATATTAAAAAATGCTTGCTAAAAACAAAGGAAATATGCACTAACATGCAAAAGAAATGCAACAACCTCTTCACTAGATATATTCAAATAACTTTTACAAATGATATTTTGCAATGCAATGCAGATTTTAACAGTAATATATAAACTGATTACAACATAGGGCATTTAACTGAAAGCTGAACCTGAGGCTCATGAAAACTTCAGAAACTGCATAACAACTGATTGTTGCAAATGAAAAATTCTTCAGTCCTAGCCCAGTCTGATAATTTTGACATATCACTTAAGGAAAAAGAAATTATAACAGGATTTAAAGATACATGTAGTACTGTTGACCTTAAAATTAATATTGTATAAGTAGAATTTTTTGCGAGGATTTAATTTCATCATTATTAGTGAGTTTGCTGACATCGCTAAAATTGAATATCACTAAAAACTAATTGCGTATTATTTGTAATAGCTTCATTAGTTAGCATTTTAAAATCGCTAAAATTACTTCTAGCTAAAAATAAAATTTTAGGTTGAAATCACTAAATCTGCATCTCGCTAAAATTTCCACTTATAACGTAGAAACAATATGCTGTATACCCTTACATAGCAGAATTTGTTTTGAAACATTTAAGTATCCATTTAATTAAAGTAAGACATTTGATGAAAGTCAAAAATAATGTACAATGTCTCATATTTTCAGAAATGAAAATGTTGCATATCTGTTGCATGTTAGATACTCATAGACAGAAAACATTTTCATAGACAAATGCCTATTTTCTTGAAAGTTAATTTCAATGTTCATCTTGAATCATCATTGTTAAGATTTGCCTGTACATTTTGAAACTGCGAATCATGCATTTTTGCAGTTTCTTTTATCTTGTATTTCCTTCTTGTTATGGGTGTTAGTAAACTTTCATATTTTCAAATAATGAAAATTTTAAATCTGATCATTTGCAAAGTTAAATATTTCAGTAAATTGAGATTAAAATATTAATTCACCACATCAAATTGGGTTTTGCATTGCAGTGAATCATTACTCAACTATTGTGTACCTTCTTCACTGAAGCGACTGGGGCTCGACTCCCTCAACAAGCTCATGGTTTTCTTTAACCAGTTTGATAGTTTTCATAGAGTTTTATCTGATGTCATAAAGTCATGGCGAGAGATGATTATCCTTTGTTTCGTAGCACTAGGTACTTCACTGTGTGTTTAACATGTGTAGACAGTACATTGGTGGATCTAGAGATTTTAGAGGGGTGAAGGGTATTGTATTTCTCTTCTAAGATCTTTCTTCTAGATCTGCCAATGACTTTGGAAGGAGTGTTATTGATTCTGACTTGTTAGGCATTTAGTAGAGCATTTTATGTTTAACATGTCATTTTGTTAAAGCTTTTTTGTTTTTAAAAATGATATTTATTTGCTCAGGCTGATTCACTAATAACACAGTTTTATTTTTGTGGCCTTACTTGTAATGAATTGATAACGCACCTTTCACTAACTTATTTCTGTTTATGAATTTTCTGTTACATTTGTTGCTGATTTGAATGATGTAATTTTTTCAGTGAACCAATTCTGAATAGGTGTGTGCCAAAGCAGATCTTTAGCACTGCGGGTGACATTTTTGCCAAATTCTTTGAATTCGTAAATTCAAGTGACATATTCCACAAAGTTTTGCACGATTTAATGACGGGCTGGCGTGAAATGCTCATCCTGTGTTTTGTTGCGCTAGGTAAATGACAGCCATTTTTAGTCATTTTGGGACATGCATTTATCTATAGTGATTGTATATTGCTGATCATTATATTTGACTAATACGGGAATAAAGTATATTCACTTGTAACATAGTTATGCCCCTTTGCTATGTGTGGTGAATGGTATTTCTGCAACATGAATAACTTATGACAAATTTTAGGTATTTCTGTTTTAAAAGTGGAAGAATGATATTCTTTGACCTAACTGCAATGAAATAAGTCAAGTAATGTAGTTATTTGTAAGTTAAATAGATTAAAAGAAAATAAAAATATGCAAGCTGGCATTTTGGAATATTGATTGATATATATATATTTTTTTTTTGAGAAGCATTGCAAAAGGTATTGATGAATACACTAAAAAAAAAAACACATGCCAGGTAATTAAAATGAAAAACTAAAATAAAAGATGGATTTAGGAATGAAAAATCATTCCCAAGAATTTGATATATCAATAGCCATTGCAACTAGCTCATTGATTCAGTACAAAAATGAATCTAAGATAGTATCTTTGATAGGAGAAAATTATCTAATTATGTTTTGTTTGCATGCTAAATGCAGCAGAGATGTGTTTTGCATGACTAAATTTCTACGTTGTTGACTTGGCAACCATAATTAACACTGATATTTGTGTGCATTTTCCGACAGGAATTTACAAATGATGGATTGACCTGAGAGCAGATATTAGCTGCATGTTATTACATTTTTGTTCAGCACTTGTATAATCAATTCCCAACATTATCAACTGATTTAATAGCATGACAATATTCCCTTACTCCACAGTTACATGTACCAGAATGTCTAAAACTAATGCTGGTGTAAACTAATTACTCTCAATACTAAAGTCTATTTGACAACTGTAAATGAGGCATTAAGATAAAGTTATTTATAAATTAAAAAATCATTAAACACAGAAACTGAGATTTTTATCGGACTGAATTCAGCAGCTAAATTCAACAAAGATTTATTTCTGATCATGGAATAAAAGAAGCATTATTTAAAAAATTCTAAAATGTCAGTCTCTATGTGATTTTGATGATTTCCTGATGTAAATGGCTAAAGTTAAAGAAATAAAAAGATTTATTTTCTTATTTTTCCACCTGATTATATACTATTTAAACTCATTGAAGACATATTTCATGTTAATTCTGCTGTTGCAGGATTTGGGGCCTTGATGGTTCTCCTCATCAGATTCCTCGCTTCTGTCATCGTCTGGTTCATCATCACCATCGCTATACTGGGAAGTATTGGTAAGTTTACAAAATCCCACACTGAGAAGTATTGGTAAGTTTACAAAATCCCACACTGGGAAGTATTGGTAAGTTTACAAAATCCCACACTGGGAAGTATTGGTAAGTTTACAAAATCCCACACTGGGAAGTATTGGTAAGTTTACAAAATCCCACACTGGGAAGTATTGGTAAGTTTACAAAATCCCATATGAGGGAGAGAGGGGGTGAATAATGATTTGTTTAAATACCCACTGAGCAAGGTTATGTTTACTGAATCTGTTACTGAGAAGTTTTAGTAAGTTTTTATAATCCATACTGGTATTAAAGTATTGGTAAGTTTACTAAATGCCTAAACTAGTTACAAAAGTCCACACAAGGAAAGGGTATGGGTAAGTTAACTGAATACCCATGAAGCATTGGTAAGTCTACTGAATCCCATACTGAGAAGTATTAGTAGGCTTTTGATGCATGGTGTGTTTTGCAGCTGGAACAGCAGGTTTATGGTGGACATACATGGACAAGAAAAGATTCATAGACGACAAAGAAGAGGACAATATTCCACTGCTAAATATAGACATTGACAGTGAACAGGCTTTCTTAATCTACTCCATCATTGCCACTGTGCTGACAGTATGTACATGTATTAATAGCAGAAACAACCAGCAGACATGCACTTCTTGTAATGATTAAACTGTTAACAAAATGTATACTAGTATAGCTTCACCAATTTTGCAAATTATTCCACGATCCAACCGTTGTTGATGCCCTGGCATAATGAACAAACTACACAGTGATTCCTTAACTATCTTATTCAAAATGCTGTTAAGAATTTCAATTCTTTCACTCGGCACATTTTGTCGATTGCCTTCATACAGCAGTTCTACTTTTTACCTGTGTAATAAAGTAATCAGGTGATTCTTTTGTACATTTGACCTGTGTTGTCATTTACTCCAGGTGATCCTGTTGTTGGTGATCCTGGTGATGAGGAAGAGGATTGGTCTGACGGTGACCTTGTTCCACGAGGCGGGGAAGTGTCTGGCTGATGTCCCCATCCTCCTCCTACAGCCGCTGTGGACCTTCATCATCCTCGTCTTCTTCTTTGTCTACTGGATCATCATCCTGGCATTCCTGGCCACAGCAGGTACATCTTCTATTCTTGTTTCATGAACTTCTGCATAAAGGGTACCAAAAAATGTAATTTTACCAGTTTTAAGAACTCAGTGTTTTTACTCTTAAAATTCATGCTGTGATACTTCTGTAGCAGCAAAATCAACGCCAGGTAAAATGATAATTTAACTTTAATTCACTTTTAATGAAAGATGCCATTTTCTTTTTATATTTACAGAGATAGCCTCAGTAGATAAGAAGACAGGATTTGTGAAGTACACAGAGCATGAGAATGTCTCGTATCTTTGGTGGTACCATCTGATTGGTCTAATCTGGACCAGTGAGTTCATCATCGCCTGTCAGCAGCTGGTGGTGTCAGGAGCTGTCGCTACCTGGTACTTCACAAGGTAGATTATCACTAAATTGAAATGCATTCCTGTTAAAGTAGAGAAAATTTAGAGATTCTGGTTTTAGTAACTGTATTCTAGCAATTTGCTTTTATGTCAAATGCATATCACTGATTGGGAAAAAAATTACTCAAACTAATAGGGAACCGTGTTATTTTATGTCATTAAAAGAAATGCAATCTGTCAAAATCTTGATAATTTCAGAGACAAAAAGACATTGTCTTGTACCATATGCAAATCCACCCAGCTTCTTATTTTCCACCATCTTGGATCTGTAGCCTTTGGGGCTTTCATCATTACCTTAGTCAAGCTTCCTAGATGGATACTTATGTACATGCAGAAAAAGTAAGCACTGACAAATCAAAGTATATCTTTCCTTTGAATATCTTTAAATCACTTCTTAGAAGATGTCAAGTGTCTTTGTTACAAAAGAGAATGATTTTTTTTCAGAATGAAGGGATCAGAGAACACCTGTGCTAAGTATACAATGAAATGTTGTATCTGTTGTTTATGGTGCCTGGAAAAGTGCTTAAAATATCTCAACCAGAATGCCTATACTGTAGTGGGTAAGTGGTTCAGTGTTTTATTGACATGTTTTAGACATTATATAATTTTTGTACGTCAAATAAATGAGCTGTGCTGACTTATCTTTTCCTTGTTTTTAGCAATACAAGGTTCAAATTTCTGCTCCTCTGCAAAAAAGGTATGCAGTGAGATTTCTTGAACAATTTTTAAATGGTTTTAAGATAATACATGTATATCAAAGGATATCTTTATACAAGACTCTCTGTGTAAATTATACCTACATTGTATTTTACAACATTTTAATTCTATTTTTGACATTTTAGGCCTTCATGACCTTGGTTGGGAATGCTTTACGTGTGGCAGCCATTAATAGTGTGGGAGACTTTGTGTTGTTTCTGGGGAAAATCGGCGTCACAGCTGCCACTGGTGCTGTTGGTATCTTCTGGTTCAAGGTCAGACTCTTAGTACAAGCTTCTGCCATTTTAAATGAGAGAAATTATACTTTGTCATATTAAGCTGCTGATAAACAAAAATCTTGATCAGAACTGCACAGGAGAAATATGATGTTTTTTTTTTGTTTGTTTTACTTTGATGTAAAACATTAATCTGACAGCTTATACTGATTGACCTAATTTCTGGTTTACAGTCAAAGGAAGAGTTGAACTATTATGCCATACCTGTCCTGCTTGTGTGTATTTTTGCCTACTTCATTGCTCATTGTTTCCTCTCTACATATGAGGTAAGGCATAATCACTTTAAGTAATCCAATTTGAAGCATATGATGGTATGATTTTTTATGATTGCTGACTTTGTCTGTGTTTTGTAGATGGTAATTGATGCTCTACTGTTGTGTTTCTGTCACGACACAGACATCAATGATGGCTCTCCAGAGAGACGGTACTATGCCAGTGTGTCCTTGCAGGTAAGAATTATTCTTAGACATTGCTGTACTTTCACAGGACAGTTCCCATATACAAATTATGTTGGTAGTCTCCTATCACTGCATATCTGTAGTAAGAGGGTAGTGGGCATGACATTTTAATATTTTTGGTAAACAAGATGTATACCGTAAATCTGGAAATTTTACGTCGATTTTATTTTGCGAATCTGGGTCAAAATGCTGTTGATTAATTTTTATGTTTCAAAATTTTGCGAATGACCACTGCTTTGTTTGCATTTCCTCATTGTTGATTTATTTTTTAAGAAAAATATTTTTGCGAATGCAATGAACTTGCAAATTTGCTAAGAATTTATCTACAGCAAAAATTTCCAGATTTACAGTAGTATGCATCATGATAAAATCTCCCTTGACCCTCTGCATTACAAAATGTTCTGAACAGGAGATTGTTCAACATAACATTTTCTCTGTTATTGGCTATCCAAATTATTTTTGATATAGTGTGTACCTTTCCACATTCCTTCCTCTTTAAAATCTTTCAATCTGAATAATCCAATGAATTGATTATACATGAATATGAAACACATCATCTCAGTCCAGCTAGTAAAATGTCTGCCAAATGTGGGTTTTTTTCTCAAGAATTTTAATCTGCCTGAAGAGATTTCTCTGTTATTATTTAAATGTCAAATTTTAAGACAAAATGCCAACCAGTTGGCAAGGCTGTTTTAAGTGGACATTGAATTTTGTTTTGACCAATTACCAGTATTGATTAGACATCATAAAACTTTCTGCCAACATGTATTAAAATACATGTATATGTATGTATCACTTTATTGCAGAAATACATAGAGGATGGTAGTAACCAAATGAATGCCATCTCAAAAGGGGAGGATACAAGCGGGGAACCGGAGGCCGCCAGGCTGTAAATAGCAATTACACAGAGTAAATCAAGAGTGGTCAAAGACAGCGAGTATCTTCGTTCCGTGATGCTTATCGAATGTTACAAAAAGGACGGTAGTTAAATATTATTCAGATGAATGGAGAGTCAGAGTGGAATTAATTCAGCAGTCAGTGAAGTAGGCACAGACATTGTGTTCAGTGAAAGTTATACATTCTGTACTGATTGAGAGAATGGAAAAAAAATTTCTCTATTGATCCTGAAAGATGTTTATTTGTGTTTTACATGTAATTCTGTTTCATAAGAGTAATGGATCTGATAAAAGAAGTAAAGTAGACATTAATTTAGATGCCTTTAAATATCAGAATTCTGAAAGAATTACATGTGTCTAAAGATTCGTTCTTTTCATGCCTAAGCAACATAAAAATTGCATTGGAACAAGATATTTGGAACCATAGCTGTATGGACTCTGAATTTATAACCTAGAAATTATACACTTTATAGATGTACTTGTGTATAAGTATAAGGTTGTTGATTTTTATTATTTGATGATGAATGTGTTGGTGCATTTAATGAAGTACTTATATATTTTATTTTTCTAAATTTTTGTGAAGTAGAGAGTGTATTTTTTTTAATTTTCCTATGATAGTTTTTCATATATAATGCCATTCATGGAATTTTTTTTTGAAGATAAAATATTGAGATTTGTTTATATTTTGCTATGTTCATATTTTATTTCAGATGTACAAACCATTAATAATCCTTATGTTGAAAACTCTTGTATATATTTGTCCACCATAAAATGTAGGAAGATACCTCATTTATTTTTTTTTATAATTACTTTTCAATGAATATAGAATTTTTTTATTTAAAAAATCCTTAGATAATGTTCTAAACACAGATGTTTAAATTACTCGAATCTCTCTTGTATGTGAACAAATTACATGAGTTTTTTTAAGCATTTAAATCCCAAATGTGACTCATTAAAATGTTAATCAAAAGAACAATTGTGATTGAAATATTGAGTCTTCACATTTTAATGATAGATAAAAATCAGACTCTAATTTAAATTCTAATTTTTGATTTTTATACTGTGACAACATTTAACTGAAATCAATTTTGATATACTGATGATTTATAAATCCTGTGTAGTAAGTTTTTGCTTTACACTTTGGTTGTATTAAGTAATGTGACCATTGCTTTGGAAAATGGCATTTAAATTGAAATTTTGTATTCATATTCCCTTTTTTCTTTTGTGTTTTTCAAATTTATATACATGTATGATTTATAAAATCCTGTGTAGTAAGTTTTTGCTTTACACTTTGGTTGTATTAAGTAATGTGACCACTGCTTTGGAATTTTTTTTCACTATCAGTGGCACATTATTGACAGAGTCACACAGAAAGTTTTGTATTCATATTTGATTACTGGTGCTTTTTTCTTTCATGTTTTTCAAATTTAATCTCTATAACATGTATTTTGTGAAGAAGGAAACACATTCATTTTTTTGGTTACTTTTGTATCTATACATGTTGTATTACACACCTTCACTTTTTAATAAGCCATAATTATGTGCAATGCTTGCTTTGTACAGTTATTTGTCATTGCAGTTATTTGTCGTTATTTGTTACAAAGTTTTCAAGTGTTAGTAACACAGGTGTGATTGTAATGCCCAACTTGATGCAAGGGTATAGTCCACATCTTGATGCCCACTTATTTTTTTTTTTACTTTGATAGGAAACATACTGCATCTTTCCATCATATTGCTTCATACAACATATATTTTGGTAGTTTTTATATAAGACATAAATCTGTGCAATACAGTGTGTAGTTTTGATACACTATATAATACATGTACCTTCTCTTTGTATGAGTACATAATATATAATATGAGTACCCGTATTGTGATTGCTTAATTGCTTAAACAAAAGTATGTGGTGTATATATAATATACATGTATAATGATTATTTTTGAGATACAATAATTTCATGATTATTAATTTTAAATGATGTACTTTAATTTAGCACTCCAAAATAAAATGCTTTAAAATATCAAATCAGATATGTTTTGTTATAGTTAAACATTTGGTATTAAGGTTCATCAGGTGGCATGAGTTAGAACAGTAGTTATTATTGTGAGGTTGTCAAGATTTTGAAAGAACCAAGGTGTTGCTGTAGTGTTTCCCTTGTTTTGGAACTGGATTCAATTTTTCCATCTCCAAACCAAAGGTTTATCCTTCTCACTCTCCCAGTCAGTGCATTAAGCCTCATAAGATCATAAGCAATATTTCACTTCTATAAAATACTGTTTTGAAGTAAAGTGATAAAATGTCATTGAGAACTGGTACATGTATCATTCATTGATTATGAATTCTACCTTGGTGTTTTTGTGTTTTACAAAAATGACAATACTAGACTAAGTACATGTATCGGTATATTATTTTGTTTACATAACATCAAAATACATTGGAAAACATTTGAGCACTATAATAAAGCATAGGGCAACAAAAGTTAATGCATTCTAGCAAAGTGATAGCTCAAAAATAGGTCAAAACTTTTTTACAATTTTTTTTAAAGTTTATTAAATCTCGATTGTTATCTATTTTTTGACAATTTGAGTTCAAGTTTGTCCAGTCTAAAAGTAGATGATATCCCTCTAACATACTGAAAGGTCTAGAATTATTTTGTACTTGTCAGCTGTTACCTCCTCGCAATCTACACATACTTTTGAGTTTTGCCAGTTTTGCAGTTTATAAGAAGAGGTTCATGAGACACCTTATATTGAGCTAAATGATATTCAGGTAATAATGTATTTTGGTGTAGTTTGTTTTTAGCTCACCTGAGCCGAAGGCTCATGATTGCTTAATTGCTTAAACATTTTGTCCATCTGTATATCTGTAAACTTTTCACATTTTCGACTTCTTCTGTTAATGATTATTTTTGAGATACAATAATTTCAAGAACCACTGAGCCAATTTTGACCAAACTCGGTACAAAGCATCCTTGGGTAAAGGGGAATTTAAATTTTTCAAATAAAGGGCCAAGTCCTTTCACAAGGGGAGATAATCAAGAAACAACAAAAATAGGGTGGGGTCATTAAAAAATCTTCTTCTCAAGAAGCACTGGGCCAGAAAAGCTGAAACTTATGTGGAAGCATCCTGGGGTAGTGTAGATTCTAAATTGTTAAAATCATGACCCCGGGGATAGGGCAGGGCCACAACGGGGAATCAAAGTTTTACATAGAAATATATAGGAAAAATATTTTAAAATCTTCTTCTCAAGAACCACTGGGCCAGAAAAGCTGAAACTTATGTGGAAGCATCCTGGGGTAGTGTAGATTCTAAATTGTTAACATCATGACCCCCGGGGGTAGGGCGGGGCCACAATGGGGAATCAAAGTTTTACATTGAAATATATGAGAAAAATCTTTTAAAAATCTTCTTCTCTAGAACCACAGGGCCAGAAAAGCTGAAACTTATGTGGAAGCATCCTGGGTTAGTGTAGATTCTAAATTGTTAAAATCATTACCCCCGGGGATAGGGCAGGGCCACAATGGGGAATCAAAGTTTTACATAGAAAAATATAGGAAATATATTTTAAAATCTTCTACTCAGGAACCACTGGGCCAGAAAAGCTGAAACCCATGTGGAAACATCCTGTAGTAGTGTATATTCAAATTATTCAACTTATGACCCCCGAGGGTTGGGCGGGGCCACAATGGGGAATCAAAGTTTTACATAGTAATACATGTATATAGGAAAAATCTTTGAAAATCTTCTTCTCAAGAACCACTAGGCCAGAAAAGCTGAAACTTATGTGGAAGCATCCTGGGGTAGTGTAGATTCTAAATTGTTCTACTCATGACATCTGGGGTAGGGCGGGGCCACAATGGAGAATCAAAGTTTTGCAATGTTGAATCAAAGCATCCTATGGTAGTGTAGATTTCAAATTGTTTAAATTATGATCAGTTGGGTAGGGTGGAGTCACAATATGTACATGTATTATAAGGGGAAATTTGGTAAAGAACAGAATGGTCGAAGCTTCTCAGGTGAGCAATGTGGCCCATGGGCCTCTTGTTCAAGTATAGATAAAACTGTAAAAGGAGTAGATGTAGTACTGTAAACCCCCCCCCCCCAAAAAAAAGAATCACAATTGTTGATGTACTTTATCATTTATAGATTTCTATTAAAAATAAGTCATACACGTGGCATAGTGGATAAATTTGCTGAGTAAGGAGTTTATCCCTACATTCCTGGTTCAAATCCACTCCAGGACCTGCTGAGCGATCCTTCAAATGAGACTACATATTCAATATTTCAGAAAGAAAGGTGGTAAACTCTTTGCCATCACACAAGCTCCTTGACCAGTAGAACTACCATGATATGAGTAGAGAAAGGAACAGTTATGCCGTTGTATCCCTTATATATTTTCAAATTTGATGAGCAGTATACATACAGTTGTACATAAACAAAATACCTTTCAGCCAAATTTATGAACTTTGCATAACTACTAAAAAAATTCTGAATATTTATTTTTTTTTTTACATTCAGTATTGTAACATTTACTGCAACAAACAAATGGTTCACAACATTGCAATAATGAGTTCCATCTTACATACAAAACATAACCAAAGTAAAAATAAACAACATATGATATATTCTATATAAATGTTCTTCACTCTCCATAAAAAATATGTTTATTTTCAAAAATATTCCATTCTTTTGTGCAAGATTGCAAATCCATTCACATATTAATATAAATTTATATAAATATGATAAGTATATTTGTAGATATGTGTACATTACAATTATAGTTTTGCAATTTATATTGAATACTATTATTGTTTTGCAAGATTTCAGATGCCTTTTAAATATTCAGTGTTCTTCCATATACAACAAAACCTGATTAAAGAGCACCTGTTAGTAAAGAAATCTTGGTTTATATGGGGAACTTTTTTTTGGTGCCAGTTCCATAGTTTCATTATGTTTCTTATAAAATTTAAAGATAAAAAGAATTTGAAGTCCCAGTTATACTTCTTTATAATCCAGTTTTACTTGTACATGCATGTACATAAAGATTCAGTATAAGAATACATTTTTTAAGCAGCAATGTAAAAGTCATGGCACCTGGAATGTTTTATAGCAGTACAGGTATATACAGGTATATACAGGTATATATGTTTCTGCCCAATAAAGTTGTGTGGTAGCCTGCTGAATATGAATCCTAATGACACTTGTTTATCACAAACACAATGAATATCAATTATTATTCTGGACTGGAATGCATATTTTACTGTGTTTATATACTGTGTCTAATACAAGACCGAGGTAAAGATGAAATTATACACATATTCTGTCTAGTATACATGTAATTGTGGAATTACCCTGGTAATGCTGTAAAATTACTTATTTTTGTAGGGGGTCATATTTTTATGGTATGAGGAAAAATATTTTGGTTGGCTGAGATTTTGAGGATTAGGTAGTGTAGAGTTGTTCTCTGTTTGAAATTCTTCATTTCATGGAGTACAACAAAATCAGGGTCTATTCATGCCTACAACCCCCTAAAAATTAGTGTCAACACAATACCTGAATTCACATATCAATAAAGAAAAAAATTACAAGCATATAAATTAAAAGTTTGCAATTCAGTTTGAATAATATTTCATTTCTTCATTTTCACATCCTTTATACATGATTAAAAGACTAATATTTTGTCCTGGTACTGGTACATAGCTTTCTGTCTCGTACAATTGTAAAATTAAAGAATTGATTAAATTGATTTTACAAACATAGAAACAAATTAAAATATTTTTCTTTTAAAATAAAATTCCATTTCAAAGTCTTCACAACCTGTATACATGGCTTTAATATAAGACTAATCATCTTAACACACAACCTGGGAAAATACTGATAAAATAACTTTGCAATTCATTTTCTAAATAAAAAATAATAACTGATAATATTATATAATGTCCGATGTACATAAAATGTATGTAGAAAAGCTCACATAATCAAAGAAAACGAGATGTAAATAAATATATAAAAAAGAAAAAGGTAAATATTCTGAGTAATGCTGTAAATATGATCATGAAACATCAATTAGAAAACACTTCCTATTGACTAAGTAACATTACTACAAAACCTGTGTTGATATGTACATGTAAATGAATGTATAAGAACACAAATCCTCATTATATGGGTAACAAACTCACAATTAAGGACTTTCTATTAATATCAATATTCAAATACATTGTATAACAATGTCTCATTCTATAGCTTGGTTGTAGACAGGGACTGTTTCCAAAAGTTTTGATGGGAACTAGTGCTCAAAAAAGAGTAATAAGTAAAATATATATCAAAAGATATCAGGAATGCAATCATTCCAATAATGACAATCTTGATTGATGGTTTTTAAATGGGAAGAAATGGTCACTGAGCTTCTGAGCTTGGTCAGGATAATGAGCTTATATTTACAACCCTTTCTTAAACTAGAGTTGTCATGACAACGGATTCATCCTCCTGGTGATCGGCCTATAAAAATTAAAAAAAAAAATTATTGGTATTTTCTTCTTCATTCATTAACTTCCATTTCCACATTACAAATATCATCTTTATAAAGAAGGAGAAAAACATGTTGATACATACAAGAGTTTGGCTGATGGTCTTGAGTTGGCTGTAAACTTCCTGACATGTTGGTCTGGTTGAAGGAGTCAATCTCCAACAAGACTCCATTAAACGAAGTCTGAAGTTTGAAAGAAATATATTAAGTAAACACGTTTATATGCATAGACTGGATACAGTGAAGCCTTGTTATCTCAAACTCAGAAGAACTGAAAAAAATACTTCAAGAAACCCAAGGATCCAAGATATTGAGGGTAAAATACCTAAAGAACATGTAGTTGGGACTCCCAAATATCTTTTGGAAATATTTGGGATACATGTACTAAAATCAACTGTATGTCAATATAAAGACTAACCAAACTAGCATCTATTTTAATGAAATTTAGTAAGCTTCTGTCTAAATCAGCAAATGAAGCTTGTCTGACGAGTTATTATACTTTGTACCCCCTACTGTCCCCAATCTTCATTTCACCTCCAGGATTTTTAGTATTTTTTTTATTCTTCTTAATATTTTTGACCTACTAGGATGTCTACTTAGTCCTGATGATAAAACACATTCAGTGTATGCAACATGCAAAGCGTGTAGATGATTTCATTTTTTGTTATCATTTGTTTTACACTTAAAACATATCAATCGCAAAAATTATGTCAAAGCTACAAAAATTATGTTAAAGGTAGCCACTCATACTGATCAATTATAAATGTTTGATGTGTCCAATTTATACATGTATCTATTACAAGGTCAGTCAAACATGGGTATCTCATAACTAATATCTCAAATGCCATAGATATGTCAAAGTGATTTGAAATCCAAACCTCTTATTCTTTAGGTATTTTACCCTGGATATCTTAAATCCCTGGATATTTCACTGTTTTTTCTTGGTCTCAACAAGTTTAAGATCACAAGATTGGACTGTATAATATATTTACATGCCTAAAGTCTAAATTAAATCACTCAAACATCACTATGTTTGTTTAAGTCACTTGGTCACTTACAATTTCCTAATACATGATTTAGGAGGCATGAGGTAAAACTCATTTTCTTCCTCAGGAAAACTATATCCCAGGCTGGCAATTTCTAAAAGCAGCACCCCAAATGTCCATCTGAAACAAAACAAGAAATCCATGTATACAAGTTTTCATGAAGTTTATATTATTTTAATCAGTTTTGCTATTGTACAAAACATATATTTACTTCAATGTATTTATAACATTATGCTTATACTGGAAATCACTCTTATATTTATTTAGGCAATTAGACAGACTCACATTTCAGACTCATTTGAATAAATTTTTCTTCTTTTAGATTCCACTGCCAGCCAGGGGTAGTATTTCCTAGGAATCTGTAGAAATAGAAACAATCACTTAAAAAAATTAACATATTATAATGTAAAAATTTGCACAATGCCTCCTAATTTAAAATCAAACAAAATATTAAATATACCGTATAATCAATTTGCACAAATTGCCAGGAAATAAGGGCCCCTCGTAAATGATTAAAATTATCAGAATCATATCAAAGATATAAAAATGAAACACATCCAATTTCTCAATAATTTGGGTGGATTATCTTCACTTAAAGTAAAGTTAGACATCATTTTAGTGGTTCCTTGTATTTATTTTTTTTTTTTCAAAAGATTTTTTTGAAGTAAATATGATATTAATTATTATAAAGAGAATACCCGCCCCCTTTTCGCAATTTTCTGCAAATAGGGATTATAAAAAACAATCTCTTACCATTAAAATGGAAAAATTTCTCACTGGTTCTGGTTGAGATTCTAAGGTAGAATTAATGGCAAAATTGAAGTTGGCAAGCTTGGCCCTTCCATGGGAAAAAAGGTAAATGTTCATAGGAATTACAAGTCTGTGGATTATCTAAGAAAAATTAAGAAGAACAATTAAATCAAAAATAAGAGGTCTGATCACGAGAAAATCTTTTACAAGTCCTCATAACATCAAAATGAGTCTTATTTGCAAGTAAATGAACCAAACTAACAATCGTTATTTTAAACAGAGATGCAATGCATTCCACTAACTTCATACCATTTTTTCTTTCAAGAAAATGACTGCTGATAAAACATCTAACACATAAGACATGAGTTCTGAGGCTTGGTGTTTAAAGGTAACATCTGGTGGATTGTCACTACTGTATCGGAGTTGTTTCAGATGCTGCTTCAAGTCACCTTGATCACAGCTCTCAAACACACTGTATTCACACCCTGCAACAAACCACAAGGTTCCCATTTTTTAAAAGTGCAAGTCCAATTTTGACATCACTGTTGAAGTTTTATACTTAAAGAAAATTTCATTATCATCCAAGCTACCACTATACATGTATGTATAAATACTAATTTAATTTTCTTACTTTCGTCTTCACAGTGTCCAAACAAAGTGAAAATGTTGGGATGCTCATCTGTTAAAGATGTCAAGATTTCTAGTTCATTATGAAATTTTCTCATCTGGTTTTTATTCCTCTCTGAAAAAAGAAAAAAATGTAAAAATAAAGAGAACAGAAAAATGATGAAAAGTAAAAATGTAGAACAATAAACATAGAATTATAAAATATGTTTAATATTACTGTAAAATCACATATTTTCATGGAGTCAAATTTTCCAGGTTTGAGGAAAAAAATATTGGTTTGAGAGGACCTAATTTCGTGGTTGGAAAATGTTTAGCAGTAATGCATATGAAAATTTAAAATTTCGTGGCAGTCATAAATTTGTGGGTCTCTCCTTGCCCCAACAACAAACATTAAACCTCCACGAAAATTAGTGTCAGATTTCACAGTAAGTTGCCTTGTTTTAATACCTTTGTGAAGACATTTAACCAGCACACTGTGACTCCTATACCTCCCTGTGTTTAGAGAAATGTCTAAAGGCATTTGTTGGAATGTTGCTTCGGAGAAGATCTGTAAAGACTCAGTGTCAAGGACAAAACTTCTCCGACCGTCATCTTGTGGAAATCCTCTGTCTGCATTTCTAATGGCAGTGCCAGTATTTTCCATTTGGAATCCATAGGTCTGTGAAAGAAAAAAAAAAATTACGCATTTATTGCAGTAGATAATGCTTGATCTCCTCTACAGGTGGACAGACAGCTGGACAGACATGGTGATTCCAGTATACCCCCTCCCCCTAACCTTCGTTTTCAGGGGTATAATAAAACATTAACATTTATTCCATACTATAAATCATGATACTAATGTAAAACTACTGTTTACAATAGCTAATGTACATCTGAGTATATAATTAAACAATAATATTCCTCCTCTGTTTGCTTATATGTGTGTTAGTAGGTTATGTAAATATTTTTTGGTGATTGCACTGTTTATTCCAACATAGCAAACATTTGAAAAAAAAATCTTTTCATACTTGTATAAATTATGGTGAAAGAACATAAAATATTGTATAATCAATGGATATGTAACACTGATGGTAGCTATTTTACTAACTAATCAACAGCAAACAATTTTCATCATACATGATAATAAAAAACAAACATGACAAAGGAGATAATACTTCATGGATGGAAATATATAAAGATTTAGCACTATAATACATTTACTGTAGAGAAGAGCAACTGCATTACTAAACACTAAGTTATTGACACTACAGATGCAAAACAAGGCTGTATTCGTACAATGTACCGTATCACCACTACAAGGAGTGAAGAACTGAGTATTGTAATAAGTGGTACAAGTGCTTGATCTTGTTATGTTCCCCAAACGAAGTTGGGGAACATATTGTTTTTACTCTGTTTCTTATTATTATTTTTCTTCTTCCTGGGTACTTATTTGTCCGCGAATGATCTTGTAAACTGTTCATCTGATGTAAGTAAAATCTTTTTAGGGTAAGTAGACATGTTATGTAGATTTGCGGAATCAAGGTCATTTTGCGCGCACGTGTTTGCAAGAGCGCGCACGTGCAACATGTAAAATGACCAATATAATTGATATAACCATAACTTTTCTATTTTCAGATGAAATGTGTTGAAACTAAGAATACAAGAATATATTAGTATTATAGACAAGAGGACGTGGTCAAATTATCATGAACTCAAGTACATGCACGTGCGCTTCGCTCTGATGGCTGAAACAAAAATCTCGATATCTTATTCGTTTTTTGACGAAATACTTTTAAATTGAAAACATAGTCATGCACTAACATATTCTTCGATATGAAAGAAAATAATTTTCATGAAATCATGCGCATGCACGTGCGCTGCAATCTGATTGGCTAAAACTTTAAATGCCTATAACTCCCTTGGTTTTCAGCCAAACAGGATGGGATTTAGAACATAGATAGTCTTAACATGCTTAATGGACCCCTTCAAGAGGGTATGGTCATCATGCACATGCATGCACGTGCATGCACGTGCAATACATATAATTACAAACGTACTTGATTAGGCGTATGTTCGAATACTTTTTGAATGCCTTGATATTAAGTACATTAAAATAAATCAATAGTGTAGATACAATGATATGGTCATTCCGCATATGCATGCAAGTGTGCGTACGTGTAATGCAAAAATTTGCTATATACTTGGTACACTTTAGGGAAAACGTTGTTTAAGTTTAAGATGCATAGAGTTTAGTTTATTTGATGAAGCTTAGAGGGAATGAGGCACCAAAATGAAGTTTGGGAGTGTTTGGGGAACATCTGTAACGGTTCCCGTTACAATTAGCACTAGTTTATATTGTGATTAAAAAGTGTTCTAATTTTTTTTAACTACGGGACTAAAAATTTCCCCCTGACACAGGCATGTCATTGTCTGTGTAACTTTAATGAGGGTGTGATCTCTTGATTAATATGTGTATCCCTCTCCATCTGGAGAAACAAAAGCAGAATAACCAGTAGTGGGTCTCTGATATTATTAGTACACAGTTTTGTAGTGACCAGGTACGGGGTGATACATTGTAAATTTTATACCTGGTAAGGTGAAGCCGAGTAGGTATGAAATTTACTAGCTAGATATCATCCCATACCTGGGACTATGGAATTATGTTACAAATTTACCCCACAGATGACTTCATTACCTATTCAAGTGTCTATAAGGTTTATAAAATTGTTTAATCTCCACTACATATTTCATCACTTTAGTTCTGTGCATATGAGATGTCACATTGTTCCACATAATACACAGTAATGTAATAGTTCTTGCAGTTATAACTTATAAACAGGTTTAAAGAATTTTTGTAGGAGAAGAAAACAATTCAATGTGTGACTGTTACTTATGTTAGTTAACTTCTTATTTGTCAACAGACACTTGTGACTATTGACAATTAAAAAGATTAAGAGTTAATATAACAGTTGTATCTTTCTTTTATAGAACTTTTGAAAAAGTTTTCAACTTAAAATGATACAATTAAACACACTTATAGTGAAATGCCAGAGACAAACAATCCTGATTCACAATTTATTGCTTTTGTTAAGTTTACAATATAAAAAAGTTTATTATGTTTGAAAATAATAGGCTATAAGAATCATTTGCATAGTTAAGCATGAATTGATTTTAATTTTGATTTATAAAAGGTTTTTGGCTAAAAAAAAAAAAAAAGATTTGTTTCCCTTGTCAGACACTAAAAAATTGCACCTCAATTCCAAAGCAATTAGCCCAATCACGGATGTATGTAGATTTACCATATCTAATTCTCTATATAAAGCCTTCAAATTCAGAGTATATGTACTAGCATATAGAGAAAAGGGTCATGGTAATTCTTGTTAACCACTGACCTAGATAGAGTTACTTCCTTTGTATCCTTTATTACATGCAAGTAATTTCAATAGGTAGTAGGATAAATTTGAAGTAAAGTTAATTTTGTTGATACATGCAAGACATGCAAATCCAGATGTGATAATACACATGTATACCCTGCTATGGTATTGCAAAAGTATATGGGCTCAGTGGCTAAATCAGAAAGTGTAATTTTAGCTACAAAGGAAATAAATCCATATGCCACATTTTCCAATTAAATACATGTATTAATTATTTTAGATTGACTAGAAGTGGCTGCTCACATTTCTGTCAGTCTCTGGTACTTGAGTACTTGTCCGGCACGGACAAAGAGGCAGTAAGGGGATACCCTCCTAGTAATTAAAATTTCTCTTTCATTATTTTGGATTTTTTAAAAAAATAATTTTCATCTCTTAAACACATCTTTATATTAAATGCATGGTAATAGTCAGTTCATTTAACATATGCTCATCAAGAAAATAAACTGGACTACCTTTCATCACAACCATTTTGTACATGCAAAAAATTGTAAAAATATGCCAACATTTTAGAACTAAATACTATTAGCCAACATTTGTAACTGCAGAATCTACACAATACAATTTATGTCAATATATTTCATTATTATCAGTATTAACATCTAAAAATTTGGCCTATTCAAGTGCCATTCCTTTATATGCCTCAAGATGAAAAACATAATCATGGGTGATAACTGCCTACACCGAAAATCTGTAAAAATGTTCCAAAATTAGAGCACTTAAAACATGCTTGTGGATTTTCTTTAAGATGCTCATTTTAACATACTATCACAACAAATGCTTGGCTATAGAAACAGAGACTTAAGGAAGATATAAACATTAAACACTGATGAAATTTTTGGGGAGGCTTTTAGAAAATAATATCAAATAGAGCTGTAAAAACTGAGATTGCTATATTCAACATAATGTATTGTACCTGCCATATTTATCCAGGAAAAATTTCATAGACAATGAAATTACTATTTTAGTGTACAGCAGTCACTTTTGTTTACTGACTTTGGAGAAATACAAGGAATTAATATATTCAATAATTGTGGAATATTTTCCTAAAATATAATGTCAAAAATATTTTAATCCAATTCAAACTTTGTCACTTACTTTAGATTTCTGCTTATTCCATTTTACATCAAAAGGAAGATCACTCCAAATATATTTTAGGCCATATAAAATTGAAATTCTGGTTCAAGGTAGCTTGCTAATTTTATTGTATTTTTGATAAAATAAAAAGTAAGTATTGCGGAGCAAACTTTTTTGTTTCAAGTTTAGTATTCAAATATCACTTCCGGTGGCCATTTGCAATGAGATTTTGGCTACTTCGTTTGAAAATACATTTGAGGACATTACCTTCGATGTTTACACGCTGATTAGCAATGGATAAAGCAGAAATTTTGACCAGAAATGGAAAGTATATCTGTGATTAAAAACATTATCTATATGTTAAAGAAAATCCGAAAATTAAAATTAAAAAAATACCTCCCTCATCTACTTTATTGCCAATAAAATGATAAATAAAATGCCGCCCTCCCGGATCTGTTTTGGAGAAAATTGGCCTGAGAACCAGAGAATTAAATTTAGATAGCCTTAGATAAATCTACTATGGAATTGGAACTCTTCAGTGAACAATGATTATAGCTTCCTTGAACTTTTATAGAACACATGCATTTTCTTAAATTCATAACAGTTTTGCTTTACCTCTGGTGGGTGGTTCTCATCTTCAAGGGAACCGTTGCTCTTCTGTGGCTTTGAACATGTACCACAAAAATGTACATGCTTCCGTCTGACAATGATTGTTACTATGACTATTGTCAAAATAGTCAACAAAATGGCTGCTGTCACACTTCCTGCTATGGCCATGGTATCTGCATCCTTATCTCTGACATTTTCCACACTTCTTAGAGCTAGAAGTAGAAAAATACTGTTCAGTGTTACTTGTACATTTCTCATAAAGAGACAATAATGAATATAAGTACATGTATTTACCATATGAACATGTATTTTTTAACATTTCAAGGGCTATTACAAATGTATAATGAAATGCAAATTTTACATGTATGATTGAAGGGAAAAAATACTACATGTATAAGTGTGCATTATCCTTCATTGTGTAGGCGGTTTTTACCAATTTGACAGGTGGATCCAGTATATCCCTCAGCACAGCCGTGGGGACACATCCCAGTATTGTCATTACAGACCTCATTGTTCTTACAGGTCCCACACTTCTGGTCACAGTTCACACCAAACCTGCCAGGAACACATTCTGTAAGAAAAGAACAATCAATGCTCAAAGTGTAAGTTTAAATATAAAGTGACATCAAGCTAAGAAAACAAGCCTAATTAACATTTTTTAAAGAATTGCCAGATATATCCTTAAGTAAAACTCACTTTCATTGCATTTATCCCCGGTCCACCCTGGCTGGCATCCTTTGCTACACTTCCCCGACATCTGCTCACACACGTTATCCAGACAGTTCTCACTACACTGCTGCTGACACTCGAATCCATATCGCCCAGCATGACAGCCCTGGTCACAATAGCCATTCTGATGGAAGCAGGTGTCTCCTACACATTCAGTGCTACAGGAGGAACCACAGTATTTTCCAAACTTGCCATCAGTACACCCCTCATTGCAAGAACCATCTAAATTGTTACACCTGTCATTTTTACAATCGACAGGACAAGTTTTGTTACAAAATCTTCCATAAAATGTTGGCTTGCAGTTCAAACAAATCCCAGATACTCTATCACATTGATTATTTTCACAGAATGAAGGGCATGTTTTATTGCAATAATCACCATAGAAACCATCTGTGCAACCATAAACACACACTTCTGTAATTTCGTTACATGCTTTTTTGTCGTCTGACTGGTATTTACAATTCTTTGGGCAAGTTTTCTCACAGTAGTTGCCAAATCTGTAAACACTACATGGATATTTGCAAATTCCACTTTCTCTAAAACACTCCTTAAATGAACAGTGCTCACTACAAGTAAAATTGCATGTGTCACCATAAAACCCTGCCAGACAACCATCCACACATACGCCCGTGTCTTTGTTACAATGTAAGTAATTACTATAAGAATTTCTTTTACAGTTTGGGCTGCATGGTTTATCACATAAGGTCCCGTACCAGCCAGAAAAACACTCTGAACACTTCCCGGTGTCTATAAATACTTGACATAGTGTACACTCTGGAGGACATCTCCTGTCACACTGTAGACCATACCATCCTTCTTTGCACCCATAAGTACAATGTCCAGAATCCTCCTTACACGATCCCCCTCCCGCACAATAAGGACTGCATTTCCATGTACAATGACTTCCAAAATAACCAAACTCACACCCATTAAGACATCTGCCAGTAGTCCCATTGCAGGCCTGCTGACCTCCTTTACATTTGTTACTGCATTCTCTACAACTTGTCCCATTCCAGTAAAAACCAGCACTGCATTGTTGACAAGTAGGTGGCATTGTCTCTACCTTTGCTGCACATTGCAGACAGTTCTGAATTAAGCATTCACGATTGCACATGTTTCCATACCAGCCAGTTGAGCAGCCATTTGTACACTTCCCTGATGACTTATCACAGGACTTTCCATTTATACAATGACCTTTGCATCTGTCACAGAAACTGCTATTCCAAAAATATCCATCATCACAGGCTGAACAATAGACGGCATTATTATTATAAGGATTCTCCTTGCAAGTGTTACAGTGACTTAGTGTACATCTTCTGTCACAGTTATTGCCAAAGTATCCATATTTACACCCATACTTACAAGCCCCTGTAGTAGTATTGCATGCTAGGCTTCCTCCCACACAGAAATCACTACAGTTAACACAGGAATGAGAGCTTATGTTCCAAAACTTCCCCTCCGTACACACTGAACAATAGATATAGTTATTGTAGTAGGAGATGTCACAGAGAACACAGTTATCAAAATCACAGTCCTGCTCCTCACACTTGTCGCCTCTCCAGCCCAGGTTACAACCGTAGATACAGCGACCGAACTGGTCACACTTAGACGGGCTTATTTTACAGTGTGTGCTGCAGATTTCTGTACAGCCCGGTCCATATCTACCTGGCTCACACATTGTGCAGTTTTCATGGTAACCATTCCAATCACACTCAATGCACCTGTACAAAAGGAAGAAATGTTTATTATATGGTACTGTTAAATATACTAAAAATATTTAGATAATCTATTCTGCATTATCAAAAGTAACCAATTTTTAGTCACTCTTTATGAATTGTGTATGTATGCTCTTTAAAAACTATAACAGTTCAAAGGAAAATGTACCCCGATGAGCAGGTTCTGTCACAGTTTTTCCCAGAAAATCCAGGCTGACATCCATAGAGACACCCTCTGTCCTGCCCGCAGTAATCGCTCCCATACAAACATTTACTATTATTGCACAATAACTCTGCAAATCAAGAAATTCTTTATTAATAGGTAACATAAAATAAAGTTTATACTAACTGTACATTCATATCCATTCATCATTGCTTAAACAAAGTTAAATCTGCTCTGTGTCTCTGTATCAAAAAGCATATTTCAGTCCCTTCTCTGATTTTAAATAAAGCATTGATCATGCATGCTTAAAAATTTGCTGCAGATCTGTAGCTTCCTGTCTGAAAAAAAGGATTAAACTGTCTCTTACAATATAACTGAAAATATGTTTCTTAGAAACACATTATTTATAGCTATTTCCACATAAAAAAACATTTCCTATAATCATTGTAAATACTGAGCCATCTGGGCCATGGGACCATCCAAATTTTTCTCTTTTTATATAACCTTTTTAAAAGGTGTCAAGATATATATACTTTTAAAAAATGTCATTAACAAGTGGCTGATTGAGTCTTAAGATTTTTTTTAATAAATAGTGCACCAAAAAGTCTGCTATCGATTTATTTCTCCATTAATTTATGCTGCCATCTAGAAGTTTTACTATCCAAATGTTCCTAGCATATTTTTTAACCACTTCCACAACAAAACATTTCCCAGAAGTGTTGACCAATGATTATAGCCCTTCATTTTGTCTATTATTAGTATTAACACTGCCATATTAGGTGTCAAGATTATTCGGTAACGGGTTTGTTCGCCCGATCTACCTGTTCGCAGGAGTCCGTTCGCGCAGAGTCCCTTCGCCCAAAATATTTTTCGCCCAATATCTTGTTCGCCCTATATGTGGTTCGCCCAATATACACATGATATATACTTATATAATAAATATGAATTAAAAATTAACATACGAGTATATCATTTTTTCTATTTATTTCACTTACGAACTTGGAATTTTTTTTTTCTCTTAAATTCTGATACGAAGAGCAATGTTTATTTAGTCTAAATAAATTTTTATTTGATTCTAATGATTTTTTGAATGACTAAGTGTTTGAACTATAGTTAATTAGATGATTAATATCAATTTAATTAAGGGGGATACATCCGTGTTATTTTTACGAATTGCGCTATGTTTTTAAAACAATTAAAGGACATGTGTGACCGCTGATACTAAAACGGGTGTGATCATATGCATATAACGTCTGGCGGATACAGTGACTGACTGTTTTATTTTGAATGTACATAAAAATTAGGAAAGAAATTCATTAGATTTTATTCTTTATTAAATTACGCGAACATGTAACAAGTTTTTATCTGTAAAAATCAGGCGAACGGGGAATCAGGCGAACGAACATGGAACCAGATTATTCGGTACAATGCATTCCTGCATGACTTCTACATGCAGTTTTGTTGTGTATTAGTATACAATATGTTTGAAATGCATGGTGAAAAAAAAAGAGAAAGAGCGGTCTTTTTTGTGTGCAAATCCAATAAATATACACTTTTTGTTTCAATTGGTTAGTTCTTTGGTCGTCCATCTTAATTTTTCAGAGAGCAAACTACAAATCTGCAGCTAAAAAAAAGTGCGATTTTTTTAGCGATACATATACAGTTTTTATCTGTGGGTGACACTGCAGGCCTCTGGTCTGTTTTAAAAATAGAAGAGCAACCGTTCTGTATCAAATAAAAACCAGTAAAAATATGACCAAAAATCTTCAGAGAGATGGATAGGCATAGCCGGAGGTTTGATGTCAGAGCAAATGTAACCGTAATTACCTGAATGACATGATTTCAACAAAACAAACAGCAACAAAAACCAATATATTTGGTCGTTACTTCCCATTTTGACATTTTTCGAGATGCGCACTTCCATGTATGTTGTTAAGTCTTACATAAATATTTCTGTTTAAAAATGTCATTCACAGATTTCGTTTTTTTTTATGCATCTTTTTAAACTTTTCTTTTGATAAATGGAAAACAAACTAAAATAGAAGAAATTAGCATATAATATATTTAACATATCACAAAAACCTTTTTCATCCAATGAATGATTTCATGTATGAGTTATTCAATCAAAACTTTAACCCGAACTGACTCGAAATGCAAAGTTGAGACTGCACTGATAGCCAATATGATTACGTAGTATTTGATTGTGGCCTTGACTAAGTATCAAAATGAATTCCGGTGATAGAGTGACAACGCATACGGCAATTCCTTTGTTTAAAAATGGAAAAGTGCCTTATACACGTCGAGTGTACTACGCAGAGAAACAAAAATCATTGAAAGGGATTGATAATGATTCTTTGAATGAGTCCGATATCAAATTGCAAACTCTGATCACACCCAAAACTCCCAAGGACATTGGTGAAAATGGAGATCTTGGTGAATCTCAACCTGATTGCTCCATACAATTTAAAGGGGACAAAAAGAAAGGAAGAATTTTGAAATTTATAAAATATCCCTTTCAATACTATGACATTATTTTTGCTGTGTTTTCAATTATATTATTTTTCTATGATGTTGTATCAGATATTTTACTGGCAGCACACTACTATACCCTTGATCGATGGGTTGCATTTGGTTTTACAACTGGATTTATTGTAATACCAGCTTTTATTTCTAATGGACAAAGTGCTCGGTGGTATCTTGTTGATTATGAACAGGAGCAAAAGAAACTTGCAAAGAAACCCAAAACTAAAGTAACTCCTATATGGATCTGGTTTCTCAGAATTTTCTTCACTTTTCCGTTAATGGTTGGACCAGTTGTAAGGTATTGTATTGTAGGTCATGTAGATTACATTTAGACCTTTGAAGCTTAATTTTGCTTAATTTTGTTTGTCCATTGTCTTGCTTTGATGATTAACATTAATTACTGATTAATTTTAAGCTCACCTGAGCTGAAAACTCAAGTGATCTTTTCTGATCAAATTTTGTCCTTGCATCCATCTAGCTGTCTGTCTTTCTGTATTTTCACATTTTCAACTTCAAATTTCATACAAATTTCAAACAAACTTGCCACAAAGCATCCTTGGGTGAAGGGGATTCAATTTTGTTCAAGTGAAGGGCCACACCCTCTTTCAAGGAGAGATAATGAAGTGTAAAGGGAGAAGACAAAAATGCAGTGGACCAGACTGGGATTTGAAGCAGGTCCCCTTTAATTTCCAGTCAGGTGCTCTACCAACTGAGCTTTCTGGCCACTGGTGATCAAATCCGGCTGACCGCCACATACCTCCCTCCCCAAGCCAGGCTCATCCCTAGCAGGCATCTCACCTGTCAATTCCAGGGCATAGCAAGCCATCAAATGTAATGGGAGAGGAGAAAAATGCAGCTGACTAGACTGGGATTCGAACCTGGGTTAGGGTTGGCCCACAATTGATGTACAAAGTTTTATATAGGAAAAATCTTTTACTCATAAACAATCAAGTCATGGTTTGGTCATATTGATATGGAAGCATTCTCAGGTAGTGTTGATTCAGATTTGTTCAAGACATGACTCGGGAAGGGGGCCAAAATGAAAGTTCAAACTTTATAGAGAAAAAAAGCCACAGAAATTCAAAGAAATATGTAAGCATTCTATCTTAGTTAAGTTAATTCAGATCATACCCCCTCCCTTTTAGGGTTAGGTCAGGACCATTTATGCATTTTAGCTTTTTCAATACTAGATTGATTTTTGCTTTTTTCTAGTCACAGTGTTCAGGTGAGTGATGTGGCCCATGAGCCTCTTGTTTTGCTTTATGTTGTTTGTTGTGTGATTGTTTGCAGTTTATAATAACATTCTGTCATGCTTTAAACTTCATACTGCAGACACTCTGAGTTCATTTACCATGGCATTATGAGCAAGAAAGGCAGTGAGACGGAGGAAAAGGACAGAAAAAAGAAATGGCACCATTATAAACAAATGCTTTATGAGGATACTGATGCTGGCTTGGTTCGCATGTTTGAATGTTTTTTGGAGGCAGCACCGCAGCTTGTTCTTCAGCTTTTCATCTTGTTCAGTGAAATAAAAAATAATGGGTTTGATGGGAATAATGATCTTGAAGAGCATGGGCACATGAGTAAGCATTACATTTTATTACCAGTACTTCATCTCAAACAGTAGCTCAGAAATAAAAGTCTTATTTCTTTACATTTAAATTTTTCATGCTTATAACTTTAACTATTGCTGCATGACCTGTGATATTAGATAAACATTCCAATTTTTGACTTTATATCTAAAACTACATGTAACTCTGCCTCATGAAGCATTTACATTTACTAATTTGCTTTAACCATTCAACAGTTCTTTATGTGACCCAATGCTGTTTGACTGTTTTTTTTATCACTTTCCCTGAAAGAGGTGGATATTATTGGGTCTGTCCCTATGTCTGTTAGCTGTATTTTTGCCACTTTTATTTGTGAATGATATCTTAAGAAGCCTTTGAGCTTTTGCAATGAAATTTTATATTGCAACATCCTATGGCCAAAAGAAGACCCCTATTGATTTTTAGGTCCCAAAGGTCGAGGTATTCAATAAATTCATACTCAGGTTCATTTTGTGAGTAATACTTCAAGAAGCCTTTCAACTTTAGCAATAAACTATAATACGCCATGTATTACTTCTCCCTATGGCCTAAAGAAGAACCCTTTTGATTTTGAGGTCATAAGGTCAGAGGTCAAGGTCATAACTTTATACATTCTGTTTGTGTTACACTATCAATTTTAGACAATATCTCAAAAAATAAAAAGTCTGAGCTTTTGCAGTAAAATTATACATCACATCTCATTATTGTCTAAAAAAACCCTTTTTACTTCATGATTAAAGTTCACGATTTTGTACATTGCAAAAACTTCCTGATGCAATCTGTTTTTTAATTTGACAAGTTGTTGTTGAAGATATGTGAAAAAAAAATGAATATGATACAATATATGTGGTGATATTTACATGCAGTACTTTTTGTCCTTCTTAACACTTATGTGCAGATTTTATACTTAACAAATATTTGTACCAGAAACAAGAGTAACGTCACAAGGTTAACAGGTTGTTAATAATTTTCTTTTTTAAAAAAGTAAAGAAAACTTTATTTAAAATTACTCTTTTTCAGAAATCATCCGTGTGGTGGCCCTGGTTGGATCTTGGACAGGCCTGTCCTTTAGCCTGACCTCCTATCACAAGGCCCTGAGAGCCATGCAGCATTCAGAACTCTATGAAAAATATGTCAGCAAGCAGGACCAATCCCAAGATCATGTACCCAAAAAACAGAGCCTGTTGTCCACTCTGATGCTGACCCTGGGTTACTTCTCCTGGAGACTGTGTGAGATTGGGCCCAGGGTGCTGATTCTAGCCCTGTTTGCCTCCGAGTTTACCTATTTTGTTCTTGTTGCTGCAGCTATACATTGGATCATCATGACGGTATGGTTGCTCTGTCAGAAAACTAATTTCTACGGAGAGAAGAAGAGAGATGAGGTCATTTTTAACATTATACTGGGCTATGCTATGATTTTCTGCTTTCTGAATGCCAGAGATGGACACACGAGGTATAGAGCCATTCTGTACTACTTTATTTTCTATATTGAAAATTTTATCATGCTGGCATTATGGCTGTACAGTGTAGAACAGAAAGAGACCTGGCTTTATTATACTGCCATCGGAGCCGTGGCTGGGGGTTGCCTGCTACACATAAGTCTACAGCTGATCTACTACAAGACTTGTCACCCCAAGGCATCTGAAATCAAATTCTTTCTTCACCCCACGGAGCAGTATAACTGTTACCAGTCTGTCTGTCATACAGTGGAAGAGGAGGACCAACAAAGTGATGCTAATGCCATTTAATTCATTATTGATCTGGTATGAGCCCAGAACCAAGAAAGTCAGTCAGCCAGTCTGTTCTGCATCTCACAGCATTAATACAGGCAAAATACGCCAAACAGTGAAGTGTCAAAGAGCTCTGTTTCAAACAACACTGAAACGCAGCTAACATCAAAAGTAAATGCAGTTTTGTTGTAGTTTTGTATGTTACATAGTGAAGTTATTAATTAGGTGACTCAACATTAATTCAAACAGCACCTAATTATAAACAACATGAGTAATTAACCATATTGTCAAAAGTTTTTTTTATACAGAATTGTAGCTATATTTTTCTTATTCTAAGATGTATATTTTTTAGTTTTTTAGTGTAGTACAACTGTACACAGATGAACATGGTGCATGGAGCATATTTGAATAAGACAACTTTGATTAATATAGGATTTTTTAACAACCACTAACAAACATAAGAGATATAAATATAAACAAAATTGCTTTGAAAACAAGGCATTTTGTATATTATACAAAACAGTGCCATCTTTATTCATAAAATTTATTTTTTCCTTACAAGAATGATTAATTTGAATTATATTGTAGATTGATTTTTTTTCGTATTATTTGTACATTTATATTGTCTACATTAGAGTAATGTCTTTTGTATGCAAATGTCATAACAACCAAATGCAAAAAAATATAAATCATTAAATGTACATGTGTAAATGTTACATACTGTATACAGGGAAATTTTGCCCCGTTTTATTTTTGCCCCTTTCACCCTCTTCATGTTTGGGCAAATTCAAAGAACACAGCATAGGTTCTTTAACAGAATTATGACTTGGTGAATTTAAAATGGGGCAAAATGTTCGCAAGTGCAAAAGGGCAAAAATGACATGGGGGGGCGAAAATAACCATGTATACAGTATTGTCTGTTTAATGTTGTTCTTGTGCAATGCTTATTTGGGTCTGTTATCAGTGTTTATTCTTGTATTTTTCCAAGTACCATGGACCAATACATTACTTGAATTATTTTCCATACAACAATCAAATCTCCCTTGTGATGTGATATTTGGGATGTGATACATAATTTTTGTATGCCTTTACCTCACCGGTATCCCATTTATATTTCTTACCAATATTTTTGCATGAAATGTACTGTGTTCACCATTTGAGAATATCTTGGTAATGTTTAATATTGACCAATAAAGCTGTAATATTCCCCCAATCTGCTAATTTGATCATGTTTATGCTTATCAGCTTCTACTTCATACTTTAACGTTGTTGTGCCTTTATTTGTCTGTTCTTGTTGCTTGGTTGTGTTGAATTTTTAAGCACACATTATGAAACCATAAGTTACACATTTTGAAGGTATATATTGTACTCTTTTAATCAATGTATTTTGTATGCTGTATACTGTAAAATCACAAATTTTCATGGGGTCAAATTTTCTAGGTTTGAGAAAAAAATATATTGGTTTGTGGGGATTCAATTTCGTGGTTGGAGAAGTGTTGAGTAGTAATGCATATGAAACTTAAAATTTTGAGGTGGTTATGAATTTAGAGGGTCTCTCCTTTCCTTGAAAACAACGAAAATTACCCCCCCCTCGAAAATTTGTGATTTCACATTAAATGATACTTTGCAAATGAATATATTCAATGATTCTGCCTGTAGTGAAAGTGGTGCTTCTTTGTCACTTTGTAAGTTATTGTAAAGAAGAGCATGTGAATATTGTTAAATACATGTAAAGATATGCATTTTACATAATAAATATAAACTACATGTATCAAAATAGTCTTTGATAGGATAGCTTTAATTAACAATACATTCTGAGAAAAAATTAGCTAGGATAGGAGAAATATTCACAAAGTACATACACATGTAATTATATATTTGTACATATACATGTATTTTACAAGGGTTGTGGGTTCTTGTAAAATATTTAGACAAAACCAGTCTAGAAATTATGAGAAAACATAATAAATTTTGATTTTATAATGATAAGAGATAAAAAGAGCAATGAAAAAATTTCAAAATATTGATATTGGGCATTTACCCATTTTCTCATAAACATAGCTGGTATGAGAGCATTTTAGAGAATACCATCGCATGCATATCATCTCAAGTTGTCCTTCTTTTCATATAAACATAATATACTAGTATACATGTATATATATTTGTATTTTATAGTCCCATTACATGTAGTCCATTTTACTCTTTTTACAATTATTAGCTTCCTCCTAGTCATTACAATATTTCCTAAATATCTAGTCCTCTTCAGAATGCAATGGGTATACATATACATTTAAAATAAATTACCCGGTACAGAAATCTGGTAAACCCAGATTCAATGCTTCTTGTTAGATTTGGTTCCAAAAGTATTTTATCAATATGTACTACATGTTGTATTTCTTATTTTTTAAATGTGAATGGTTAAATGGCTTGGGTATTCAATACAAGAGTAAGAATTTTTTAGCTCACCTCAATTGTGTCGGGGGAGGGAGGGGTGCTTATGTGATACCCTTAGTGTCCCAGGTTAACTCTTTTAGTGCAGTTTTCTTATTAAGTACTTCTATGCCCTTGGGTTTTACATTACTAGATTATTATTTTGAATGTGGGACTTTGCCTTACTTGAAGACAGATTTTGTTGAGGTGAGCTCTGTAATTTCTACCATACATGTATATATTTCTCAGTTCACATTTAGTAAAGGATTAGAAATATGCTAATAATAAATATGGATGACACAACTTTAATTTAATTCTTAGCTTGTCCATGAATATAATTGTTTTAATTTCAATCTTCGTATTAACAAATATAATTGTATTTCTTTCGTAAATGACTAAAATGTCAATTCATGTTATAATTAATGGAGCTAGTGGTTTGCCTTGATCATTTTGATAATTTTTCCTGCTGCTTTGTACAGTTGTTAAGTCAGTGCAGTGGTGCCCACACCTCTGATGGTTGTTAGTATCTCAGGACTTTGTTATTAATTTTTTATGCATGTATTTTTTCTGAAAATATTCAAATAAATTAAGGAATTCAATGCATCATTCATTTTCTTGACCTCAGGTATCTTGCAATGAAAGAGCAGAATTGGATTTTTAACTGTATTCTGTAAATGACTATAAATATCTGTCAATAACTGCAGTTTTATTTACCGGTATAAAGAATTTTCCTGAGTGTTGCTCCATAACTGTGAACAAAATTGAAAAGGAACATCAAAGAAGATATTTGCACATGTAGTGCATTTCTAGAAAATTAATAAAAAGAAGGTATACTGTAAACCAACTTTTATTCACGTGCAAGAAATATCTGCAACTTCCTTGATATACTCTTACTCTTGAATATTAATCTCTGCGAACTATTTATTTTCCATCAGTCACGAAAATTAATTACTGCGGGTTGCTTTCAAATTGATGAATTGCAAATCAAAGATGACGCAAATAATAGTTACGAGTAGTTTACAGTATTTCAAAAAATGTCTTCTACAGTTACAAAAAAATTTAATTTGTTTTGAGTTTATCATTATTAATTATATTACATCCTAAATAAAGCAAAATTAGCCTCATCTGTTAGGAATATTTGATGTAGCCCTTGAGATTGCTCTTTTTAATTATTATCCAGAACTACATTTGTGAATATCTTCCTCAATGTCCCTTTTCAATATTTTTAATGTTTGCTATTTTAAAAAATCAAAGAACTTGAATGAAAGGAGGAAGGGGCAGTCTTAGTCATACCAAAATGGTTTAAAAGATGTGGGTGTGTACATGTATGTGTGAATATTAACTTGCTGGATTTCAAAGTGAACTGGACACAGGTAATTAACATTGAACACCAACATGTTCCTTTTGTAGAACTAAAAAATTGATTTTAATTCTGACAATTAGAAATTTCGTTGTAAATTGAAGTGAGGAACATGATCCATATTGAGTTTTCTCCCTTAGCATGATGAATTTATGTCAATCAATATTTCCAACAAAAGACTAAACTATTTATCCTAGTTATTCTTTTGGAAAACACAGGATTGGTTGCAGACAAGTTTTTTTTTTCTTCCATTTTTTTAAACAAGGAAAAACAATTACATTGATTTTCATATTTTCTACACTGGAAAATGGTAACTTAATTTACATCAATGCATGTATGCTGTGAACCAAATATCTTAATTCCAATCTGTATTTCAGACTTCTGTCTTTCTCTTGTTATTCGTATTTAGCATTCAAAACTTTATTACACTGTGAACCAAAACAAGATACATGCAGAAATCAAATTCAGGAAAAAACAAAAAATTCAATTAATTTCTCTTTATCTACTTTTAATATTCAATAACATAACATGAAAAACCCTCCTCTAATACAATAATTTAACATTTAAATGTCATGATAGAAACACCTGTATTTTACAATAATTTAATCATTAATTAATGTCATGATAAAGCAGCTGAAGTGCATTCCTAAATTCTGCCAGTTCCTCTTCCAGCTTTTCTATTCTCTCCAGACAAGCCATTAATTCCTGCATCTTTTCCTCCATTATTTTGCCCTGTCTCTCATAAACCTTGTGGATTCGGTTCTGCATTTCAAGGAGTGTTGTGCAGAGCTGAAGGAAAAGAATGCTATTACCTAAAGTAAATTAATACTGCATTGGTGATATTATAGTCACAAGAAGTTTTTATGTTTCTTCAATCTTCCCTTTGTTCTTTGGATTTTTTTTTAAGCTTGAAAATGGAGATTATATATGGAATAAAATTCAGGAAAGCAAATACACTTTTAAAGAATTTGATTTAACAAAAGGTTCAATTTTTGGGGGGGATCACTAACATATATTCTCTTTTTTTAAACAGTATTAATAAATCTTGATTTAATATGATAGGTATAAAATTTGACCCGATTTAAGTTAATTTTAACATTAATATGTGTGTGATTTCTGTGAATGATGAAAACCACCTGATATTCTGCAGTCTTTTTGAAGTCTCTTAACATGTCTGAGTCCCTTTTCCGTTTCTTGTTAGTTGTTTCAATGATGTTATTGGCAGCTTCCTGTATATCTATCCTCCCTAACCCTTTTGTCGGTGGCAGTTTGATTGCACTCTCACTACTGAATTCCCCCTTCTCATAATTGCCAACACAGAATTTCCTGGCCCCCTCATCTGGTTTACTGAAATGATTTTAAAAATGTATAAACAAATTCCAGAAGCAGGATGGCATTACGCAATTTGGCAATTTATTTTGTAGGTATATATACACACATGCAGTACTTGTACTTGAATTAAAAATTGTCTTGTTAAACTAGATCTTTATCAATTTTCCACAAAAATGAAGTTAAAGGGATTTCATTTTAATATAATTTGTATGAAATGATACTACAATTTTTTTGCATTAACAGTAAATGTTTATCATATTTATGTGTATTTTTAAATCATAATTGACTATAATGTGTTTGTAAGACAAGGTGAAAACCATACATTTTATAACACTCAAAATATTTCTTCCCTACATTGTGTTACTGAAACAAAAAGCTAATTCTGTGATTAGAAACATAGACTTTGAATGACAAAATTTTGTTTATCTTCTAACTAATAGATATTTAATTTCTTACATTGGAATGTCTTCTGCTGTTAATGCATTTTCTGAATCTGTGATGGAAATTGTTCTCTCTGCAGCTATTGGAGTAAGGCTTGTAGATGTCATTGTTACAAACCCTAGAAAGAAATTTAAACTATTTATTTTAATACACTTTCAAACATTTTTCTTATAAAACCACTTAGACAGTTTGTCTTTATCTCTGTAGGCTATAAATACAATGCAGTTTGTCAAGGGACCACAAATTCAACAATGAGGACATCAATAGTCCCCACAATTTCATATTGACATTATAAATGATGGATCTACAAGCAAGACCCATCCAGGCCCAGTAGTAACATTTTAAAAGTGTATGTGAATTGGGGGGGGGGTGTTGGCCTTTTCTCTTCATAATTTTTCGGAATACATTAAATATGGGTCTGTGATCAACTATATACAGCAGCAAAAATTGGGGGGGGGGGCTTCAAAATGACCATTTTCTTAGTAGCTATATATTAAATGAATATTCTATAGAAAAACTTGGGGGGGGGGCACACACACCCTCCCAAATGAACACACCGGAGCTGTCCGTATCCTGATTACAATATTTCAAAAATTGTATAACATGATACATAAATGCGCCTGGTTTCATAATAATTCAAGTTTTGAATGCATTGCTTTAATGCTGCCTTTACTTTATCAAAGTAAGTATCAAATCTTTACTAGGTCTAATTATATGCCTTTGAAACTGAAATTAAATAGGCCCCCTTGGCCTATGGTTTCTCGTGGTAAAATTTAAGCCATGTTAGGCATACAAATACTGAAATAATTCACTTGTTAAGCTCTATTATCGTTTATTTTTATTTTTGAACCAAATTTCTCAATTCAATTTGCCTAATCAATTTCATGCAACCCCCGTCTAGAAATAAGCACAAGCCTTGTGTGTATGAAAATTAGAAAATTCATTGACCAGTCCAAAAATATCATGCAAATCGCACAGCAATTTTCAACAATAAAAGTTTGTCCATACAATAAATCAATGTTCAACGGGATATTCTTTCGAACAAATCTACAGAAAAGTTTCATTACAGTCGAGCAAATCTAGATTCCGAAATCCATCTAGCAGGTCTGTGTTATCTGAAGGCTAAATTGTTAGGCGAAGAAAATTACTTCAATAAAAACCGCCATTTGATCTTTTGGAAGTGGTCCTATAGGGGGGAACAGAATACAAGCCAAAGCATAAAATACAACCTTAATTATTTTTATGCTTTTGTTTTCTAAAAGTGCTTCATAAAAACACATTTTCTGCAAAATTTTACAACCCTCAATGCTTTATTATGGATATCAAGCTCATTCAATGAGACAATTACAAAAGCGAGTTTTAAAGAACACCCACCAAGAATGGTTTCTCCCTACATCTTTGTCCCGAGAGAGTTTTAAATGAAACAGGAGTGTGATCGAGTGCATAGGAGATGACGAATTGATCAACAAGTGCTAAATTGTAACATGGCAGGTGTCGTTTTGGAAAATTTGAGTTGGAGAAAGCTCATAGCCCTTGGAGTATTCCTTTTGATTTTAATGATCACGTTCTTTTTAGTCGGAGGAATTGTTTGTAAGTATTGTTTACATTCATTCGAATTTTCTCTGATTTTATTTCTGTTGTTCATGAAAAGTAATGTAATTGACTAAACTTATGTATGAATTTGATTTATATTGCACATTTTAGACAATTCGTAATCATTTATTATCATGGATGGTTATTTTAAAAAAGTTTGTAAATTTAGATGAACAGCCGATGAACAACAGGTCCAGTACAATCACTAAATTTAGCTATAGTATAGGTAGAATTACCTACGTAGCTTTATTTACCTACCACAGGTAGCTTTATTTAACTATTTCAATGAAACTTTTCACAATTTTTCTTTTTATTAAAAAGAGACAAAAAATTGCAATTAAATGACTATTAATATTTATACTATATCAGGGAGGTTTTAGAATACAATCCAAAGCTGAGATAGTTTATACATTGCTGCGTTTTGACAATTTGGACTGAGTATGATTACTTCACATTGTGCTGAATAATTACCGACCTATTATCATGTTAACCAGAACTGGACTTTCAGGGAGTAACTGTTCTAACTGTCATACATTGCCACAAAACTTTCAGAACTTTGATTGCAATTGTGCAGAAAAAGACAATTCTTCAAGAGTGATTTTTACTTGAATTGTTTTCAGATGAGTTCAAAGTTGAAAATGATCACTGCCTCAAAATGATAAATTTATAGCCCATTTGAGATTTTCTGCACATCCTGAGAAAAATGCTTTTTTATATAAATAAATTGATTTGGTAGCTAAATAAAGCTACCTCAGGTAGGTAAATAAAGCTAAGTAGGTAAATCAAGCTACGTAGCTAAATCTAGTGATTGTACCAGACCTGAACGAAGCCTCGATCTATTCTTATATTAAGATTAGATGTTAGAACCGCTTGCATACTTGTAACAATTAGTGTACAGTGAGTATGAGTATGCAAGCAGATCTAACATCTAATTTTAATTAGGTTGTAAATGCCTAAGCCTAGTGCATGGCTTTCAGTAAATTTAAACAGGTTTGGACCAATCGCCCAAATTGGATATAATAGACCGTTTGGGATATTATATCCCAAATGGGCTATAAATTTACAGTGCAAAAATTGAAAATTTTTATTTTGGCTATAAATATCATAAATCTGCATCAGGACACTTAAAAGGGAATAACTTTTGGTTGACAAGTTTTCCTGTATGTCATTTGTTAAGGAGATCAATCCCTCGGAAGTTCCTTAACTTCTTGGGGATCAATCTAACAAACGGTAGAGTTGCAGAAAAACTTGCTTACCAAAAGTTATTCCTTTTAAAGTGTTTTGATGCGGATTTATGATATTTATTGCCAAAATAAAAATTTTCATTTTTTGCACTGTAAATTTATAGCCCATTTGGGATATTATATCCCAAACGGACTATTATATCCCATTTGGGCAGTTGGTCCCTACCTGTTAAAATGAAGTAGTAAATTTTTCAATTGGTAAGTCATAGAATGCTGCAGATATTGTAGAATGAATGAAGCTCCATGAAAGAGCTAATTAAATTACAGGAGAATATATATACAGCCTTCTGCCTGGGGTAGGGGAGGGGTATAAAGCTGGGACAAAATATCGATAATAACTATCAATTCTGTATGATTAAGATACACAAATCAATACATATGAAGAAATATCAATGTATCGCAAAAAAAAAATCGGACATATGTTTTTTCTTTGTTCACTCAACTTATTATGAATGATACTTATTTGTTAATTTTCATGACTGTGAGAGGCTATATATGGATTTTTTTGTTTAATTCTGAAAATAGTACCTAACCAGTAATAAACCTTTTTAAAAAAATATATTATTAAGTCATGAATTGTGATGTAATCATTTTTCACAATTCAGTTTGCTAATGCTTGTAATTCTCCTATCATAGGAACAGTGAACTAAGGTAGGATGCTAGGATTATTATGTTGACATCATGTATTTTATTTGAGATACCTCTGCAACTCTTTGATTCTTTGAAGTCTTCTTATAATTGTTAATTAATTCTAGTAATTTCAATGATTTCTCTTTTGATTTCAATTCAGCACCAAAGCCATCCAATGTTGTCACTGTGTTGGCCACCAAATGCTACGATAGAGGAAGCAGGTTAAACAGGACAAAATGGTTCATTCCGCGGGGTCCACATAAATGTGAGGAACTGCCATCTCTAGACCCGTATGATGAGAACATCATAAAAAATTCCATCACCGAGAAGCAGGTAGTGTTTTCCTTCTGGATCCCAGGGCCAAGAGACGGGGCCGAGAGGAAAATGTCTCCCCTGTTCCAGTCCATGTTAGGAGTCCTACAGCTGGATGTGGAAAAAAACTTACAAGTACCACTGTGTAAGAGAATTGATCCAAAGAATCAAACAGGACTTTTGTCTGTTATAAATGAAAATATTTTTCTTTTAAGTCAGATTAGAATGTTAATGTATGAACTGAATATTGAAGTGAAGAGGAAAATCATTGTTCAAAACAACCTTGTACTAGTATACAAAGCTAAAAGTATCATGTATATTTTACATAATATGATTTTTAACCATTTTTTTTACTTCTTCAGAAAACTATTGTTCATAGTTCATGATGATTTATCTAGACTTCAGTTTGTGCATTATAGATTATATTAAACAAACTGGTTGATGAAAATTACTATAAAATGATTTGGTTTTTAAGATTATAACTATTGTCACATGTCATAATGATGACAGTATATTTAGTTACTTTACATAATTTTCAGCTAAGGACCCCATTCTCCAGCTGGATGTTCGTATGGGGGTCAGAGACGAAGAGGACCAAGACGATGACTGGAAACTCCTGGCAAGCTCTGTGGAAGATCGCAATCTACAGTGTAAGCTGGTAAGTCACAATCTACAGTGTAAGCTGGTAAGTCACAATCTACAGTGTAAGCTGGTAAGTTAATTTAAAGGGGTAGCTTGTTATTCTATATAATTGTAAATGCATACCTGCTTCAAATACATGTACATGAATATCAAATTATAATAAAAGAATGACCATGACACTCGGGTTCAATTCATAGATTTGTATTTTAGAGAGTTTGTAAAAAGTGTTTATTCTTTTCATGATTCATTTTGAAAATCATGTGATTTTACAGCAAGGTTCCATGCTAACATTTCCACACATAAACACACAAAAACATAGGTCCACTTGACATATTAAAATCAGTCAGCTGTCTGTTCACTGAAAAACGCAGCTGAAGTCTAATTTCAAAATTAAGATCCCCCCTCCCCCCCCCCAAAAAAAATTATCCTATAAAAATTGCATATGAGAAGGTAATTTAGACTGCACCTTTTGCTTCCAAGGGAAGTAACTCTAACTAAATCACTGTTCTATTCAAATTTTGCCAACACTTTATAGCTTTTGGGAATGTAAAAATCCAGAGTCTCTATTCTGCTAAAATTATAGTAGTTTGAATACCATAGAATTCGTATAATGTTTAAAGCAAAGACAACAATATCAGTGCAATGTCTGAATGCTGTTCAGTATAAACAACCATACAGAAGCAATGAAGAGATGACAGGAAATGGAGAGTATAAGTTTGTCTGGAATTCTCCCATGGTCAGAATATTTTTATCATATTCTATCTCTGTTTAATTCATTTAGGACAAGAACAAATTGGAGGGCTATTTGTATGACTGTGAACTCCTGCAGCTTTTTGAGCTGGGAAGCATCCATCATCATTTCTATTTGGTGAATATCAGGCTTCCTGTTAATGCCTTGAAAGGCTTCAATGTTGGTATCGGCAAATTGGTGGATATGTACATTCATGTAAGTATATATAGATTTGACCCTGTGCACAATATTTAATCCATGTTTGATACAGGTCAAAAGTAGAACATGCTACAAAACTGAGCAGTAAGAAAACATATACATGTATGCTGAATTGATGCTATTTCTGCTTAGTCCACAAAGACTATATTAAGTATTGTCTTTGTAGGTAATACATCAGAATGGAGGGTTCACCATTGTGTGGGTGACAATGAAGAGTGTGATGTTCTTACTGGTCCTGTCTATACTTATCTGGTTCTGGAGGAGGATCATGCAGCTAGGGAGGCCACCAAATCTGTTAGAAAGGTAGAATAGAAAAATATAGAGTAGCTAGGGAGACCACCAAATCTATTAGAAAGGTAGAATAGAAAAATATAGACTAACTAGGGAGGCCACCAAATCTATTAGAAAGGTAGAATAGAAAAATATAGACTAACTAGGGAGACCACCAAATCTATTAGAAAGGTAGAATAGAAAAATATAGACTAACTAGGGAGGCCACCAAATCTATTAGAAAGGTAGAATAGAAAAATATATACTAACTAGGGAGGCCACCAAATCTGTTAGAAGGTAGAATAGAAAAATATAGGGTAGCTAGGGAGACCACCAAATCTGTTAGAAAGGTAGAATAGAAAAATATAGACTAACTAGGGAGGCCACCAAATCTATTAGAAAGGTAGAATAGAAAAATATAGACTAACTAGGGAGGCCACCAAATCTGTTAGAAAGGTAGAATAGAAAAATATAGAGTAGCTTGGGAGACCACCAAATCTGTTAGAAAGGTAGAATAGAAAAATATAGGGTAGCTAGGGAGACCACCAAATCTGTTAGAAAGGTAGAATAGAAAAATATAGGGTAGCTAGGGAGACCACCAAATCTGTTAGAAAGGTAGAAATTTCACCTCAGTATAAAACTATAGACTAGCAAGGGAGGCCTCCAAATATGATGGATAATACATGTACGAGGGACTAGATATTGCGAATACTCAATCTTATAGAAAAGTAGCAATGTTTGGAAAAGTTGTTAACTAGGAATTACATGGTATTTGTATCATTAATGGAGGAACAGTGGGTCCAGCTATGGGTATTATATTTCATAAATGCACACTCTCTATTAATTTCCAAATTTTGATTTTTAAAAGAGTATAAAAAATGTATGAGACATTTATAGGTGAAAGCTGATGTTTTGTTACACAAGGATGAAATTGAAATGTGATATTTGTTTTCAGAACTCTGTTTGCCTTAGGAGTAGTTATGTCAATCCTTAATTGTGAGTATACTTTCTGATTAAAAAAAAACTTGAAGCAAAACAGTTAAATTCTCCATCCATGTATATTGTGCAAGGGATCATGTTAATACAGTGTATATATTTTTTGTGACTGTATCTGTATATTTGAGATGCAATTGTACATGTATTGTGATTATTCATGATACTGGTTGGTAATAAATTGAATGCTAATTATAATATATATAGGGTTTTGAAGAGAATTTTATTCTTGTGTACGTACAAATATACATTCTTGGGAAATTGATGTTTATAATGAAGTTCTCTTGAATAAAGTTTGATTTGAAGTACAGATAGAATATGATAACCAATCTCTAATATTGATCACAATATGGTTCAAAAGATGATGAAGTGAGAGGACAAGTGAGAGTACAAGGAAATTTTTTCACACGATTCATTATTAACTGAATTACAAATTTAGATGTTTCTTCCTCTTTTCTTCTGAACCATGAATTTTTCTGTTCTGTATGTTAAGCTTTGTAATGTCTTGTCATTTGATAATCATATGGATTCTTAGATAGTTCATCAGGATGCTGGTTTTGAAGTTTAGAATTTCACCTTGACCTTTGGCCCTGTTGAGATAAATTAATTATTTTGGTCTGTGATTTCTTGCCCATTTCATTACAAATGACAGTAAAGGAAAACAGTTAATTGGGCCTTGAGCCCTTGACATAAAATTAAGTTTAGAAGAGGCTTTCTATGTACAGATTTATTTTTTTTAGTTGGAATGATTTTAACAGGTCAAGTTTTCATTTCAGGTCCCATTGAGCTGCTACAGTTTGGCCTGAATGTCCCCTTCATGCTGCTATTGAATGACATCCGTCAGGGAGCATTCTATGCTATGTTGATGTCATTCTGGGTTATCTTTGCTGGCGAGCATATCATGGTATGGGCGTTACATTTATTTATTTTATTGGGACAATATATTTTATGATTTGTTGACGTCAGAAGATGGAGAAGTTACAAGCAATTTTCTTTGCAAACAGCAAACTTCCAAATTATTTTTTGCACAAAAGCATACATCATATCAATTTCTAGGGATTAACTTGTCACTTTTACAAATGTGTGTGCATGAAATGTAATTAATGGATAAGTATGTAATACTTTGATATTAATCAGGAAATGTAGAATGGATTTTTAGAAATTCCTACTCATCTTTCAGGACCAGACAGAGAGAAATCGCCTGAGCCTGTATTGGAAACACCTGTCGGCCATTATCTTTGGATCTATCTGTCTCTTTGTCTTTGACATGTGTGAAAGGTATCAACAGATTGAAAGTGATTGGGTCAAAGTGTAGTCAAATGAATAGTCTCCTATCAAATCTCTACATTTTGGAGTGGTTTTGTGAAATTTGTCGCATAATGAATTTCGGTATATTTTAGTATGCATAAGTACAGCATGTACATGTAGATACATTTTAGTAATAAAAAGTTGTATTTTTGCTGTTTAATCAGATTAAATTTTTTTTTATTTCTAGAGGAATCCAACTGAAGAATCCATTCTTCAGCATATGGGTGTCCAGTGCTGGAACCAAACTAGCTGTATCCTTTATATACTAGATTGATTGATTGATTGTATATTGTTTAACTTCCCTCTCGAGAATTTTTCACTCATATGGAGATGTCACCACTTGCCGGTGGAGAGTTGCAAATTTGGTCCTATACTTGTCACTCAGGGCCATTGACCAGGGAGGGATCTTTTTCGTGCCAGCACCTACTGCAACGCAGGACCTCGGTTTATACGATCTCATCCGAAGGACCTCTCCACGTTCCACAGTGGGATTCGAACCCACAACGTAAGGATCAACTCCTTACTTCGCAACTCTAGAGCAGGCGCTGCGCCATGTTTGTGACTTTATATACTAGAAATTAAGACTATAGTCTAGATGACAAAAGAAATTTACACATTTTGTGTAGAGGATACGCTGTATGTTACTGATATAGTACAGTGCTGTTGTCTTGAAGGACCATATGGAATGGACCATTTATTGTTACAAAGTCATAAAGGAATGAAGACAATTTCACATTTACTGTGCATGCAGTACCTATTTCATTGCTACCATAACAGTTAAGAAAATTTAATATTACTAATGTTTAATTGTATTTTGAAGTAACTGCATGAGTATAACTCATAAACTGTGACTGTTTCTTGTTTTTCCTGATCATTTGGTAGCTTGCCTTCATCATCTTGGCAGGAATTGCAGCAGGATGCTACTTTCTGTTTCTGTGTTACATGATTTTCTGTGTGATGAAGAACATAAGTGCAAAGAAGGCCTCGTTACCAAGCATGAGTCAATTACGTCGAAAATACTACTTGGTGAGAGCTAGTGATATTGTTATCTAATATTCTCAAAGTATAGAAATTGATTTTACATGTATGTTCATTACAATTTCTTTTTTTTTTCAATTTTCAAAGAGATTATTTTTATATAAAGTTAGATTTTTTTTTTTCAAACGCTGTGAAAATCACTTGTATAGAGACTCGTATTAGTTGAGTGAAGTGAAAGATTTTTGACATTCTTTTTACCATGTAAATTTCTTGTCTTAAAAGTACATATGATTTTAAAAAAAAAAAAAAAACACTTATGTTTGTATGGAAAGTAACCAATAAAAAACTGAGCCAAACCAATTTTATTTGTGTAGGGCATTATTTACCGATTTCGCTTCCTGATGCTGGCCACCCTGGTTTGCGCTGCCTTCACTGTCATCTTTTTCATCATCTCTCAGCTGAATGAGGGAGAGTGGAGATGGGGAGATCATGAACTCAGTATGGAGTACACCAGTGCATTTTTCACAGGCAAGTCACTTGTGATAGCAGTACAATTGATTAGACAGTCACATTGAATTTGGAAACGTATTGTCGTAACAAATAGTGAAGCACCTCTCCTGATTTTAATGCATGCTTGTTAGTGACAATATTTCATTGGATTACAGAAATTTCGATGGAAGCTAGAATAGACCAATTACATATACATGTATTGGGTGTACTAGCTTGCAGTAAAGAGGGCCTATCTGAATCAAGGTTCTAGCTTTCATAAAAATTTCATAAATGTAGTTTTGAGTTTCACTTAATGAACAAAATCATTTTTGGGATCATGCCTACATTATATCCCACAACTACATGTATTTTGAATGAAAAAATATGATTTCAGTATAAGAATTGTGCTGTATTTATGTTAGCTGTAGAAAGATTACTTTAATATAATACATTAAGATTTAGTTTAAATGTACCAGTTAATTGTAGCAATAATTCATTTTTCAATATAAAGTATAATTTGACTTTGTATAGGAGTGTATGGTATGTGGAATGTGTATGTCTGTGGCCTGCTGTCTCTGTATGCACCATCTCATAAAACAGTCGTAGAAATCGGTGAGTTCATTTAGTCATCAATTGTACAAAAATTATTCAGATCTTTGATAAGGGCAGCAACAGTAGTTTGTAAATGCTCTTTTTAAGCTGTTAATTTTTTCAAAGAAGGTACAGTTTCAAGACAATTTTTCAAGCTACTCCTCCTACAGTTTTTCTAAATATAACTTGGCACACAAGTGATATAAATTCTGTGTATCGGTTTTTGAAATGTTGCATTCTGTGAAATTCTTTCAAAATGCTACTCCTCCTACAGTTTTGGTCATTTCAATATAACTTGGCACACAAGTTTACACTAAGATACATAATTCTGTAAGATTTCACAAAAATAGTTTCTGTGAAATTCTTTCAAAATGCTACTCCTCCTACAGTTTTGGTCTGATTTCAATATAATTGGGTACACAAGTAGACTACACTAATATACATAATTCTGTGTATCGTTTTTGATTATGAACTTTGCCGTGGTTACATTTTTACCCTCCTGTTTTCTTTTCAATATAAGTTGGCACACAAGTAGACTACACTTAGATACATAATTCTGTGTATTTTCAGTGAAATTTTTTTTTCTGAAAACATACTCTGCCACTTGGCACACAAGTCACCCAGCAAGATTGGTTTTTGATTTCGATAACGGTGTTGCCGTATGTTTCTGATTTTTATAACAGTTTTACATAATACAGTGGAACATAAAGAGACTAATCAAGGATCATTATTCTATATATTGCTGTTGAAAAGTTTCAATTTCTAACTGCTTAAGTACTTTTCTCTTCCTTTGCTATAAGTACAAACCAGTTGAGCTTCAGTCTCGACAGAGACTTCTGGTTTCAAAGAAGGTACAGTTTCAAGACAAATTAAGCCCTGTATTTTTCTAAAATATGAAAGCGATATATTTTTAAATTCATTATTTTGAATCATGTTTAAAGATTTAACAAATCGTTTTTCTCATATGACCTCCTAAAAGCTAATTGACGTCATTAACTTGTGCATTTTTACCGTGTTTTCTTTAAAAGTTGCAGAAGACTTCAATTTTCAGTGAAATTTTTTTTCTGAAAACATACTCTGCCACCGTCACCCAGCAAGATTTTGAGATACCGTATGTGATTTTTATAGCAGTTTACATAATATATCTGAAAATTAAAGTGGGCGACGGTGGCAGACGCTATTTTCTAAAGGAAAATTAGCACAGAAATGAGTCATTTTAAGACTTTTCTGCATTAAACTTAGAAATGTACCAAATTAATGACATCATATTTCCAGAAAGGTCCTCCTTAAAGTCATATTCTTTAATGATTTATCATATTCATCTACTCAACTATTGTTATTTTAGCCAATTTCATAACTTTTTAAGAACATTAAATTTTTAGGACACAATAAAGCTCAAACTGTACCTTCTTCTTTGTCTCTTTGCACATGCAAGTTGAAGACAAATAATTCGTTCTTAACAAATAGTTGTAAGTTGCAGTTTTCTCAAAAGAGATGTGGAACAGGATATTTGATAATCTTGTAAACATCAAAAGAGGAATGTCTCTCTTGTTTGTAAACAGAAAAAGACATTTTACATGTAGGCAAAAATTAGAAAATGAGATTTAAAAAGATGCTATAATTAAAGTGGTATTTGTTGAATTCTTTATCTTTGAACACTATACATCTTTTTACAGACTCAGCTGATGGCTCTACTGAAGAAAACGTTCAGCTGACTCAGTTACCCACCGCACCCTCTGAAACATCTGCTCTTCAAGCACTTACGTCGAAGGCTGCCCAGGACTAGGGTAATTTGTAGCTTACCATTGTTGGAATATGATATGGAAAACATTTGAAGAAGGACTTTTGTCTTGTTTGTAGCTTTGCATTTACAGAAAGAACAGTATGGAATCTAATTTGTGTGTAAGAAAAGGAACAAAATGGATTTAGAATCTCTAAACTTTTTTGATATGCTGAATTTGCCCTAAAAAGTTGCAGTCTTTTTAGTTCTGTTGTGATGATCTTCCTTGAAATGGATCCATGTCTGACAAATAAAAAAAAAACAGCAATATATATTTATTTTTGTGATAGAAATGTGTTCTTGATTTATTTTATAGATCTGACTTGCATTATATGATTCTATTTACAAGTAGTTGTGACATTTTATAATTGGTATATCATATTACTTACTATGCTATCGTTATTTATACATGTATTTATAAAACAAACTATCTAATTATGTACATTTTTATTATCTTTAGACCTCCTCTCATATTTTTGATTACTAAAACTTCCTTGATTTTAATGAGGTGACTAGAATTGAACAATGGAATTTTGTTTCTTGGCATTATTTCCTCTTTAAAAGAGGAACATTTACGCACACAACTCATTGTCTGCATTTTGGAAAATTTGAAATGTATTAGAAGTACTTAATATGGAGTTGAACTCCAGATGCTTTAATCAAAATGGATTTTCATATACATGGCTATTACTTTACCCCCACAATTTTTTACATGTGTTTGTAGATATGTTATGAATTTGTATTGTGATTTTTTTTCCCCAAGTATACTTTTACCATACAATAATATACAATTTATTATGTGGAATATTTATATTTGTTTTACATTATGTTCATTTGTGTGTACTTTCAAAGTCACATGATTTAAATCCTATTTTTGAAGTAAAAAACTTTTTTAAAGAGATAAGTGTTTCACAATGCTATGTGTTTTTCTCTGGGAGGAAAACATGATTTTGAACACTTGTTTAGAAAGATCTGGTATGAAATGGAATTCTGAAGTCTTGTGTTTAAAGAGGGTCGCAAATATCAAAGACTTTAAAAAAGAAAGAATTTGCACTTCTTTGCTTTTTTATGAAAACCATTTATTGAAGATGCAGAAAGCCAAGTGGAATTTGATACGTTTAATATTTTTATATCATATGTTAAATACCTGGTGAATACATGTGCATGTATTTTACCATGCAGCCTTTATAACAGTGTCTGCATCTTTGGATGTGTACAGTCAGAAGTTTATAATAGGAATCCCACTTGTTTTCATTTCTTATTAAATGTAATCTGCTATCTATTTCACGTTTTCTGATATTGTGCAAAGGCAGAAGTTTTTGTTTTTGATGGGGAGGGATTATCATACTCTTCAGAATTCAATTCATCTTTTTATGAACTCAAAACTATGGGGAAGGGAGGGGGTAAACCTTACAAATCACCAAATTCTATCCTCACTGCTATGGGAATATAAATGTCTGATAATTTTATAACGTCTGGTATTCATGCTTTCATGGAACCTGATGGTAATCTTTAAGTAATGTAAGTAAGAATTTCCAGAATTACAAGTTTCTAGGAAATGTTTAGGTTGTGATGTGTTTTATTTTCCATTTCCTTTTGTTCATGTAGAGTGTATTTACTTTTTTTGAAGCAGATTAGCATTTTTGTACGATTCCTTGTAATTAAGTTTTTTTGAGCTTTGAAATAAATGTTTTATTAATTTATTTAAATATGTAGCAGGCTTGTTGTTAATCAGCACTCTCACCTGAGGATCATTTGTGATGGAAAAAGAATGTTAATAGAAATGATGTCAGATACAAATTAAATGTTCTCCTGTTTACCAGCTGGCTCTGGAGTATTGTCAACTAAACAGCAACTGGCGGTATTTCCCAAGAGTTTTTTTTTTAATTGAGGCAGACTTAACTTGTGTCTCTTCATGATCTGGTAAAACCAAAAAAAAAAAAATTCAAGATTAAACGTGAGGGAATATTTATATTTATTATTTTATACAAAAAGAAAATTGCAAAAAATAGCAGAGATATAACTTATTAAAAGTTAAATTGCACAGAGATATCACTAAAAATACATTTATCTTGGTTCTATTTATAAACAGTGGTGCTGGGCTGTACATGCTTTAAACAGTTAAATGTGTGAGCAATATCATCAAGAGCTCAAGGCCATATGAATTGTGCAAATGAAGGAAGTTTTTAACTATTCATTTCTATTTACATATATATTTTATTATTTATTCTACATAATTTTTAAGCATAACATTAAGTTTGTGTATAAATTGTCTTTAAGATTTTTTTTCAGTATTTACACCCTTGAATAAATAACGAGATTTTCTGTAGATCAATTAGCCCTACACTCGGCATAAAGTCCCGGACGGATTCATGCGCCCGATACTTTTCTAACAAAGTGAGTCCATCTAATCTCTCCCTCATAACCAGGTCTATAGTCGGTGGCTTTATTCCAACATGTCGGAATTCTACCACTAGTTCCTCTACTGTCATTTTAGAAATATCTTTTGACTGTCTAGACTTCTTTTTGTTTATGCTGATTTTGGGTGGTCGGCGCGGTGCAGAAGTACTCTCCTCAGAATCTTCACAGTTTTCGTCTGAAATATCGAGGCTTTGCAAAGACGAAACAGAACATTGTCTCTCTTTGGTGTTAGATTCACTTGTATATGAATACTGTTCTAAATTTCTATTTTTAGAGGTAAAATTGTCATTGGAAGATGTCTCAGAAAACACATCAGGGTCCTTAGTCTCTGTCAATGTCAATATTTCGGTCAAGTTTTCAATGTGTATCTGCGTATCCCCTGATCTATCTGGGTCTGTGTCTAGCGACGTCTTTAGATTATTGTTTTCTTCCTTGGAATCATACAACATTTCCCCCTCAAGGGTTGGCTTTGAATTGCTATTTGAAAGAGCATGGCTGTCACATTTGCATTTTTTGGATGACTCTTTTGAAATAGGGAGGGAAGGGATCGGCAAAGTCGAATTCGGACTATCGTCTGCACCTGGACTTATAGAATTACTCCGACTTCGGGGAAGATCAGGAATGTCACCGATCGGAGATGACTGAAAAATGCTCGGCGATAGTCGACCCCGGTCAAAGTTATGGCTTGATCGCCCAGGAATGCAGTCATCAGAGAGATGTCCCGAATCTCTTGTCGAAGAACATCGAGAACTAGCAGGCGTCAGTCGCGGGCTTCCCTCCCGGTGCCTGAATAAGTTATCCATGCTTGTCTGAGAACCTGCAATATTCTGATAAACGGGATCTGCTGTCTCTTCCTCAGATTCATATTCCTCTATTGCGACTATTGGTGACGTCTGGTCATTGATTATTTCTTCCGTAGTTGGTAATGGGGGAGGTGGGCGCCGAGGATTTGAGTTCATCCACGTCGAGGGGCGGCGATTAAATGCCTCCTTTGCATTATCTGAACTTCTTTCTGAAGAAGGTAGTGTGCTGCATCCAGGTGGAGCACTGACCCGTCTAGAAGGCAAGCGGGGTACATCATATGTAATGTTATCCTCATAATGATGTACTGCTTCAGAGAAAACTTGAGTAGAGGGACGCCTTCCACCTTGTTTGTCTGGTTCCATTTGTATACCGCTGTCATAAGAACCACCCGAACCAAGGCAAGGTTTGGGTGCTTGTTCTTGATTTGATTTTTGAATTCTTTCAGGAGGCTCCTCAAGTGACTCGGTTGAACTATCGTCAGCTTTCATCTCAACAGATAAACATTTGTTCCCCAAGAAAATTTGAAGAACTGGTTGTTCTGGATGTGGCTCATTTGTACCTTCTATGTAGGATGGATTCGAGAATTGATTGGTACAGACGCAAGGGATAGGATGTTCATCATTGTCATTGATCTCTTTTGAAAATAGAGAGAAACTACTTCTGAGATCTTCATCAAAGCTGTCCCCTGTAATTGAACCACTTTTGACGGATCGCATCTCAACATAGCCGGATGATCTATTTTCGGAACCATGGCTTAAATCTTCCGAAGCGTTGGTTCCAGTAGAAAGTTGCATAGAGAGCTTTCTACGGTGTGTTACTGGTTCAAGCTCGACAGCATTATTATCGAGCAGGGGCAAATCAAGCGGGGGTTCATTGTGAGAGTCACTGGATATTGTATAACAGACTTTGATATTTCTCATATAAATCGACCCTTTCTCGTTGCACAATTCCAGAGCTTGGTGATACGACGGCATGCGAATTAGATCATCGTTAGACATAGCAACATTGAATTGTAGGTCACATGAGGTGGGGATTTCCAGGAGAATATTTCGGGTGTTGGCTAACGTTGCAGCCACAACTGATTGCTCCAGATCTGCTCGCTCCAGACGAAGTGTTCCGGTGAAGGAACAAGGTGTGTTAGGGATACGGCCATAAACAAGACGGACAATACACGGGAAACATTTCTTGTCAACGATTTCACTCATCTGCATCACTGGTCGATTGGCATCCCCAGATGTTGTCGTTAAAGTGTAAAATAGTCCTTTCTGGTCAAATGGAAGAAGAATTTCTCGATCCGCGTCATCTGTACACAATAAATACTTTTCCGCCACGACTTTTGTTTTTCGGAAGATCTTACTTTTCCGCCTTTTCTCACCAATATAAATCTTTCCTTTTCGCAAAACATCGCCTGGAAATAGAGTGCGTTGTTGGTGGATAATGCTTCCATTTTCCCGTCGAACGATTTGCAAGGCCTGCACGCGACGTTCCCCTCCGATGAGGAATGACTCCGTGTTAGTTCCCGCTACTTCTGATACTTCTTGATAGTGAGGAACAAAGTCGTCCACGGGACCGTTATTGTAGTTCTTCTTCAACAAAGAAAAGTACCCTGTAAAAATGATTATAGATAAGATATCAAAAAATAACGTTTTTGTATTAAACATACCATACGTGAAGAGAAATTAATGAAGCTGTTCTCAGTATCAATACGGTAGAATATAAAATTTCATGTTACGTTACTAAGAATATTCTATGATATAATTTTCAAGCCAATTACTCTAAAACTTAACCATAATTAATTTTTTTCCAATTCAAATATTTTCTACTTTTTATTGATTAAGAATGTAGAACTAATGTGATAAAACTCTGTGTTATTTCTCTTTGGTTTTAGAGGACCTCTTATTAAAGCAATGTTCATTACATGAACACTGCAGCACAGTAACGTGACAATTTAAGTCTGTTTAAATGAGACACAGATTGCACATATAACGCCGATTAAGGAAGCACATCAAAATTGTGCAAACAAGAAATAAAAAAACACGAATATTGTCACTTTACAATTTTAAAATTTCATTAATATACTGCAGTATATTTAAAGCAATCTAGGTCACCGTGCATATTGATACATATCGATAACTCTTAGTTTCTGAAATTTTACTTTCCATACCAACCAATTAGCCGAACAGTTTCCGAGTGGTTTGCGGTATATAACTACCGATCTTATCGATTGCAAGTGTTTCAATTCCATTTATGCTAGTCGTTTTTACTATCTCCTTTGCACCCAGGGGCAAGAATTTTAATAGAAACATCCAAAAGTTTTGTTCCTACAAATTATCGGTACATAATTAATAAAAACATTATCTATATCTTTGTTAGAGAGCAGTGGTTTGAAAATATGTTTTTAAAACAGATATTTCAGAAAAGCACATCGTACTTTATCGTTTGTATTACCTTTGTAATCCTCGGGTATAAGAAGCTGCTCGCCTACATCGTGAAATGCTCGTGAGGAGGGGTCAATGTGAACACTCCTAGCGCTGATTTTCTTAATGTTTCTACTTCTGTATAACAGTAAGGGCTGTCTCAGATCAAAGTTAAATCGGGTTCTATCCACAGGAACAGGGCTTTTAGAGGCATCACAGACAACCACCACAGGCAAAGGAAAAGTTTGCTTTATATCCGGCAGAGAGTAAGTTCCAGACTCGAAATTTAAGTCCTCGAAGGTATTAATTTCCATTTTTTAAATTAAAAATCCTTACAAGTGAATATTTTCTCTTCTAAACAGATTGTTGTTATCTTACTAAATATTTCCCCGACTCCGTCGCTCAGGAAACTTGTCCTTTATATTTTGATATAACATTGAATCAAATCCCTGCGAATCTGCTTGCAATGTATTTCCTCCTTTCCTATTGCCAGCGAACTTCCTCTTTTAGAACACCATCTGCATTAGCTGAGCAATTTCTATGTAATAATCCGTTATCACTTTATCTTCGCTATTTATTACGGATATCCAAATTCCTTGTGATATCCAATACAATAAAGATTATTCATGCTTCAGTCCCCGCTAGTTCCTCCGTCCTCTTCTCGAGGCCACGGAGTTCATAATGCTGTACTGTGTCACTGCCGTGTCACAATATAACATACACATACACACAGACTAGTTCTGAGTATCTAACCAAACCCCATATACCATAACTTCACAAAGTAATAAATTTCATTTTTTAAACAAAATATTTCCCTATTTAGTTTGCCGTCACAAGTGCGTGATGCACACATATATGTATGTTTAGTAATTTAGTACATGCATGTGACGGTATATATAAATAAATAAACAAACCAAATTCATCACAAATGTACCAGTCATTATACACGAGTAGGAATTCTACTTCATTATTTCCTCTAATTACAGTAAAAGCTTGCAAGAAGATTGAAAGTGATGAAGTGGTCATTTTAACTCTTTTCCCTTTCAATATTTTATTGTTTGTGCATGCACAGACTACGTATTATAAGGAAAACTGCTATGTGGAACATCTAAGCGTAAAGCTTGACGGGCTTTGAAGCGGGGCTTCGTCAAAGACATCTTTATATATTATATGTAAATACATAATATGCTTCTAAATTTAATAAAATTACTTATTGCTTAAAACAAGGATTCAGACAATTTTACTTTGCCGTTTAGTTCGGGTACTCGTGTCTCTAGTTGTAAATAACGGTCATTATTGACCATATGGATAAATGTATCATTATTATTATAATAAAGCTATTACAAAGTGTAGATTATGTGTAAAGTTACGGCCATGAAGAGCTGAACAAACATAACACACTTGAACATGAAAGTCGTAAAGTAGATAAAGAAATGACTAATGGGGTTTATATTGTTTATAATTATTTCTCACATAACAGTATGCGTCATTAACTTGCACAATGACAAATTCCAAAGTACTCTTAGTCAAGGACACAATGGTAGACAACATGGCTATCCGATTCTGACAAACCTACTTCACTTTATTTATCTCTATTGTTTTAGATCTGAAGAGAAAAAAAAAATATCCGCACGCCCCTAAATAAGTGCTTGCTGCTCTCAAATTTCTGTAAAAGTCAATGGATAAAGGGTGGTGTCATGGCTTTAGGATGCCACTGAAATGTTGAGAAAATTCATGCCAACAAATAATTGCAAATAATTTTTTAGAACCATAACCCCACCTCATAAATTGCAAAGATAATTTAACATTTTATTTTTTACCCACCTCTTGTCGACCATTTAAAAACGCTCACATTTGGCTAAATTAAAATGTATCTATTGCAATGAAAATCAACCTAAGTAATATGCTCGTTGTATATAACTATTATAACGTAAAAAAAAACACCGCACCTTTGCCAAATTTAAAAGGATCTCGAATTTGAAATTGCTTATATTTTTTGTTTCTTGCGGATTTTATTCGTCTTTCGTGATGATTTCTCTTTCATTCTTGAAAAAGAATTGTGAAATCACTTAAATGTAAATATTTCTATTCTGAAGATAAAGTATGTTTATTGTATCTTTAGATGTTGATCTATATTGTATGGATACAGTAAGAGTTGATGTGCTTTGCATGAATAAATGTAGAAGTATAATGATAAAAATTAATGTCTTTTGAGTGGATATTGTATAGAAAGATACTGACGTGTGTTTAATGAATTAAAGTTGATGTATATGATATGGATATATTTATGTTGATGTATATAGTATAAAGAGATGTTGAAGAGTATGGATGGATTTATATAAGTAATGAACGGATAGATGTTGATGTGGTGTAGGGATAAGTTGATGTATATTATGTGGATATATAAGTGTTGATATGTATCGAGTATTGTATGCCTAAATGCAGATGAGTAATTCTTGGATTTACGATATGTTTATGAGTATTGAATAAATAGATATAGATGAGTATGGAAAGATGACGATGTGTGTTATATGGATTAAAGTTGATGTATATTATGTGGATGTATGCGGAGCTTTGTATAGATAGATGCTGAAGAGTTTTGTATGGATAGATGCTGAAGAGTTTTGTATGGATAGATGTTGATGAGTTTTGTATAGATAGATGTTGATGAGTTTTATATGGATAGATGCTGAAGAGTTTTGTATGGATAGATGTTGATGAGTTTTGTATGTATGGATAGATGTTGATGAGTTTTGTAAGAATAGATGTTGATGAGTTTTGCATGGATAGATGTTGATGAATTTTGTATGGATAGATGTTGATGAGTTTTGTAAGGATAGATGTTGATGAGTTTTGTATGGATGAGTTTTGTATGGATAGATGTTAATGAGTTTTGTATGAATATATGTTGATGAATATTGTATAAATAGACGTGATTGATAAAGTTTTCTTCATCTTTTTTCTTTAATTTCAGTATCCATAGATTGCAATATTAATGAAATATTTTGATCAATTACTTTCAAAGATTTAAAGTTTGTTGTATATAAATAATATTGTGATTTTTAACAATTAAGATTATGTGAATAACTCATTAAATTCTACTGAGTGGTATAGGAGGAGTTGTGGTTAAGAGATGGTTACCCCCAATGTTACAGAAAGAATGACAGTGTCCATAATTTGCTAAATAAAAAAAAACAAAAAACGATTATCTGTCCCATCGAAACGAAAAAAAAAAGAGCTGAGCAATGCGACTATATAACAAAGATTCTGTTAAATATATTATTATATTTTTATTCAGTTGTACAGGAGAAGTTGCAGATAAGAGACGTGTATACCTCAGACACCTATCACTATACTTAGTTACTAAGTTAGTATACTCTCGCTTTTCAAGCGGGGGTAAATGGACAAATTATAAAACGTTCTTATTTCAATTCTTAAATATACTATCAATTTTTGAAAGGGTACTCAAGCACATTACTTTTGTTGAAAAGATAATATCAAAAGAAAGGAAAATAAAAAAGAGAAATATTCTTCATAAAAAGACTATTAAAAAATTGCTTTGGAAATGCTAGAATGAATACAATGACAAAGAAAATCGGCATGCGGCATAACTCGATATTGGGTGTCCAAGATATTTAATTGAGTGACGTATCTTTGTATTGAATAGCTTTCCTTCTTTTATGAAGTGACACAAAACATTATATATTCACAAAAGATAGGGTATTAAGTCCCTTCTACAAAACCTTTAAACTCACCTTGACCATAGGTTAGGAAATAAAACGGTGAAACGGAAAGAAAAAAAAAATTGCAACTGATTACGAAAACCTATAGGTATAAGTCTGTGTTTCCAAAAAAGCGCTTGAAGGAGAGAATGATCTATTGGATTAAACATACAATTCTGCTTTGTGTATTTTATTTCAGAGATTCCCTTTTATAATGAACTTTCTGCAGCTTGTGGAATGTGCTGAATGAAAGGAATGTTTCTCGGATGTCTAAATTAAACACTGAAACAGTAAGTCCATTTCCTATTGCCGCCCTCTTTTATAATTTACTTCTCACGCAAGGTGTCATGAGTTTTTCAAAAGGCATCAAAATTTAAGTTCATTGAAATGTTTTCACACAACGCGTAAAATGATCATTCGAGTCAATCATTGTCATTCAAAAAAGAAGAGATTATTCATGTAGAAGGCATCTTAAAATCAAGGATTTGCCCAAATTTAATCTGCTTGCATGTATGCACCTTTTATCATCAGAAAAGAAATAAATGTTGCCTAATTTTTCCTTTTTTAAACATGTTTAATACTTGTATATATAAACGAATAGGCCTCATATCAGTAATAATGATATCAGAGATAAACACTGTCGATATGCACTTATATATGATTCATTTATTTGAGTGATTCCAGTGAAGTGGTCCAAAATGCTCCAATGACGATATTTCCGAGACAGCAAGGTAATCGTATACAGGTATATACTCCACAAACAAATCTCTGAATTGACAAAAATCAACAGTGCATCAAAGAAATAAAAAGGTTTTCTATAGTTTGATTATTTACTACATTGAACAGCATTCATTAAAATTCAACGAGCTTTACTTTTAAATATTTATTCATATCCATGAGAAGCAAGTATATTTGAATAACAACGAAATTAAATGTATAACTTTCGTAGACACCATAACTACATACGAAAAACATGGCGGGGGCTGAAAGATCTCTAATGAAAGGAGAGGATGATCCAACATTTGTTTGGGAAAAGCAGCCAAAAAAGTTACTCGAGATTTTAAAAGAGGACAGACTTCCGGTTGTGGTCAGGTTAAGTACAGAGAATGTCTTGTCTTCAGAAAAAAATTCAGCAAGAGATGTCCACAAACCTCTGCTCTTGTACAAGGAAGTGAAGGGTCGTAAGATTTACGGCAAAAACGTCACTTCCGTAGACGTATTGACAGGCGCCGTCTGCCGAGAAGATGGTCCAGTGGTAGTTATCCCAGAAAAGTATCCTGGTAGGTTTATTTCACAACGGTTTATATATATAACGTCAGTACTGTATTTTTTCTTCGGAATTTGTTTGGGTATTTTTATGTAAAAATCTTCATTATTGTACAACTTTATTTCTTTAACGTAAAAAAAAACAAATATGATTTAAAGCAAAACTATAAAGCAAACATAATATTTTAAGGTGTTCTGCACCAAGACAAATCACTGAACAGACTTTAAAGTTGAGTCCTTTTTGGCAGGTTGGTTTCGTCTCATTGACGACCTGGATAAACCACTGACAACTGTCGCCAATGTTGCTCGAATCATGCCAGTTCGATTTCTATGTTGTAAACCTGTATCCGGGTTCTTGAACATCCAGAAAGGCAGCAAAAGTAATCCAGATGGATTATATGAAAAACTGACAATTAACCCTGGAGTTTACAATGTACTGAATATACACGAAGACTTTGTCAGATATATTGATAAAAAGAAGACAGTTAAAAATCTGATGCGATGTTTGAAGTGTTCTGACAACGAGGGAACGGAATTTCTTCTTCCGTTTGAATCCACTGGGTTTTTCTATCTTATTGAGTCACGGAAAACAACGTCTAAACGGCTTAACGCAGAGAGGTGTGGCTACGTTTATTCTATACACAGTATGATGGAAGCTGGATTGTCAAAGGATGTCATACTAAGCCTAATGCATGGGAGACCCCCGGCTACCCCATGTGGATTTACAAGTGTGCTTAAGATATGTGACATTATTAAGGACCATACAATAGTAGCATCTACCCTCTCAAGTACTCCTAAGTTACTGGAACTTCCTATTGGACCGACACCCAAATTCGTCAAGGCAACAAACTTGGACGAAGTACAGAATCATCCAGTGTTTCAGAAAGTCCAGAATTATTTAGCTGAAAATGCTGATACCTACGCGAACGAGATGAAGGTCCGCCATAACTATAATATCCAGTCCACCAGAGAAGGCCCGGGGGTACCCAGACTCGCAGTGCCTCAGAATGGCGCGAAAACACCGAAGCCAAAACAAACCTAATCTACTAGAATTGTAGTTGTTTAAAAAAAGAAGGTACCGTTTTAAATCGTCCTACTGTCTCCCAATATAGATGAAAGTGTATGTTACGTTTTCGGAAAACATTGTGGTAACCAGTCAGTCCAATTAAACTCTGTGCAAAATACATGAATATCTTTGAGAAAATAAATCAATGTATTGATAAGCGATTACGAACTTGAAGTTCTTGGGGAAAACTAAAAGCTAGGGTGGATATACCCTTTTTGAGTTATTGTTTGATTAAACCAACTTTTATCATTTTTGAAAGAAATACTGAGGAGTGACAAGGAGGGTAAAAATATGCCAGAATGGATTTATTTTTGTCTAACTTCTCGTCAAATTCTTTTGGATGAAATATATGGTGATAACGAACAGTATTGAAACTTTTTTTTTAAAAAGTCCATTAATTAATACAAATTTTGAAGCAGAGCAAACATTGAATTCTAAAACATTAGAGGAAGGATCAGGTGTCATGGAGGATTGACATCCCCTACAAACCGTTCACTCCCGCTGTGTGCTCCTTGCCATGATCGGGAAATTACGGGAAAATCCGTCGACAATTCACTATGTGAATAGTGGTCTAACAATAAGTATACATATGACTTAATAATAGATTGTATTTGCTGACAAGGTCATTTTATCAACCATAGAACTTACGAAATGGTGACTTTGAATGAGACCGCTGATATTCTTATTTCATCAACTTGTTTGTCAATTACCTCGTTTTAGAAAAACTACTGTATTCATACAAAGAGCATGCTCTTGCGTATCAAATCAACTGCGAGATATAATTCCAGTATGCAGGTGATATTGTTGAATATGTAAGGAAAGTTGACATTGAATAGGTAAATTGATCACTTTTTTCATAAAGCTTGGTTGTTAGATTACCATAAACGTCTTTTCCTTGTAAAATATCAAACTTTGAAACAGATTTAGAGTATCTTTTATTTCAAGCTCACCAGGGTATATTGTATCGACAAAACAATGGAAATAACCATTGTTAATTGACAATACGTCGTCGATGTATAGGGACCTATCTAAATGTAGAGTTGAAGGCCACAAGTTGTTCGTCTGTTCACGTTTAAGATTTTGAACAAATTCTTTTTAGATGTTATAGAGGCCCATTTTTCCTCCTCTCCAAAAGTTGTATTGTTAAATGGACTTTTAAGTAATGAGAACAAAGTTTATGATAAATTTTTTAATCGCCATTTTTCCGTTCTAAAGAGGCAATAAACCCTTATCGCCTGTATATGGGGTTTACATGTGTACCTCTTGGCTGATTCGATACGCAAGGAGCATGCTCTACGCACGAACAATTTTTGAAACGAGGCAAGTTATTACCCGTGAAAGGATATCCGATCCTCAGCCAGGAAGGATTACTCCAAAAATTAATATTTAATTTGAAATGCATCAAAATGAAGCTTGAAAATGAAAATTTTTCATGCAACAATTTTCATTTCATTCATCTTTATACGACTCAGTCATTGGAAGTCTTAGAAAAGGTCTTTAAAAAGTTGACATTTGTGCCCTATAAAAGGAGAAAACAATTAATACAGTTTTAGAAAAATAAGATTTTCTTGAATCCAGCCTTAGATACCAATGATTATTATCATGTTATTAAATGAGAAGTGATTTGTGGTGTCTTGCAATGATAGCAAAAGCCTTTTACACTATGTATTATAGAATACATGACGGAAATAGAAGACAAAAAATACCAAATAAGTATGAAAATCACGACAATTTCTCTGAATGCCTGATTGAAAAAACTATTTATTGCGCACAAAAAAGTGCGCTGTTTCTAGATTTATTTCTCCATGTTTTTAAATCTGTCATCTCAAAATATTGCTAACCGTGTGCTAACATTTTTTTTACTGTTTCCACAAGAAAACATTCCTTATAATTGTTTTTAAAACCCTCCTGGACCTGAAATTGGGATCATCGAAAATTTTGCCTATCTATACTGCCATTTTGGTTTGTAAGTTAATTCGGTCCAACGCACTTCGTACAGATGTAACCTACGAGAGTAATTAATAGAGGATTAAGGACTTTTTGAAATCAAACTTTTTTTGCAATAGAGGTAAAAATTTTGAGGAATTAATCCAAAACCGAGCGCACATTTTCGTACGCAATAAATATACAGTTTTTCAATAGGTGGCACTGTAGCTCTCCGGTCTGTCAATATATATTTTTTCGGAGAGCTACAGTTCTGCGTCTGTCTATATATATTTTTTCGAAGAGCTACAGTTCCGCAGGTACATTCCGCCAAGTCCTAAGATCGATACAATGACCTTGTCAGTAAACACAATCGATAATTCAATCAAATGCTGATGGACGTTTTTCATACTACATGTAATAACTAGTTTTAAGCCATGATTTACACATTGAATTGTCTACGGATTTTTCGATCATGCATGGCAAGAAGCAAAGGGCGGGTGTGATCGGTCATCAGGGGATGCTCACCCGTCCATGGTACCTGATCTCTGAGGTGCCCGTGTTTGCTCTAGCTGCTTCTGATTTGTGTTTGAATGGAATTTTGAGCTCGAATATTGTTCGTTGTTATCTTTCTCGTTTCACCATTAATATTTTAAAAAATGGGGTTGACAACTGATTTCATTGTAAAACTTATTCGAGGAAGAAGCTGATGTGACAGACAGACGGACAGACCAGGATAAAAACATTATACCCGAACTTCTTTTTAGAAAAAGAGTTTACCTCTAGACGGTCAGTCTACTTATAAGTCACCCGCGTGGCGCAGTGATACGAGGTCTGCTTTAGAGTCGCGGAGTAAGAAGTTGATCCTTACGTCGCGGGTTCGAATCCCACTGTGGGACGTGGAGACCGGTCCTTAGGATGAGACCGTATAAATCGAGGTCCTGTGTCACAGTAGGTGCTGGCACGAAAAAGATCCCTCACTGCTCAATGGCCCTAAGTGCCGAGTGGAGGATACATGTACAAACAAACAAAACAGCTCTTTATAATATTCCCAATTCGTGTACTCCTCCACAACTACCGCTATATGGCAAAATTCAACTAAGCTTGTCGCAAAGCACCCTTAGGAGACAAAGAAGAATATTTTAATAGATTTTTCTGTATTTTCTTCATTTTTATTATACACTGAATCAACAGTTCCCTCTCTAACACCAGAACTCTGATGCAGGAGCCATTCAACATTTAGAAAGAAGCATCTTGCTCATGATATCAAACAATCACTTATTCTGTTTACTTAATATCCAGGAGCAGAAAGAAGAGAGATTTCAAAGAATTTATGCATTTTAAAGCCCCATCCTAAAACCAGTTCCCCTGACCAAGAGACCTTGAGTCTAAGAAAAGAGCTCGATGCTAGTTATAATCATGTCCGCAGTTTGACTGCTTGATGTCAGACCAATGAGCTATTATAAAAACGTTCATTATGACATGTACGAGGTGTTATCAAAAATATACTTTTATTTATCAAACATTTTCTTGCAGAAGTTTAGATACATCTTTTCGTTTCGGATTTGCGTCCGAGTGATTGTTTTCACACATGTAACATGTGATGGTAATCAAAATAAATGCAAAAGTTAACATCACATTTTGTTCCTTAGACGATGACGTTCATCGATTTCCCCAACCGCATTTTATAAAGTTGTCATTTGTTGAGTTGTTCACTCAATTAACACTAAACAGGTGTACATTTTATAGTAGACAAACAATGCATCTGGTCTCCATTAAAAATCTTGGAGTAAATAATATGATATTGCATTTTTATGCTTTGACCAATGGCGGAAAACACCTTATTTTATTTATCATTATATCATATTATTTATATAACAACAGCTCATTGGTCGTACAGATTTCCTATCATAACCTTCAAATGATGACAAATAGCTTCCGTTGTTCTCCAATCCCAAGGTTAGGTTTAGGTGTGTGGCAACATTTAGTTGGGTAGAAATAATCATTCCTTTTTATAAAGCTAAAAATGTCACATATTAAGACGAACGAATTAACCAAGAATCATTTTTTTTATCTCCGTGTAATACTTAATAAACATTTAATCTAAAAGCAATAAAATACATTCATTTTTTTCCTTGAAATGATTTGTAACCTTCATAAATTGAGCAAAATAACCTAGCAGGAATTAATTGTGTATACTATATTTCTTTCATGTATTTTTATGTGAAAAATATAGCACAGACCTTAAAATAAAAAAGAAAACTTTATGAAATGAAAAAATAAGCTATTAAGTATTCCCTAGTAATATAACCAAAACACCACTCCATCCACAGTAACACCCCCCCCCCCCCCAAGCAAACAAACATTTAACAGAAGAACAGACAGATTAACAAAAAATAAAAACGAACAATTCCATACGTAAAGTTTACTTGATTATCATTCTAAATCTTTACACATGCAGAAACTTATCTAGAACACAATAAAACATGTACCGGTATCACAAAGTTTATGAAAAAAAAAATTCTCTTTAGACATTAACCATTGCAAATAACATTTAGGGTATTCTGCTACTGTGTCAAGGATTTTTTAATAAGTGTATTTTTCTACTCATAAAGCATAATTCAAAAATTTGAAAGAAAATTGTACGTTATACTAAGCAGTAGAACAATAAACTTGACCTTTTTGCACTTAATTTTTTTTTTTTTTATAATGATCACTTTAAACTCAGTCATGATAATTTATCGGATGTAAGCATGGATATCAACATAATTTTGTTACGTTCAATTATCATGTGAAATATTACAAATAGGCACTTACTTTGTCTTCTAAATACCCAAAAACGGAGAAGAATTTCAAAGAATTAAATTTTCATTGCTAAAATTATATATATCTAATTGTGATTTGTCTCAGAAAAAAAACAAGCAAAGAAATCAATTAACAAAAAAACACAACAGCTATTAGCAGTCCGTTGACTTTCGTTTAAGTTCAGTTAATTCTAACAATTTGAAAATTCCGCGCGTCGGCATTGATTGGTCCGTGCTCTGAATGGAGTCACTATCCGATTCCATAAACCTGTCCGAAGGCTCATCGTCTGCTAGACTGATGTTCGTTATTAAATCCAATGTTTTCAAGCCCGAGTCTTTGACCTTAGACATTTTGGGATTGTACTGTACTTTCATGTGATGTGTATCCAGTTCAGACGATAACTTTATTAGCGATGAAAATGACACGGCATATTTTTCACAAAGTTTCTGAGCGTCTTCAAACGTTTTCAAACCCTTTAGTGGTTCTTCGTTTTCCGGAAAACAAACAACACAGGATGAAGAAATTGGAATTTCTATCAAAACGTTTCTCTTGTTCATGACTGTACTGGCAATGATAACATCCTCGGAGACAGTTTCTCTTAAAGCTATCATTCCCGTAAAAATACACGGAACAACCGGGGCTTTCCCATAAACTAATCGAACTATTGTTGGCATATCAAAGTCTGATATAAGGTCTTTTATCCTGTATATGCTCCTTTCGTTATTGGCATCTTTTTCATACACGCTACTGAACCGACCCTTTGTTGAAAAAGGGACAAGGACCTCTTTTTGGTCTGTATCTGTACATTTTAAGTACTGAATTTCAATCGTGGTCAATTCTTCCATTTTCTTCTTTCGAACACTCTTCTCTGCGCGAGTCTCCCATTTTGCAGAGAGTGCACTATCAACCAAAAGAATGGAACCCGCCGGAATTTTTCTTTCCTTGAATGTTTGTTGACCATTTTCTTCCACTATTCGTATTCCGGTTATTGTTGTCCGTGTGAATATTTTTCTTGGCATGATTTTTGACACTTCTTCTATTGAGGTAAATACTTTCGATTTGCCAAAGTCTGATGGCACAATTTCAAACCAACCTACAAATAACAAATAATCAACTGAAACATAGAAACATGCATCAGAAAAACACGTGCTCGCTCTATTTATCTATGATTTCAAACTAGATTGGTAATTTAGTGAATAAGAAATTGGGAACTGTTAACATAATATCAAACTATTATCATATTAAGCATATATAGATATTTTTAAAAGTTATAGACATGTACAAATTTTTACTTTTTTATACAATATCTTTCCAGATTGTTTCATACAGCCTGAAAATTTTGTTTGAAAGAAACGTTTACATTGATTATATCATCCAGAGAAAGATTTTGCTTCTTGGTTGATCATAATTTCTCATAAGTAAAATACATGTATTTTAACTGCTTCCGTAGTCACTGCATTGAACTTGTATGGATATGGCTGTATAGATTTCGATAGCGAAAATTATCGGGCACGTCACCAAACTTTTTTCTTCATTTGTCAAAGTTAGGCTTAAGATTAATTTTGTACAAAATTTTTAACCTCAGATCAAAAAAGAGAACTTAGCTAAAAGCAGACATGCAGGTGACGTCGACAACCAAATAGTTATATATAAATACATACACCGCATGTAGGATCAAAGAAGATTTACTTAATACTTATATAACTTCTGAATCAACAGAATTTAAATCCGGTTCATGAGATAAAAAGTGCTCCTCAGAAATTATACAGTGTCGTGGTCCATTATTTTGCACATTTTTGACAATGTATATGGATGATGATTGACGAATGTTGAAAAAAAATTAAAATCTACACATTTTTTTCTTATAGATCGAGATATGCTTTTCGCAGGCATAGTTGTAATTTTTTGTAAACAAGGATTTCATAAGACCTTCAACTCGAAAAAGATGGAGGGGACAATGAAAATGGCGTTTTTTTTCGTGTTGCATAAAATATGTTAATTTTCTACACGGTGTTCTAATCATCACCATTTCGCATCATTGTCGATATCCTTAAACCACATTTTCATAATTACATGTACTTCACCTTTTCTCTTGTAATATCTGAGGTTTAAAGTTCTTTTAGGCAAAGCTTAAAAAAGTCTTTGTTTGCTGCTGCCGACCTATAATTTTTAGACTGGATGGATAGGTAGGTAGATATTCTTTTTTTTTGAAATTTTTTCTTCAGATTTTTGTAAGATAGCAAATAAAAGAGCTTTCCATAGGCCTACTAAACATGAATTAGCTCCACTCTTAAAAACCACTGATTGATAAAAAAACAAAAGTTAAATATTGAAAACGAAACAGTTTCAATATCCTGAAAAATTGGGAAAAAATAATATCATAAAATGGCTAAAACAAAGTTTGGGTCGGGTGCATTTTCAGAGGGTCGCTAGGCAAATGCAAACAAACAAATTTTCATTTTAAGCCTTAATTATATAGGAATTACACAAACAAGAACACGTTTATGTGCAAAGCATTTTGCTCTTTCAAATGATGCAAACAATTAACTTTTGTGGGGAATTGTTGAAATCTATTTTCATACCATTTTCTCTGTAGGCTATTTTGATATAAAACAAGTAATTAGTGCATGAGAACAAGAATTTATACAAGGTAATTTCTTTTAAAACATTTTATATAACTCTAAAAGTATTCACATATATATGTACTAGAAATATTATACGGACATGATATTTTAGCTATTTTTCACAGTTATACTCAGAATACTAATCTGTTTAATCTAACAGACATACTTATCTGTTTAAAAAAAGGAATCTAATACCAGTATTTATCTGTTTTAATATGATTATGTTCATAATGACTTCTTTTAAAAAATATACTTCTCTATAAATGTCATATAAATATTCAGTAGCATTATAATTAGGCATTTTTACAAAGCGTCTACTGTTAGACGTACACATCTTATGTATTGCATCAATACATATATCAAAATTCTGGATCGATTTCGTTACCTTCAAAATTGTCAGGAATGATGAGTGTCTGTCCCACCTCGTAGTACGGCCCACTGGCATCGTGGTATATGGTCCGTCCGAGCACCTGTTTTCTCTGTCGCCTCATGTACATGTAGAGGGGTTGGTCACAGTATATAGACAGTCCAGCGGGCAATGCCTTGGTGTCATCAGCTGATAACTTACAAACACACGGTAAATGAGAATCGTCTCTAATGTCCCCTAGAGCTCGGAGATCGGATGTCCAGGAGACGGTTCCAGGCGACTCCTCCTTCTTATTTTCGAAATTATCCTCCATCCTCCCTTCGCAAACGGGTTCTGGAGAGATGCGTCAAAGATAATTCAATGAATCATTGAATGAAATATTTGTTCATTTGTTGTCGTCGGAGTCAACGTGTAGGCATGAATAGTCCTGTTCACTCAATCGTTAAAAACCGGTTTTCGCGTTCATTCATCAACGTAACAAAGAAGTCTGTTTACTTACAACCGCGGGTTATTTGAATTCGATAACCATGACAAATGCATTAAATAAGATTGCCACTACGACTAATGGTGTATTTTCAATAGCATTCGAACTTCTTCTATAAATAAATAAAAAATTATATGGTGAATTTTGAGGGTAGCTTCTGGTTTCGGGGTCAATAAACTGCAATATCACTATAAAAAAGTGACCAAACCCCTTGTTTTATTTTTTTGTACATGTATGTTGAATTTGGTCTTTTACTCAAGGAGTCGAGGTAAGAAATATAATATTCTGCTTCAATTAGTTCAAAGGCTTGAGATAATACCAGAAACTCGCAAAAAGTGTTTTACAAAGGTAAATACAGTATACCGGTATGTGATGTTTGTTGTCAGACCGATTTTTTAACCCCAGTTTTACATGCAGATACCTTCACATTACACTCACAGTGTTAGACTACAGGTACCTTAGCTTCAAACAAGTACATGTATATTGTAATGTAAGGATACCATCGTATCAAGTTTTATACTATACAAGTATTTCTTATTTGTAGACGATTTCAGCTTTTCCATCGTCAACTTTCCTTACTGATTTAGTAATATTTCACTATCATTTGCTTATGGCATTTATGTAGTTTTCTGCCCCATGTATTCTCTTTAGAGAAGTGGATTCTCTAAAGAGAATATGCCCCCTGTAGGCTAGGGAACACTGACGGGGGACGGAGATGGGAGTGAGGATGCTGGCTGTCCCAGGGCTGACAGGCTGTCCCGGGTTTGGTAACATTGACCGTCCCATTGTACCACTGGCCAGTTCCTACATAGCACTTATCTACAATTCATGTTAAATCCAATTATTCATGTCTAACGACTTTAAATAATTTCTTTCAATAAGGAATGTTCAGAAAAATGCAAGTATATTTTTATGTGCATTCTTGCATTTGATTTCAGGAGGCAGCTTCCCATTGTAGTAGCATTTACTCGCTACTTTATTACTTTAAACTTACAGCATGCTCTAAGCAAGAGCAATTTAGGCAAGCATTTCGTAAATTCTATGGTCGTTTTTTATGCCCCCGTAAACGAAGTTTCGGGGGTATATAGTTTTTGTCGTGTCCGTCTGTCTGTCTAGCTGTTTGTCCGCAAAAACTTCTACCTTGCCCATAACTTTTGATTTAGTGGAACTATGACTTTCATTTTTTTCACATGTGTATTCCTTGTGACAAGACCTTTCTTTGGGTACCACCAAATTCGTCCTTGTGACATTGACCTTTGAGTTTGACCCACTTTTGCACAAAAATTCCGAACTTTACTTTGGCCATATCTTTTGAACAGTAGATACCAGGACATTTATACTTCACATATGTATTCTTTGTGAAAGACCTTTCATTGGATACCAACAACCTTGACCATTTGACCTTGACCTTGGAGATTTCGTACTTGTGAAAAAACTTCAACCTTGGCCATAACTTTTGAACGGTAAGGGAAAGGGCTTTCATACTTCACATATGTAATTCTTCAGAAGAAGAAGACCCTTCATTGGATACCAAGAACTTTGACCCTTTGACCTTGGAGTTTGACCTTCTTTTAAAAAGCAAACCTTGACCATTACTTTTAAAGGGTTAGGGCTAGTGATTTCATACTTTATATATTTAATCCTTGTGACAAGACCAAGAACTTTGACCTTGGAGTTTGACCTACTTTTTAACCTTGGTCATAATTTCTAAACAGTTAGAGCTGGGACTTTCATGCTTTACAAATGTATTTTTTGTGGCAAGACCTATCATTGGATACCAATGACCTTGACAATTTCCATACTTATGAAAAAACTTTAACCCTGGCCTACTTTCATATTTTTTACAATTGTATTTCCAGTGAGAATACCCTACTTTAGGTACCTAAATTTGCATTTAAGAAAAGTTTAATCTTTGCTACGTTGTCATACGGGGGCATCATTGTTTCACAAACACATCTTGTTTTACCATGTTAGCATGTTTTGACTGACTTGCTTCAGTTGTCAGACTTTTGTTTTATATTAAAACTGACTTCGTAATGTTCCATTAACTTCATCAATGACGAGTGCTCACGCGGTTGTACCCGATCAACGGGAGATCTTTTCTCCTCCCAGGCATCTGATCCACCCTCTGAAATATGTGGGTGCCCCCGTTTATGCCTTGATCACAAATTTGATTTTTTTAAATATTGATTTTTTTTTCTTAGATCAAGGCTGTTCATTATCTTAACCTCGTTCATAATTATAAATATCATAAAATAGGCTATACATACTGCCTGTACTTTGTGTATTTTAAAAACACATTTTTTTCATACAAATTTATTTGACAAACAAAGTTCAAATTCACGAAAAAATAATTAAGAAAACACAGATTCATATTGTTTTCAAAATAAATAGATATTGCACTTGCAAAAAATTCAGTAAAACTGACAAAAAAACTGCAAATAAATAATATAAATATAACAATAAATATCATGCAATGTGAAAAAAGAAATAATAAAATCACAAAATCAAAACATTTAGGCCTGTTCAAAAAATGTCTAAAAATTGAAGAATTTATTCAAATTATATAAAACCAAACATTTAAGGGGGTCCGGCCTTCTGATAAGAGAGATAACTTTCCAATTTAGAATTCTTAATATTACACAATAATTTTCACGTTAAAAAAACATTGTGAAATTTAAAGCAGAGGGTCAATAGCCCTCAATCAGTTTTTTTTTAAATGAAAGAATGTTGAGAATAAAAATATATTTTTTAATATCATTCATAGATTGAAAATACACTAACATTCTGCTTATCTTAATAAAACTTAAGTAATATCTTTAGCAAAAAAACTAACAATATATCTTATAGACTTGTACACACGAAAGATACAAGGTACACAATAAATTACAAAACCTATATCGTCCGGATCCATTTCATTAATGGAATTTATAATAAGACGCTGAGCTGACAACAAGTAAAACTATGTAGTTATAAGTTATACATATTCATAACACATATCTCATTATTTGAATGACACTGAAGTGAAAAATGAGAATTGTATACTAAAATCAAATACGCTGTAACAAATGAATATTTCACTCCATATTTCTAATACACACAAAAATAAAATAGTATTTACACTGAAATAAATAGAATACTGTCAAATAATTTTAAAAAACTGGAAAAATAAAATAAAATAAATAGTATGACTAGTAAACCGCGCAAATACAAGCAATAATTCTTATATAAATTTACGATTTTTAAGCCATGACACTTAAGGGACAATCTATACCTTAAAGGTAATCACAGTAGATACGGGAAATTAAGCACCAGAGTTACGTAATAATGATGGGAAAATGTTAAGGGGGTTACATTGTAGTGGGGTGACACCAAAATAAATTTGTTTTTACATATTCATCATACAATGTCGCAAGCAACAGATGAACAGCATTTACAACGTATTATATGTCGCCCTGCATATTTATAACGATATGTTTTTATACCTATGTTTATTTAAGTCCTGGTAAAAAAAATCGCAACTTTCTTTTTAACTGAGATCATAGTATATGGAATCAATCCAATTGAATATTGTGAATATTTAATTGTACAGTCGCATGTCTGTGGAAGTGTTATCGGACTGGCTTATATAAATAAATATCGACCCTTTGGTTGAATCCTTTTAAGTTCTCAAAAAAGATTTTTTGAATTAAAACATTTTCTTATCGTAAAAAATATTATCCAATATAGATTTGTATCAAAACCTATAAATAGGCAATTCATGAATATTGTTGATCACACACATTAGCCTAAACCTGGGTGTCAAGGCGATATCTTTGATGCTTCTTGTATACAGAAAGCACCTGGCAGATGATGAGGTAAAGTCGACTAGACGAATTTGCACTAAATTTTATTTTCAGCTAGTTTTGCTGAAGAAGCAACTGTTCAAGTTCGTCTGCTGAACGGTAGAGGAAAGCAGCCGACTCGCGATAGCCACCAATCAGTTGTTTTATTGTGGCAATTTCTCCAGCACTTAGTTGACTCTTAGAGGACTGTTTCTTTATGCTAAGATCTGTGGGACCTGCAAAATAGTTATGATATCAAGGTTATAAAAACTAACTCATAAAACACACGAACACGAGATTACAGAAAAATCAAAAGACAAATACTGTAAATGACTTGTTATTCGCGATTTTTTTTATTTCGCGTAACTACGCGAATCTGTATGTTCGCGAAAATTACATTCTCGTGTAATAGTCGGGATTATATACAGCAAAAGCCAATGCCGCGAAAATTTAGTCTCGCTTACAATACCGTATAGCTGACTCGTGAAAATAAGGTGTCGGACTCCTCATTCTCATTGTTTCACTTGGTTTTCATGCAATCATATTGCTTAAATGTATGACACTTGCCAAAAATAAAAAAAAACAACCAAAAACAAAAAAACAAAAACGGATTAAAATATTTCAATTGAAAAAAAGGAACAAGAATGACAAAAATATTTGTTATTATATGTTATAAAATATTTTATGATAAGAAAGAGAAATATTGCAACGATACATACTTAACTTACCGTTTTGAACCGAGGGCGGGTTCAGTGAGCCGTGCGACAGGACAGGTGGGTGGTGATGTGCCGGATGTTGATATCCCGGAAATCCAGGGCGAAAAAGTCCATTTCCATTAGTGAAAAATGGTGGATGGAATTCTGGAGCAGGCCTAAAGGCAGGAGGTGGAGGTTGATGGCGCAAGAAGTCGTTATTAGTGTGTGCGTGTCTATCTACTTGTGATGCCGATTGTTGAGACTGAGGTGATGTTTGATTTGAGGATGATTGGGAATGTGGTGATGGAGCAGGCGTTGACTGTTGTTGAGGCTGAGCAGTTGTCTGAGATTGACTATTTGTTGTTGAACTGTTATGTTGCATTGACACGGCCTACAAGGAAGTCCAAATTTTAACTCACGTTAATAGGTACGGTATATCATTTTCATTAAAACCGAAATACACATGTTCCAGGCCTCGTTTTGGAATTTATGACAACGAAAGACATTTGTCAAAACATTTGGATATAATTTCTATGGAAGGAAATCAGTTAAATAAAAGAAAACGAACAGTATTCAAGATCAAAAATCCATAAAACTGTGCAAAATAGGAGCAGAGCAAACATGGACCTCCAAAACTTCAGAGGTGGGATCAGGTGCCATGGAGGAGTGAGCATTCCCTGCCGACCAGTCACACCCGCCATGTGCTCCTTGTCATGATCGGGAAATAACGGAAAAAATCCATTGTCAATGCAGTGTATAATTTGTGTCATTAATACTTACCGGAAGTGGCTCAAGTCCAAGACGCATGCGCTTGGCATTTTGGCTTTCATTTTCGCAGGCTTGTGCAAGAAGACTCTCTGCTGCAGCCGAGGTAAGATGTGGAGGAGTGGGTCGCATCTGTTGCTTTGGAAACAAAATAAAATTTAATTTTTTCATTCAGACATAATAAGATCAAGAAAGACAAAATTTTTCTCATGAAATATTTCGTTTTTAATGAAAAGTAAACATTTTATTCTATACTTACGGGTTCCCATCCATTTTGTTCTTTAGACCTGCGCATTCGACGGCAAGATTTGAGGTAAGTGCGAATTCTTTTACGAGATCTGACGTGGAATTCCGGAAATTGTCGATCGCAGGCCTCTAAGATAGCCTGGATTTTATCCTTTGGTTGTTTTGAAATTGGAACCATTCTGTCCAGATTTTCATCAACAAATAGGCGAACAAACATCTAAAAATATAAAATATACTTGATTTCTTTCCATTGTTGTTCGAATGTTAATTTGATTTGAGACCATCCTCCTTTTTTTTAATATAATCCGTACAGTTATATATTTTCGTTCCAAGAATTAATCAAATATTTATTCGTAATGATATTTCAAGAACTTAAATTTAGCTGATTACAAATCCCATATGAGGAAAATTCATTTACTCCTAGGTAAATAAAATCAATAGAGTACATCAGTTTAAATGAAAATGATTAAATTAAAGATTTTTAAAACCAAAAATATATGCCTTACATTAAATGCCTTGAGTCTCTCCGGATCAAAATCTTGCCCGGTTGGCATTTTATCATCATCGTCATTATCATCGTCGTCATCTTCATCTTTACCAACAGATTCGTCGTTAATTCCGCTCTCACTTAATTTTGTTGAACTCTGTAAAAGTAAACAAATGGTCAAAATTTCAAATTAAATCTTTTGATGTAATGTCAAAAAGAAGCTTTCAAACTAACGCATTTAAAATGCTTTATTTTAAGACTATTGCAACTTGTCAGTGCCACTTATAAAGTATGCTAAGCGAAAATGTTCCAAGTGCCTTTCAAATGCAGTTATTGGAAAATTATTAGTTCGCCTAAAACCTCTGCTTCTGAAAAATTCCATTTTTTAAAAGAAGCATGTAGTAAACAATATTTTTATAAGACTCCCGAGTCTAAAACGGCTTCGGTATACTATATGTAACGATTCTTGATGAACGAATCGAACACATGTCCTATAAGTCTCTGAATATTGTTCCCGTTTCGCACTGTTGTTCTAAGAAAAGTATTTTTTTTAAATGCAGCCACTTTGAGGGGAAAAAAATATTAATCCCTGTGTGGACGAAAAAAAAATCCAGTAGTTATCAACATTTCATCTATTTAAAATGGAGAACCTTAAGCAACTACCGCCATTAACATTTGAAATTATCCTCTTTTTCTTCGTACTTCGAATGTTTTTACTGTTTCATTAGTAACTGAAAAAAAGTTCGCCCCTTGGCTATATAGAATCCAGGCTGAATTTCTTTGTATAAGATGGTACGCACCTCACAACTGTCTTCGCTAGCTCTCCTTTTTCTCTCGGGATGACCTCTGTCATCTGACCTTGATGACGGAGATTTAGACATAGTAAAGGAGAGACTGGCTTCTTCGTCCGCCATAGGACTATCTGTATAAAACAATACAAGTAAACATGTAAATACACCAAGTCTACAAACAACAATTTATTTGGATTTGCACTCTTTAAGATTTCGTCAAGGAAGGACAGCAAAACAAATGTCAAATTAATTACCATAACATTACGGTGATTAGGAAAGAGACTTTGGTAGCCATGACAACGTTTCAGTTGTTACTCACAATTCGTGCGCACGATACACCTGAAGTCTCACCTATCAAATTTTTTATCGATTTGCATCAAGACAAGATGAATCCCTTCCCACTATGGCGATCTACTTTCCCCATCATCTAACACTATACCAGAAAGGAAAAGACTTAGGTAATGTCTGTCACACAAAAGACACCTCAAAATCGAACCTTTTCAACTCTCAAGGGTAAAACAGAGAGTATTGATGGTAATTGGTTAAAACTTTTGATGTGAGGTCTAAGGTATAATGCACACAGCGCCCGGTTCGTGACGGTAACGGATTCTCATCCTTTGTGAAAGGTAGTGTTTACACTCCCGCCAATCGATCCAATAATTCAGCAGACGACTCCAGGCTCCAAAAGGACGAAATCCGTCTTCTCGAATATTACAAATTATCATAAATGCAGATTTGGAATGCGTTTACAGGTTGTACTAAAGCACTTGAGAAGTCAAGAAGTCATGTGTCTATTATACCATTATTTTTTCCATGAAAAGTTTTTGCGTTAGGATAAATGTAAAAAATTGAAAAGTACATTTTTGGTTATTTTGTTTATTCCTTGTTTATTATTGTAATTAATTTAAAAATAAGTGTGCAAAGTTGGAAATATGACAGCATTCCAGAAATTTAAATAAAACTTATTAATTTGTTAAAGCACCTGTAAAAGACCAATTTTTTTTAAATATAAAGTTTCAAAAAATGAGTTTCTTAAAGAGGATATTAATTTTTATTGCGAATGGTATTACGGTATTGATTTGTCCTGGGTCTATAAAGTAATCCCAAAGATTATCTGAGAGAGATTTCCAGCGCTGTCGGAACTTCTACCGTGCCTCTTGCCGACCGCTCTATCTAAAAGTAAAAACCCTGGCCTTCCCGGAGACAAAACAAATTGAAAGGTACCAGGTCCCCGATCAATGAGGAGACAGGAGCCGCGGCAATGGAGTGTGATTTGTTCCAAGTGCCTGTTTCTCTTTGTAATTACCAACGGGAGCCATTAACGCGAATTCCAAATCTTTCACCTGAGTTACCTGGGTTTTAAACCTGATGCATCAGCAAGGTTGCCGAAAGGATTTTGTACAGTCTCTCTATCATGGTCTCCATGGTGATGTGACGTCGTCTATTTTTCACCCCAAAAAACATTTGTAAATTACTGATGGAGGAAAATAGATGTAACAGGCTGAAGCTACCTTTTTTTCACTGATTGCTATCTCTCGTATTAAAACAGATGGGTAGGATTTCAAAGCCGTGTATAACCCCTGTAACATCACAGATTCTTAACAGAAAAAAACATAATCACTGCAAATATTTTTTTTTCGAATGTCAATGGGTTTTTCTTTAATGTTGGAACTTATTTTTACCATCGTTTTTAAAAAATGCATGGACATTCAGAACGAAAACAGTTCTGCTTATCGTAGGGATATTTTTTCACTTAACCCCTACCCCTGAAAATATCCACCAGAATTTATGTATATACATTAGAAGAAAACAACCTTCACCTTTCCAATTTTCCCATGTCTTTTTATAAATATTCAGAAAAAATGTGCTCGGGTGTTAATTGTTTTCCTCAAAAATCCCTAAAAGAATGCTATTGGCTATAAGCTGCCGGTTTTACCTTTTTTCCTATACCCATTTTCTATTTCCTTATGAGAATTTTTTCCTCACTTTTCGTCTTCATAGCTACAGTTTCATAAACTATTATACAATGTATTCATTTTATTTAAACTTACCTTTGAAGGGTAAAACAATAAAACAAAGCCAAATGAGATATTCTTTGAAATTACTGTGACTGTGTATTTATCTATACATATCGTTTTCTTTTTATGAACTGAAAAATTACAATCCAACAAATACATTTTATTCATAAATTACTTTCCAGAAAGATGAATTATAAGATTTTTATTTATTTAACTTTCAGGTGAAATAAATTGAACACAGGTTGCTTTCCTATTGATCAATTCATTTATTTATACATGTATGTAAAAAAAAATCACATTCGTTAATAAAAAAAATGTTGTAATGTTAGTAGTATAATTTAAAACAATCAGATGCCTAAAACTATCAAAATTTTGCAGAGGGGTTCCAATTTTTTTCTTTTTCTTTTTTATTATTATTTAATAAACTTTATGCTTAATGGTAGTGGAAATCAAGAAAGATGAAAGAATGGGAGAGGTTGTAGCTACAGATATCAATTTATCCCCCACCCTCGAGTTCCGTAAGTTAAAGATAATGTATGAAAGTCAAATATAAAAACCCCACGTCTAACGTTGAATTCATTTAAATATTATTAGTTTTCTTGATTACTTTGCAAAAGCGAGTAAAACAGTTGCAAGTTCTTGCGAGTAAAAAAGAAAATTATATATATTAAAAGAATATTTACGACTGATTCTTTAAAAAATCCACTTTCAACGAAGTAAGGTAAGTCATACTGCCCCTAAATATTAGGTTTTTCTAATCAATGAAACTGTCCAAGGGATTCAGTCTATTATATGATAGATATAAATTCCACACCTATTGATATCAATTGGATAAAAGACCAATATTGTTACAGTATTATCTAGTCTTCCTGTCCTAATGGTAATTCGGGATTTACAAGAAAAGACCAAATGCATGACCTTCTCGACGAAAAGACTGCACTCAAGATATTGTCTGTTTCTGTAATATATTGGCTTTTCCAGGAAACAAGCGCCTGTTTGATCTCAGATAAAGGGTGTCGTCAGGTCACGTGACAGACTTGTAGACTATAGCGGAACACTCCCTTTGGAACTGTGAGCTCATTCCCAATTCTATGGTCACAAAGTTATCGATTTTACGACACTTTTCAGCCTCTACGCTGAAGAGCTGTGGATTTGATACCTGATCGTTTACCAGGGTTTATACCAACTAAATAATGAATGTGACCAAATCAAATTCTAAACAAAGGCAGGGGCGAATTTGTTATCTTTATCGTTAAACGATTTGAAAACAAAATGGCAAAATGCCAAACAAATGCCTTTTGATATGTTTTATCATTAAAGTGCATATTCAAATTGTAGATTTAGTATTTTTCGAGTATAGTTTTCATTAATGAAATTTATGAAATTTTCTAATTAAAGTGTTTTCGACAAAAATTATTCTGTTATTCCAAAAAATGTGGTATTCGAGGGGTTCAAACTTTAGCAATAATAATCCTAACTATCATTTTCTTTGAAACCAATGTCTTAACCATATGGATTTGAAGTTTTTCTCGGAGAGATGTGAAAATTGTGTCATAAAAGTATACTATATTTAAAGGGTCTTTGCCCCATGTTTTTGTTATTCAAAAATTGATTTATTTTTTTACGCAAACTTTTAGGGTAACCATTTAAAAAAAAAATGGAGAGAAGACCCATTCCTTTCTAAAAGTTACTAGTACAAGTTGTATATAATGATACGAGAAAATGATCTTTTTAGCCCTCTTTAGTGTGTGTATGTTATTTCATAGGCGAATAGTTTTAATTCATTTGAAATTTTTGCATATTGTCGAGAATTAAAATAAAGTGTACCTTAATGTTAGTAAAGTATCAAAGAAAATTTCCTTATAATTAAATTTTAATAATTTAAATTTTGATATTCACCTTGATGTTTGTCGCACTATAGGCAATTTGCTGAACTAGTTCATCCATCTTCTTTATATATAAGCAAACAGTTGCAAATTTTTATGCAAATAAGAGTATCTCAACATGAATGTAACACACTCGTGTCTTCTTTTGGCAATATGACTTCTGCAGAGCTACGATAGTTTCAAGTTTGTTTTTGAATGTAACATAAGTATCATCTTTAAATGATTCATTGGTTTTACCTTAAAAATGACTAAGGACTATAACGTGAGATTTACCAGGGAGATAACAAGATAATTACCGGTAGTTAGAAACAATGTGATAAACAATCAAATAGCGGAAACAAAATAATATTTGCACGTGTATTATTGATGGAAGTTGCTTCAGATTCATTACAAACTTTGTAATTTTTTATGCAAAAGTACAAAGATAAACATCGAGCCATATAGATTTACAGGCTAAAGGAAGTTATACTGTATAAAAGTGAGATTACAATTTAAAATGATAAGGCCAGATAAAATTAATCTTTAATCAAATTTGCTAAAATAGCGGAAACAAAATAATATGAATATTTTATTCCTTTCATATTCTTTTAAATATTTAAAGAAGCTTCTTGCTATAAAAAATTAAATATTTATTGTTAACTAAGAAATTATCAAGTACACAAATATTGCACACGCCAAACAAAATGGGGTGGGGATACCGATAAATTGTGTATGCATGTCAGACTTCCCCAAATACCTTTTAGTTTTACCAACCTCTGTTTTCTGTAAAATATCACATTCTACTGGAAAACCTAGACCTGAACAGTTTTAAGATTTAACATTTTCTTAGCATTCAAGTCTGCCTACGATGTTTTATTATTTTTTTTAAAAGAAAAATCACACACAGTTTTTTAAAACTTGACAATTTTCCCTGTCTATTTTTCCTTAGTAAAATCTCTCTAATTTGCTCAAGCCATTAATACTATCTAGAGGTGTTTATGTTATTTTTTCTTCTCTGCCTTTTTTACACTATTTAGATTTTTCGCCACACATGGCTCTTTTGCTATAGATAGCGACAGTTTTATACAGACGAGAGATAACTATAAAAATTCTTGCTGAATAAAAATACATGGAAAATACTTTTACAAAAAATTTAAAATGATAATTTTATCTGAAAAAAATTTAACAAAGTAATTCACTATCTTTTTGAAGTCGTCATTAAGGACATACGCAAAGTACCTTACCTACTGATAATTTTTCAAGACATTCTTAATTTAACAGTCCCATAAGATGTTCATAGGCAAAAAATCAGCATGCATTACCAGGGGTTTTGAAAAGATATCATTAATGAAAACTCTTTTTAATATAAAGAAAAATGTATAAAAATTACTTAACATATATTCTAGGTGTTTTGTTTATCCAGACTTATTTTAGAACAATTGTAGCATTTATATACATTAAAATGTAGAACTCAGTTCCTTTATGTATTGGAACCCTTCAACTCCCGTGAAAAAGACAATAAAATTCAAACTACGTTGCTTTTGTCCTTAAATCATAATCAGTGGAATTAAACTCAAGTTACCCCAATTTTCCTTTCTAATGGGGGGGGGGGGGGAGCGGAATAATTGTTGATGTTTGTTGTTTAATGTTCCTCTCGAGAATCTTTCACTCGTGTGGAGACGTCACAAGCGGAGGGCTGCAAATTTTTACCTTTGACTCTTACGGTCATTAAGCAGTGAGGGATCTTTTCTCTGCCAGCAACTACGTTCTCGTGATTTCCTTTATACGGTCTCGACCAAAGGAAAGATCTCCATGCCCTTATATATATAGACTCCTGGACACCTTGATGGTGACTTGCTAATAGTATTTACATTTGTCATCTAGGCGGCGAAGGTTTTCTTCTCAGTTGTTTAGAAAAGGATTTTGTTGCATCTACTATTTGCAGACGATTAAGGTTTGATGTTGAATTTCTAATGATTTGTCGTTTTGTTTTTTTTTTTCCGTCAAATATCAGAACAATTATAGTTACTATTTTATCATATCTAAACTGTTTAAAAAAAAATATATAATAAATACTGATGTAAACACCAAAAACTATGTCATCAAAGTTAATATTTCAAATAGCATAACAGGAAATGACTTGCATATATTCCTGGTAAGTATCTCAATTTTCGCCTATAATCTTGTTAAAGTGGCAAAAATTAAATTACATATTCTTGGAAAACATGATATATTAATAATAGAAGGACGCGCTGTCTTGCCTTAACCATCAGGAGTATGCGATTTGAATATATGTATTTTTGAAAATCTGAAATCGCTCAACGTTTGAATAATTGTTTTGCATTCTTTTTCCCTAACCTTTTTAGTAAAGTAAAGAAAACAGGCGAAGAAGCCGAAAAAAATGCATTATATATTTTGACAAGAAGGTGAAAAATAAAATCTCAATCATTAAATAATTTTCTTTTCAGTTAACATAAATATGTAACTTTAGTAAAAATAGTCGAAATTTACACCGTTGTAAGTGTTAGAATTATTCGGTTTTGATTGATAACATGTTGTTTACTTTCACTTTATGCTAAGGGCTTCAATTTAGATCCTTAAGGTTATTGAACAGTGATGGTTCTTAGCAAAAGAACAATCACTACCAAAGTTTACATCTTATAGGTTTGACAAGGCGAGAATCAAACCTGGGGTACGGAATGCAATTTTTTGCTTTGGTTGTTTTTTTGTTTGTGTTTGTGAGGGTGTGTGTGTGTGTTTTGAAATAGCATATATACAAACCAAAGAAGTCAATGTTGCTCATTTCTTCACACTTTTACGATATTCTTAAATAGTGGGTCCTCGCTCTGTATCATTTGAAAATGATATATTCAAAGTATGTTTAAAAAATTACGTATTTTCTTTACACAAACATGAAGCAAGGACACTTTTTACCTTAAAAAATATGACACAAAATCACATAAAAACAAAATTTATCTGCCGCTTTCTGTCGTGAGATGTGCGGTGTTTTGGTTAGCGTGTTAAAATAGAAAGGAGAGTGATACTTTGGACTTGTATCGCTTGGGTTCTACCATAGAATAATTTTGTCGCGAGATTTTTTTGTCATAATTGCATACCTTTCATTACTTAAACCGTTCTTCTTAATACTTGGTTCACAAATTAAATTTTATTTTTGGGCATTCAAAGTGTGGGCATTTTGCTCCCCTTATTTGTCTAACTTCTTAGCAATTGACCTCAAAAAACGACGAATCAGGTATGCAGTTAAATATTACAATATTGATTTACTCAAGTTTGTCAATATGTGAATTCATCCACTTACTCATTTTTAAGAAACAAACTGACATGAAATTTCTTTTTCGTTATCTTGAAAACTATGAAATTACTAGTTGGTTGACAGATTCAAGATGTCAAATCAAAATTTTAGGAATCGTTCTCAAAATTGAGGTACTGTTTTGATAGTTTGATGGAGTTTCAAAGGTTTTCAAATCGTTTAAAGTCTTGTGACGATGTCTGAGGCTTCAACTGTACATATCTACAAGGGAAGTACTTTTCAATGCCTATATTATGTCTATCTTTGCATAAAAGGGGGGGGGGCTAAGCCCCCTTAGCCCCCCCCCCCCTTCCCGGTTACGACGCCTATGCGAAGAGCTGACACTGACACTTTACACTGAATGTACCGAACGCCGACCTTCTTTACAGAAAAAAATGTCCACGGTTCGGTATTTGGCGCTTACACATGTACATCGAATTAACACTGCAGTTTTTTCGTCAAGTTTAAATTTTAGTTTTTCGACTTTGCCTAACAATTCATTTTTTTTAATTTCAGATTTAAAATAATGTAAAATTTAAATTCTAATTTGAAAGTTCGGCTTATGTTTTTGAACCTCGAATGAAGATGTGGATTGTACATGTCTCAAGTTTGATGTTCAACGATTGACAACATCCAAAAATAATATTTCGCTAGATCAAAAACTTTCATGAATTTTTATTAACATTTAAGTGCAAAAATCTAAGAGATTGAAATGAAAAGTGGGACATTTATCTTAAATACATGTACTGATATTTCTTTTCGCATTTTCAAAAATTCACTTAATGGAAAAACGCTACAGCTTTCAATAACACCCACTATATCCTATTCTCATATCATTTGTATTCTTACCAAAATGACCATCCCTTCGAAACTGAACCACATAAAAAGAACCGTTTCAATTTCAGCCATTGTTTTAATAGGACCTCTGTAAGGAGTAGAAGAGATTTACCTTCTTTAGGGGTGGATCTATGGTTGGTGGTGGTGTCATCAGATAAAGCTGGACTACCCTCCCTGCTGCCCCCGGTGCTATCCACACTGGACATGCTTTCCTACAAGTAAGGATTTCTCTTATTTTCATGATCTCAATGTCAAGATATGCCTTATGATGTAAATTCATTAGCACATTCTGGTATTGGTATCTGTCCATCGATAATTCAGGTAAAATATCCACCTACATGTTTTTTTAGTTGCTTTTAAACCCCCGTTATATATTATTTTAAAACTTATCTGATAAAGAAAACATTGAGGTAACCATCAATAGTCGCCCGGGAAATATATAAAGTAAACAATGGAAATGAGTCTTGATCATCAAACCGCTTCGATATGTGTGAAAAAGCATGCGTCTAATTGATGGAGACGATAGTCGCGAATATTTTGAAAACGTTTAGTCGGATAAAAATCAAACAAAAACGATACCAATTTAAACTTGATCAATTCCTCAAGTAAATGTTGGCTGCATAAAATATGAATTGAAGTTAGAAACATGCATCAACTATATTTAAATAAGTATTAATTTTCAATCATAGAATATAAAACACAAACTAAGCAGAGAACGTTTTTATGCGAGAAGTAAAATTCGATGTTCTAAAAAAGGGACCTGTCGTTTTTTCGATAGTAAATGATAAGCAACTTTATATATTAAATATGAAAAACATATATATTTTTACAGATTCACTTTATTGAAGTAAATATATTATGTATCTCGTAATTTATAAAGAGAAAAACATTCTGATTAACAATCTTTTCAATGTTTAGAAAACCTTTAATTCTGAATAACTTCTCCCACCCCAATCCCCATACACCAACACTTAAACTTGTATGTATAGAGCAGACCGGTCCTCCGGGCTGCAATAATGGGAAAAAACTAGCGAGAGAGGGAGGAGGGGCTATTTCAGAGACTGCTTCATTGAAAGCAAATACGAAGAATTTGAATTGTTTTTCTCCGATCATTATTTTTAAAAATTGGAGTCTTTTGGCTTTTTTTTTTTACTTAAAGATTAACATTTCTTTAATTAATTATCAACCATAAAATGACTTTAATCTGTCACCGAGATCCGCCTCCTAATTTAAATTTTAATCATTTTGAAAAAAAGACTACGCCGTGATTTTGATTAAAAGTTATGACACTGGCATCGGTTGAGCCAGTATGTACTTCAAAGAATCAATATTTCTGCGACACCAACTCCTGTCTAAATCATCTTTGTTCAAGCTTTGACAGCAGATACCAGATAAAATCAGGTGTGTATTGGACGGTCCAAGAACGATTCTTCTACATCAAATTCTCAGCACAAACATATACGATTGCCTTCTTTTGGATCAGTATTTGGGAATAGAGAGACAATATAGACACAGTATAAAGCAGTGATCCAATTGACGTAAAATTAGTCAAAAATTTCATACTGTGCCCCGAAGCGCACCTCGTTTCTGTGAAGAGATGAGGGTAACAGCTGCAAAACGCGGCACAGAGTGGCCCTCTACTGTCAATTTGTACATAGACCAAATCCTCTAAAAATCAATACCGAGACAAGCTCCAGTGCCTCTATGTTCTGCTCGTGGAAAAAAAAAACGTTCCTCTTACTCAGTCGCCTGTTTTCCGATAAAATTTGGGACCGAGATATAAGACCTGCTTATTCTTCTGTTAATCCGAACGTATTTTGCTTCATCAATTATTAAAAGACGGTAACCATTTGTCACCCGTGAAAAAGAGTCTTGAACATCAGCGGATAAATCACATGTATCAATTATCGGCTTTTCTTACCTGCACCCATGAAAGCCTCGGCTTTAAAGCAACCTATCGACTGTTCCCCAGTCTCTTACCTGTATCGTGCGTTTAATTAATTGAAGAAAGGTTGTCATTCCCATTGACAATTTGCAGAGAGACAAAAAATTGTTACCAGTTTAATAAGTACTATCCAAGGAAAAACCAAAAAGATTTTTTCTTCCGATTCCCTGAGATTTGTCAATAGCTTCTAATTTTGGCACGCGCTGGCTCGCGCCTTGTGCCTGTCAGCCATTTTTAGCGGTCCTTGTGAACAATAGCCTCCGTAAAATACAGTGACACAAACAGGGAAAAATCAATAAAAGGTAAAACGAAATATAAACTTAAGATACATCTACATTTTTTTTATACCATTAAATAAGACATAGGTGAGATTTACCTCTACATTGGGCTTTTCGCTCTTGTTCCCCTTTTTTGACATATTGGTACCTATGTCTGTTTCCCTGTTTGTGCCGATGTGACTGATCCCAGTGCTGGCTTGCTAATAAGAGTCAAACACGGGGCACTCTCAACAAAGCGCGTGGTAGCTGCGGCGACGGTATTACCCGATAGTTAAAACAGAGGACTGATGTGCTCCTATCGATCCATACACCTGGCACCAATACGAATTTTATGGGGCATTTCAAGGTGAAAATCGAATGATGTAGGAGAGACATACAGCGAAAGCAAAGACTCTATACACCGAATCCATTAGAGAGACAAGAGCCATAAAAAGTAGTTCCCCAAATACGTTCCAAATTCAGAGAGGAAGAAATAGAAAAGTCTGAGACCATTCCCCTATGATATCGATCGACTAGAATCGTGTGGGCAAACGGCAGTTTTCCAAATATTCAACAGGCAGGTTTTTGTAACTTCCTTAATACTGTTTGCGTGATGGGAAGGATAATCGTACCCCCTATTAGCAACCTCGAACCATGAAAAAAAACATCAAGAAAGAACTAAGTATTTTCTCTGTGTTGGGAGACCAGATATTGATCAGGTCACCAGCATCTGTTTGGCACCCCTCTGCGCCCTGCAGCACCTCTCTGGAGTTATCGATTATAGGGTTATAAGACCAGGATCACTGGATTTGGAGAATTAACTTTTGTCAACTCTGATGATGTCGCTCAGTTGGTTGGTAACTAGGTCGGAAGTGTCAAGGGATTTTTTCTCTCCAAAAATGCTGACAGAATTATAAAAATTTTGGACAAATTTATTTTTTAAGTATATATACACATTTCATTTTTATTTAATTCAAAGAGCATGTCACGGAATATTTGCTTCTCTGCTCCATTTTAATTGTGAATAAAAGAAGGAAAGGGCTTCATATTTGAGCACTGCAAATACAATGCGACATTTCTTTGCAAAAAAATGTATTTGTGATTTCAAATTGAGGCCCATTTTTTTTTACTCTTCCCTTAGGTTTAACAAACTTTATTGGTTTGGGATTAAAAAAAAACACACGTTATTCTTAAAAAAACCCGTACAAAATAAATAATAATATTTTCCTTAAATTTTTCATATGTTCCGATGGAAAATACGTAATTAATAAGTAATCTTAAAAATAAGAGGTTAGTATGAGAGGAAACAAAATTTTCGTTGTCTTCAATTTGATCTTTGTCGGAATGATGCAAAGCAAATTATTATTGAAAGCCAGTCATGTTAGGCTAACAATTACGTACAAATATACGTTCTAAATGTCGGGACTGGAGTGGATGGGTGAGTCTTATGACTAACACCTATTTAGGGACAAAAAAAATTAAGGCACTGATTTCTTTATTATAAATATATTTCTCATAAACAAAATAATTTATTTGTCCTTCATGCAAGTTAAATTTTACAATTTAAACAATGAAATATGTTCAAATTTAAATACTACAGATTGTAAAGTTTACTTGAAAACTGTTCAGTTGAAGATTTAAAAAACAACAACACTCAAATAAGTCAATGAATTCATTTTACATGAAGCGGATACTCAGAGAACTATGCAACTTCTGATTTTTGGCATTAGTAGCGCTTTTATCAAATTTTTATATAATGTTATGAAGGGCTCACCCGTAATTTATTAATAATTTGAATACAAGTGTCAGATAGATTAGTTGCTCCATAGACATAAAACGAAGGGTTCGTTTTATGTCTGTGGTTGCTCTTACTTAGAACTTTAGGGAGGAGGGGGGGGGGTAGAAAATTTTATCCATGGAAACCAGACTTTAAAACAGATGCTGATGAATGCGCTATTTTATACCTTATGTTAAACTTATGTAAAATATAATATTGAGATGGAATCAGGATAAATTATTTTTTTTTGAAAAGTACTAGTAATTTTATTTACTGCCAATGAAATTGGTTATATATTTTAAGCCGTGTCTTTTTCTATAAAAAATGCAACAGCTTTAGGCCTAGTATTGTTGAATAACAAATTCATAATACCCATTTAAAGAAAGTGTGTGTTTCATGGACGGATGTTTTAGAAATATTTTCAGCTTTCCATAGATTTCTTTACCAATATTTTAGACTTATCTCTCTTTGATTTCCCAAATAATTTATTTGTTATGAAAATTCATATAAATATCTATATACAAAATAAAATAAAATACAAGAAATCGACAGAGAATGGCCGAAAGGACAATTACACTAACAGTTTCATCATATTATTGAAGTTTTAAATGCTCAAAATTATTACATACACCTTTAATTATCACTTGACAAAATTGATAACGAATCATTTTTGTGTGATGTCGAAGTTTTATAATTTACAAATTTGATATCTTTGAAAAGCGATTAAAAGCCCTCTCTTTATTTAAAGTATTAAATCAAATAAGAAGGTATTTTTAATTTTGGTTATCTGAACTTATAAAAAATACGCCATGTATGACTCTAAAATTTTATACAAACCTTCAATCTAATTATTGGCTAGACATAGTTAATAGCCTCTTCTGACGTGTATTTTTACTCACTGACTTAGGATGAAAATGTGGATAGTCAGCCAGAACACCCCCCCCCCCCCCCCCAAACCAAAAAAAAAAAAAAAAAAACTCGAAAATCCTATTTCGTATTTCCGGGGGGATTCAAATTTCCTTTAACAATAAAATTTTATTAACACATTACTATACTACCATGTTATATTTGGAAAAATTGTGTGTGCCGGGGGGGGGGGGGAGGGGGGGTTGACCTTCGGGAAATGGGGTTATGTGCCTGTAATATGCATTAAATCGTTGCATTCAATGAAGTTTAGCCCCAGACTCCTCAGATAAGAAGTTTCACTTCTATCATTTCAATGTTAACGAGAAA